TGCTTGTTTATTTTCTAACACCGTACCACATTTGTAAGTTTTAGAACTCTTACATAATTCCATGTATTCCTTTGTTTCTATGTGCATCCCAATCACAACTCACTCATTAAACTATTCGCCTTATTACGTAACTGTATCACGCTTATTCAACTTCTTTTATGTGTTAATAAATATATTTCTGTGGTTGGAAGATTTCAGCATAGAACCACTGGAAAACCTAGAAATACTGAACAGTTACTCATAGAAGACATCTTGAAGTGGTCGGGCTACGTCGTGAATTGGTCGGTCGGTCAGTTTTCAACATAGAACTTTGCACATATGTGCGGCAGTTCAAGTCGCCACAATCCATGTAGCACACAAAGCAAGAGAAGAAAGTAGAAGAAATGCATAATATAGACAGTAAACAGAGGTGTGAGACAAAGGAATAGTAATAACTAAGGACAAAACAATTAAAGTGGAAATCATAAGTCACAAGGAGTGGATGCATCTGCGCCACTGAGAACGATTTTGAGCCATGTCACCAATTGTTTCCAGCCTTCATTGGTTTTTACCGTCCCGAGGACCCCAGCCAGGAAGTCTACACCTTCCTACGTGGTTTAAATTAACTGTTGTGAATTTCACTGACTGATGAAACCATGTTTTGGTTTGACCGCCGCTAGCTCTTTTCCAGCCTGACCCTATATCAGCTAACATTGCTTGTCCGTCGAGGAAAGTGATGACTAGGCAATCGTAACACACTTCCTAACCATCTCAGTCGATGTAATTTCACAGTCTCGTCGACTGATTTCTCCACCTTACGTAGCACTCGACGCCTAACCTCAATATTGCTCACCTTATTATACCACTTCACAGGGGAGAGAGAATGCAGGCACCTATGATTGAAGACAGCTAGCCAGCATTTTCATGTCTTCCACTCTCAATAGCTAGGTCTCACAGCTAGCCATAAAGGAGGACGGAGCGGACTGTTGAGCAGTACACACTCCTTTTGGTCGATAGTCGGATATCACATCTACGCCAGAGACGGCGTAAACTGGCATATGCGAAACTAGGCCTCTGTATTCGTGCTGAGATTTCGTCGGAGACCAACCCGTTGGGGCTGATGGTACTTCCCAAATAAGTGGAGCGGTCAACGTGCTCTACCACTTCACTTCCTATTTCTGATCGAGGAGTCGGTGTAGTCCAATACTGCAACATATTCTTATATTTTGCAGGGGCGAATCTCATGCCAAACATACAAAGATTTTTGCTCAAGGTGTTCAGTAGACGTCGTGAATTGACAGAATTTAGAATTCATGAGCTATTGGATCAGGTTCCAGTGGATTAATTAATGGTCTACGAGCCTGCTTGTCTTGTAATCAGAAGGTCCTGGGTTCAAACAACCGTGGTGGGTGCGCACTAATGAAGAGTCCCCGACTAGGTCAAAACAGGTGGCTGTTCAGTACTCCCTTGAGGATTTCCAGTGGTTTTCTAACTGATGTCAATTCATGATAAAATCCTCCAAGCAATCAAGCAATATCCCTACAAGCCAATACTTGACAACGCATCATCACTACCCTCCTACCAATCCTCACCCTTACCCTAGTTACAATTTGCTTACTGGTCACATTTTTGAAATGTCTTGACAACAGTAACCCTAAATAATTTTTATTTTTACCGGACAAACCTAATGTACACACGCATACAAAGATCAGTATATATAATTGCGATTTTACAGCCTAGTAAATGAATTCGTTGAAAAGAGACTCTTCGCTGAACTGTGCGTTTTGTTTTCACAAATAAAGAAACAACAGATTGTAATGGCAAGACAAGGTGTACCACAAAATCCCTCACTAAGCATAAAGTGGCTTCGAATAGTCGAATAGTCAACGAGATTCCAAGTGGATAGGTCAGAAATCAATTTGATAACAAACAGTCTTCGAAAACAGAGTAAATAAGCACCTCAAGGAACTGCCTAAGGTGGGATTAATCGACAACAACACCCTTAATGATCTTAAACCGTACCATTCATGTATGGTCAACTCAAAGTCAACAAATCTGATGTGTCTTGGAGATCCATAATTTCAGTGGTGTAATCACTATGCCATAGACTGGCTAGGTGGTTGGCACAAAAGTTGGAACCAATTAGGAAGAAGTTAAAGGTCCATAGTATCAAGAATTCCTTCCAATTCTCACAACGATTAGATCAATCGAATATTTCAGACAAACTTCCTGTGTCATATGATGTTTGCTCACTTTTTACTAGTATACCTATAGAAGAAATAGTGAAAACCATGTGCCAGCAATCTGAAGTACGTCGTCTTTCCGAAATGGAGGTGCGAAAATCACTACTTCTTTGTTAAGAGAATGTTCAGCTCCGATTCAACAACCATCTATACCAGAAAATTCACAGGGTGGCCATAAGTTCACCTTTGGATCCAGTTCGTGTGAACACATTTATGGCTCATCTTGAACAGACTTGAAATAGAGAGAACCACTTATGACTGGAGGTATGCTGACGACGTATTCGTGGTTTGCAATAATATGGATCACACATTCACTATGTTTGGAAAACTCTGCTTGGCTCATCCTCACATAACGTTTACAATGGATCATTAATGTGATAAACAGTTCCACTTTCTAAATCTCAACACAAAAAGAAGAAATGATGGGACGATTGAGAAATTCATCGACAAGAAACTCACAGCTTCCGTCTACTCAGCTAGAAACGGAGTCTGGTAAAAATGAATGTTGTACGTATCATCGTTCCTTATGAAAAAAGAGTCTGTCGATATTAGATAGCTGGAGGCAATCAGCGTGAAGCCTTCAACCTACGTCTCATGCCAGTTGTCACTCACCAGTCAACAAGGCATATCTACAACCTTCAAGGAACTCATATCCCTTCAGAGATTTGAACCCATGTCACCCTCTACTGTAGTTAGAGACGCTACAACTGAGCCATTTGTCTTTCCGAATGATCTGCTGTAGGACTGTGTTGGATGCTTTGATTGGACAATGGTTAGGAAATGGTGTAATGTGTCTAGTTTTTACGAGTTGATCACGGATTGATATCAGTTAGAGAACCAGTGAAAACCAGAACTGGAGTACTGGACAGCTACTGTTTCATCCTAGTTTGGGAATCATCGGCAGTACGCACCCACTGGGATTCGAACCCAGGACCTTCCGGTTACAAGGCAAGGTAGCTCGTATACCATTCATCTACTGAGACCCGATTCAATGGCCAGCCAGTGAATTCTAACGTCTACCAATTCGTGATTTTAGCGCGACCCCAACCATTGTCGTTGGTGGGACATCCATCCACACACGTGACATCAGATTGGACCTCACTGGTTACGACTTCTCACTAGAGCTCCAGGAACCTCCATTCTGTAGCAAGTCACTAGCGAGCATCAGATTAATTTTCTATAGTTTGGTTTGTAGGGGTTGGTTATGTTTTTACAAGTTGATCACGACTGGTTGGGGTCTCGCTAAAATCACGAATTGGTAGAAGTTAGAATTCATTGGCTGGCCATTGAATCGGGTCCCAGTGGCTGAATGGTATACGAGCTTGCCTTGTAACCGGAAGGTCCTGGGTCCGAACCCTGGTGGTGGGTGCGTACTGCCGATGATTTCCAAAGTAGGATGAAACAGCAGCTGTCCAGTACTCCCTTGTTTTCAATGGTTCTCTAACTGATATCAATCCGTGATCAACTCGTAAAAACATAACAAACCCTTATAAACCAAACTATAGAAAATGTGTCTAGTGCTTTCTTTGGTGCAGACTGAAACCTATCAGTCAAGCTTTCACATTACACCACTTCCTAACCAGTGTCCAATCAAAGTATCCAATAGAGTCCTACAGGAGATCAGTCAGAAAGACGAATGGCCCGGTTGTAACGTCTCTAACTACAGTAGAGGGTGACGTGGGTTCGAAATCTCCGAAGGGACATGAGTTCCTTGGAGGTTGAAAGTATGCCTTGTTGACTGGTGAGTGACAGCTGTCACGAAACGTAGTTCTCAAGGCTACCTGTTGGCGACTACCTCGAGCCATCTGGTATCAACAACTCAGAGTCCACCAAGATTTATTTATTTTATTTATTTAAACGCAGAAAAAACATGGTACAAAATGGCACCAAGAAAGATGCGACACACAATAATAATAAAACAACATAGATTAAAAGTAAAAATATAGGTAGAAAGCGGATAAAGAACTTCATCAGGAAGGGAAACAGTCATGTTTAACAAGTTCAAACAGTATTCTTTACCATCATCAGGAAGGGAAGAAAGAAGGAAATTGCAACACGTTCGCCACTGATTACGATTCTTGGCCATATCCGATAACGTTTCGAGCCATCGATTTGAGCTATCTCGCGGACTCCAACCAAGGCGTCGTGACGCACCAACCGATGCTAATCTAGCACGAAAATCCTTCATCCCAGGACGTCACGTCATGGGCTGACCACCTCTCCGCCTTTTCCATCCAGTTCCAGGGCTGGCGAACAGAGACCTGTACGGAAGCCTCTGGGATGGCATTCGCAACACATGTCCAAGCCACTGGAGCCGGTGTTTTCAGATGACTACACTCAGTGAATGGTGATCTCCACTGTGTTCAAACACACGCCACCAAGATGGTAGGCGACCTAGCGTGGTGGTTACATTGCAAACTTGACTGATAGAATTCAGTCTTCACCAAAGAAGGGATTAGACGCACACAAAATACACTAGTTACTGACTAGTGTCCAAACGAAGAAAAAGGGTTTATTTCTAATTCCATGAAAAGAAACTTAGGATTGATTAATGCTAATAAATGGATGATTGAACAGATAATCATATTTAAAAGAGAATACTAAATTCCTTCTTATCTTCAATGAGTGAATCTATTCAACGGGATTATCTTTCATAAAATCTCAATATAAGTAATATGCATTAATAGCTACCACTTCAGTGAGTGGGTTAGTGCGTATGTGGGTGAGTGCATGCGTGCGTATGTATAAATATTATTGAAATCCTTTAACAAAACTTACTTCAATGTACTCTGTGTAATATTTCCTGAAGTATCCTCTTTATCTCTTTCAACAAGATGTCCATAAACATCGAATTCCAATGGATAATTACGAATATAATCCAAAAATGCTATTGTACTTGTTACTTTAAACTAGAACAAGATTGCAAAGAAAAGATTAAATGAAGATTAAAATACATGTATAAATGTATATTTACTTTTTAGGTTATTAGTTGTTAGACTATAGTTTTATTTTTGCAGTTAATTAAGATACTACTTTATTATTGTTCAGTAGTGAATATCAGATGGCTGGGTAAGCAAAGGTAACAAGGAACTCTGGCAACAAATCGGCTGACAATCTATTGCTCACCAGTTACATGGAAAGAAAGTGAGATGGACTGAACGTACACTGAGGTGGAGGAGTAAGAAAAATTCAACTGACATCGCAAGCCAGGTAGGCCGTCAACTGAAATCTGTATCGGAAGCGATGAAGTGAGCTTGTGTCTGGCTGTGACGTGGGGAAGACCATGTGAAAGGAAATGAAAAATTGTGGACATTTGTGAAACTAACTGATAATAGAAGAGAACTGAGTGAGACAGAGACCTTTCGTTGAGGCCTTATGTTCCACTCGCAACTCAAGGAATGAGGAATAAAAGGGACTGTATACATCTTGGGCATAGGCAAAAGTGGAACTGGATGCCTACAACATCTCACATATCTGAGTTTCTTTTTATGATATTCAATGATTCCGACAATTTTTGCTGTGCAGTGAGTGTAAGATTTTGAGTGTTTGTCCTAAAATACACTCAGTATTGCCAACATTAGCGAATTTCTTAGTGTAAGGTGTAGACTGATAAATGACATTCATATGTGACCACAATTATGCAGAACTTACTAAGTCATTACAGGATGTGTACTCATTAATTAGCACTACGGATATGCGTTGGTGGCACAGTGGTAGAGTGCTCGCTAACCACCCAGGTGGTCCGTGGTTCGGTCCTAGGCCGATGCAGTCTGTTACGTTGTCAGGCTAGTAATAAGACCTATTATTAAGGAGTGAAGGTTGGGCATGATGCTAGCAACCCTTACCCGTGAAAATAAATGCCACTGCATATGAAACTGCAGAGCCCTATGTTCCATCAGTAACGTAAAGGAATTAAAAAGCGTGTTTTAGTGTGCACCCCGATTCCGTTCTACTATATGAAGCTTCGAAGCTGTTTTTGATATCAATCTTATGATTCGTAACGATAATATTTTGTGTCCATAGATGAATCTAGCAGTATGCCACTCACGTTTACCCAAGTTTTGGAGTTCAATTGTCTCTGAAGTCACTTGAGTATTTATCACGCAGCTAAACTCTCTCTTTTAATAACGCCATTCACGTAGAGATGTAATAGCGTATCTTGACAAACATCCTGTAGATACAGAAATTCATAGATTAATTTCAAAAATCATAACAAGTATATGTATGTGTCACTAAACCGAGTCCAAGAAGAATGGCTGAAGTAGATATTTAAGTGATCTGCCGTTATCTAAAGGGAACTGTTTAACTTTCAGTCATTCTTTCAGACAATTAACGGAATGTTTCAACTTTTTATTATTATTATTATCCCCTTGGGTTCCATGTGAAACACAGGGCTTCACGAACACATTTAAATTTCATACCTAAATCGTCTACTGGAGCATGTGTCAAATTTAGACCCATTGCCATTACCTCTCCTTTTTTGAAAACTATGGAGAAACTACTTTTACTTAGTCTTGCACCCTCTCTTAAATCCTTTAATGACCCAAAACAGTTTGCTTATAAGCACAGTAGAAGCACTTTAGATGCAGCTGCCGTCTTATATCATAACATTGCTTCCAGTCTAGACAAAGGGGCCAAATTTGTCCGTTGTGCCTTCCTAGACTATACATCTGCTTTTGACTCGGTCCCTAGGGACATCTTGTTAAATAAACTTGCTGTAAGTCAAACAGAATGTTGGGCTGTTAACTGGTTACACTCTTATTTCTCAGAAAGAAAGCAGTACACCGTGTATAAAGGGAAGTCTTCCACTTCATTACCTACTGAAGCTGGTGTCCCTCAAGGCGCTGTCCTTTCTCCTTTTCTTTTTTCTTTCTTCTTACATGACTTGCCTCAGTCCGATGAAATAAATTTTGTGAAGTACGCTGATGATTTAACTGTTTCAATGGCTGTTAACTCCCAGCTAGATTGTACCAAAATAAATAGCTTTCTGTCGGAAGTCAGTAAATGGTCTGAGTCTAACGGTCTTAAACTGAATCCTTCTAAATGTCAAACTGTTAATTTCAGCTTAAGGTGTAAACGGCAGTTAAAAGAAGCCGTCGATTCTTATGACAGTTGTAAGATTGATGACAGTGATATAGGAATTAAATCAGAAATTAAGTATCTTGGACTTATTCTCTCTTCTGATCTCTCCTGGTCTTCCCATGTCTCAGCGATCTCCAGTAAAATATTCCGCCTGACATTTTACATTAAGAAGTTAAGGCACTGGGGTATAACTCAACTCCTCCTCTTACAGTTTATAAACTCTTGCATCCTACCTATTCTTCTTTATTGTTCACCCTTATTCTTTCCTGGTTTGCTTAAAAGGGACTTTGTCACAATTCATAGAATGCTGAAGACTGTCAGCAGAGTGAGTGGTGTCCCAGTGGACTACATAGTTAACGTCGTTGTCGATAGGCATTTGACTTCGTGCAGTATATTTGCCAAAGGGATTTTGTCTGATTTGGAGCATCCACTTCACCCTCAGCTTTCACCTTGCATCTCCTCAGGTAGAACGAGAAGTAACTTCAGAAAACTGTATGCTCGCACGTCTAAGTATCAAAATTCTATGATACCATACTTGGCACGTATTTTATGTGATGAAAATAGCGTCAGGCAAGAATTGACTAACCTTTTTTCATCTAGTAAATAAACAATCTTCTCCATCCATCCTTATATACCTTCAAGTTTTACTTTTATTATTTCTATTATATTTATGGTCCTGTTGCTTCTTGTTCTCACTTTCATAACTGCAAACACCAACTTATCTCTATGACTGCTGTAATTTTTGTTTTTCCCCTCACCATATCATGTAAAGAGAACATCATATTCAATATTTTTAATCATGCAAGGATTCGTATACCGCATCGACAATACTGTGTGAAACAAGCCGACGGCAATTTTCACTTGTATTATTATTATTATTATCATTACCTTAGCTGCTATCATTATTATTATTTCCATTTTATATGCTGCATGTTTTTTTTAATTTTTTATTTATTTATTTTTATATTAACCGTATTGTAAATGTAGAAAAATTTTTCTTTGTGATTAATTTTATTTATAATTTGAGGAAATTAGATGCAATATTGTGATTAATGCTGAAAATTCCATTCTGTATCACAAGTACTGTTTTTGGAATAAAGTAAATTATTATTATTATTATTATTCCTCTGTAGTCCTCTTTATCTGGCTTCAAGATTGCCCATAAGCCTCCATCCCTTGCTCAAACCATCTCCTCCACGTCACCCTTCACCATACATCCAACTCGCCTTTTCCCATTTGGCTTCCATTTGGAAGATGGTCTGACGTACGATGTCACTTAACGGTCTCGTCATAGTATATCTAACTTACCTCAATTTCCTACTGCATATATATTGCTCAGTGGGTTGTTGGTAGGTTCTTATGCAGAGTTTCTTGCTGCTAATTCTTTCTGCCATCAGATCGTGAGTTTGGAGGCAGAGAAGGTAGCGATTGATGAATGTCTGCAACTGACTGTTGAGAAACCCTTTTTTGGTGAGATGCAAGGTTTCTGTCCCATTTAGAAGTGACTAGACATCAGTGTTGAAAATCCGAGCCTTGTACGGCGGACTTCCCCAGTGATGTGAAAGTGATGCAGCGTACTTCGCCTTTGCGATTCTAGTTTTGAAATCGTCATCCGTTCTATCACCTGGAGTTGAAAGGACGTTTCCCTGTTGGATAATTGAAAGAAGTAACCTCTTTCATTGTTGGTGATTGGTACTTGTTGTTGTTAGAAGGTCATCTTCATCACTTCCATCTACCCTATGTTCATCTGCAGTCCTGTCTTCACTGCCTACTTCTTCAGACAGTTTGTTGGCTTAAGCCTGTAAGTCTTCGATCGTCCACACGCGAAATCCAGATCACCTAGAGTCTTCCTGTCTTATCACTCCCAACGCAAAGTCTGACGCATAATCCAGTCCGTCACAATTAGAAATATCATCGGTGATAATAGGTATCCTTGTCTTACTTCTGTATTCACTTTGAACGCCTCGCTGAGTTTCCCGTTCTGGATCACCGGACACGTGGCATTGTCATAAAACCAGCTGTTGAATGAGGCTGATAAAGACTTGTTCACCACACACCGTGATGTTGAAACTGTTTCCAAATTACTTCTCGGTCAGCGGTGTTTGTCGAAGGCCTTCTTGAAGTCGATAAATTTAAGGTATAGGTTTGAATGCCATCCTATACTTTGTTCGATGACGATGCGTAGAGTTGCAATTTGATCAGCACATGATTTGCCTTTCTTGAATCCATCTTGTTCCAGGAGGAAGGGTTGTATGCAGAGCATATTTTTAGTCTCTTCAGGATGACACGACTTAATATTTTGCTTAGATTGGATAAGGTGTTTCAGATGGGAAACCTCATCACCAAAAAGTAACCTAGTTTTGAAATCATTTTCTAATGGACGAAAGGTTGTCAGGCATACATTGTGAATAACCTGAAGACCCTAGAAATTTGTCAACTGTGTCTCGAACTTTGTGTGTAGGAAAGGTTGGTCCAGTCCCTTATTTTACCATGGTCTTAAGTTCCTTCACAATTTCTGGTAAATAATAATGGTTAAATAAAGTAAACTAGCGCTTTTTAAACGACTAAGAAACAGGCTGGAGTGAATTAGTTAGATAAAACTGTGATGAAGAAGTCATTCTTGGACTAAAAAAAGTGGCTCCACACAAGGTTGCTGACGGACCTGATCCTCCGATACTTCAGGATAACTGGTTGATAAGTGAATAGTGGAATGTTCAAAGAACACTATGCAATAGATAACGAAGTATAACAGTTTGTCTAGAGATTTACAACTCTAGTATGCTTTAATTTGAACAAAACTAGAAAGCAACTTGTAAATTCTTCTATATATAGACCTAATCATTAAGGATTTCAATTCATAAGCCTTTAAAAAAATCTCTCGTCTAGTTAATTCTGTCTGGAATAGTTTTTCTGTTGTGTTTCTTTTTGATGAACCATTTAATTTGAAGCGTGAAATTTCTTCCCTAGAATAACTGACATACTCAATTTTTTCTCCAATAAGAATTTGATGAAAAAGTCCTAATCTGCTCGTAGGAATTCCTAATAACGCCTTCGATTTTGTACATTTCCACTGTAAGGTGACAAGCTCAGATATTTTAGAGATTAAAATTTGTATTTTTTTATGTGAATATTATGATGAAGGACAAAACATAATTAATAAAACCTGTGTTTTATTTTTTTGCCTACATATGTGTAGAATACAACGTAATTAGACAGAAAAGTTTCATAAATGGACCCTCACAATGTTTAGCTTAATGAATACCGACTAAAAAGGGCGTTAGTAATCTAACCTCGTCATCAAGGATGAATGGCATTGCTCTCCTCAATCCTACGGGTTCGACCTCCAGTAGCATTATGCGCATCTACTGTTGAGGAGATCCGAAGGAAGACGAAACATCATGAACTATGGTTCTTCAACCAGTGTCATGTAACCTAATCTGACAACCATCAAATCTACGCAGGTGCACATTAATTTAATTCTCTGATGTAAGAAAATTAGATCAATAATGACATCAGATAAAAGGAAACAAACCAACGTATTAGAATTACATTTTGTGATTGTGATATATTAGCTCCATCATCTTCTATTTCGTATGGTACAGCATCAGTTGAATATATCTGATTGGATTGGTGTTGAAACCTGTAAATATGATTAGTAAGAAAAAAGTTAACATTGTATATTCACTTTCGTCTTTTACAAAAGCAAACACTATGAATCCTTAACATTCTACACAGTTAGCAGAACCACTAAGTGCTTTTACTGACCAGTAAAATACATGGAGTAAAGTTGTGAAAAACAATTAACTGCAGAATCATTTGCTAATGATAGTATATATGTGTAAAACTTGGGCACTGTGGTAGTAAGTAATTCCATATTAGTTTGTTTATTAGGTATATCACACAGTAAAACAGTATTATTTACTGGATGACGTTTCGAACAAAATTTATTGTTCATAATCATATCAATTATAATCACACGACTTTGACACTTGAGTTTTATGGTTTTCTTTGTTCTCTCCTATTTGTCGTTTGGGTAGTAGAATTTTCCAGATATCGGGGACAGGTGATGACTAGCTGAACATAAAAACCTAGCAAAGTCTAGATTGGTTGACCCGAATAAGATAATAAATCTAGAGAATAGTTCAGCTATAGCACTCACTACATGCAGTTACACACAACCGTTCCATAGGGTGGATGGGATAGGATGACAGTTTTAAAATCTAATGTCACAGGGTATAGGGAGAGATTGATAACAGAAGCTTTGTTTATCGAATCAACTGCAAATCAACACGTGTAATAGGAATGATTCATCACCTGTCCCCGATATCTGGAAAATTCTACTACCCATACGACAAATAGGAGAGAACAAAGAAAACTATATAACTCAAGTGTCAAAGTCGTGTGATCACAATTGATATGATTATGAACAATAAATTTTGTTCGAAACGTCATCCAGTAAATAATACTGTTTCACTGTGTGATATATCAAATAAACAAACTAATATGGAATTAATGATAGCATAGTCCGTCGGTAGTTCACTCGTAGAAGCCCCCCTCCCAACCACTCACGTTGTCCTGCGACCTATTCCAGGCAGACAGATTTACGAATCGTAGCAAGCACAATAAGAAGGGAGGGTTAAGCGTATGGACAGCGACCCCACCCCACTAAAAACTGAAACACAACCTCTGCCAAAATTTCAAGCTACATATTTCAATCGGAACGCAAAGGAATGAAGACAATCTGAGTTTACATGACATAAGTCCGGCAAACATTCCATAAATTTTATGGAATTAATGTAGAGGAATGCAATTGAGCAAACATGATGCAAACATGATAAAACAGAGCACTATATTAAACAAGTAAACTGTGGAGAATCGTTAAATAATACCCTAACGTTTTATTAACATGGAAAGAATGGCGAATGAGACAAAATGACGGAAATAGTTTGAAACTACTTAATAAGTTTAAGTAGCATAAAATTGAAAATAGAAAACGTTAGAAAATATGGTTAGAATAATTTTAGAACCTACGTTCGCATAGAATGTCATTCTGTGAACCTCATATTCATAATCGTAACAATAATATCAGCCCTCAGAAATTCACTGAAATAATAAAGAATCTACAAATTTTTTTCTGATTCAAACATGTATCGCGTAAATATGTGAAATGTATTCTGCTTACAATGTCACGCATTCGAAATTCATTTTCAAATAATTACCACAGCCTTTGTTCTAGATGGTGTCATGACACATACTGAGGAATTTTCAGAGTATTTATTTGGGAAATATTCACCCTCTGTACAGGATATTCAGGGAAAATAAGTAAATGAGAAGATATCATGAGGTAAGATCTAATCCCTACAAATGCTTTTTACGTTGAAAACATATTCAGATTGTGCGCCTGCCTATGTGGAGACGGAAAGGCACATTTGAATGATTAAAACAATAGGAAATCAAGAAGACTTTGTGCACTATGTTCGATGGAAATTTAAGCAGCCCAGTAATTTAAGCAGGCCTCACTTCGACTGAAGTGATCCAAGAAATATGTATTATTCGAAACTAGGCATGAATCCATGTAAATATTTTGAAAGAGGTGACCAATAGCAGTTAAATCTCCTTTGTAGCATAGTAAGCTGGATTTATCTACATGTGACAGGATTTTTATTGGCATTCAAAAACTCAGCAGACAATTTTGGTGTGGTTAAACGAACGTCAGGAAGTTATAAGTGCAAGTCTTTGACACTCTTATCTGTTTATCCCTCTGAATTTTGTTTATAAATAATAACAGCAGCTTTATTCCAAACAGTAATTTTGTTACAAATATGGAATTTTCAGCATGTAGTAGTGCAGTATTGCCTCTAAATTTCTCATTACAGGCGTAATAATTACACGAGGGCATTTACATTGATAACATTGTTCAATAAGAAAATGAATCTAAAATTAAATTAAGCGAAAATATTAACAAGTGTAATCATGACAAAAGGGTGGGGCCATTTACTTAGAATTCCGTAAGTAAGCTGGTAATTTCCTGCCTTACACTTTTCTCATCGCTTAAAATGTGTGCCTGCCAAATTAGTTATTGTAGAGTTTTTGTACTTAGTCGTCCCAGCCCACAGTCTTCTCTAGTTGCTTCTAGTTCTACCTGATTAGATTCAGGGAGAAAGTTGTGTATAGACAGGATGCTCAGAATCTGAAAAGGTAATATTTGCTAATTTCTTACAGGAGTCAGTGTATTAACGAGTCGGTTTAGCAACACTTTACTCACCCTAATGAAGGCTTTTAGTGCCCTTTACAGTGTGACAAAGTCTTTCTTAAGCAGCGGGGGAAAGATTAAGCTGGGGGAGGGGGGGGAGTGAAGAATTAGAGGCACTGGAGTGGTTAGTATGTAGCATAATACACAAAACTCCTCCATGGATGACGTGATCTCATAGTCGGCATACCACAAGATATCAGGATAAAAATCGTTTGTTTAAAAAAGAAATTTCTAAGGTCCGAAAATTGTCACCCAAGGAGCTGAACAAAGGGAAATTTACGTTTTATGATTGAAATATAGATCACGATCTTAATCACAGACAAAGCAGAAAGGAGAAGGAATACTATCGCGTCCACGGGACAGTAATTACCCCCGATTTATGAAGAACGGTATGTATAAAAAAGACAAATCTTTCAAGTAAATAAAATTACTATTATAACAACTAAAATGCCATTAAAATTTTCACCACAAACCTGTATTGGCAAAATATATCAGTGAACTGCGAATTCAGCTTCTTTGCGCTTTGAATATTAATACGAAAATGGAATACTTCACCTGGTTTCAAGAAGTTAGGACAGTCGTCTGTTGAAACTTCCAGTAGTTCCTTAAGTTGTCCTTCGTCAAGAAATCGGTTATCAGCTGAAGAAGCAGAAGAAAAGCCAAAATGCACAGGAAGAAATATACTTTATATGTAATAATAGAATTAAATCGTATGTGATATGCATCATTATTTTTTTTCATATCCTACTGCTATGGTCGTTTAATTGCGAAGAATTTTCTGGAGAAGTATCATCGGTTTTTGGTTAAGTTTAGATGGTGAAAAAGTTAGGGAAAAAATCACAAAAAATCTAGCTTTTTGTCAGTATCTTATGAGGGTGAGAAAGGATGCTCGGGAATAAACTATGCTTGGTAATGAAGAACAATCAATGGATTTGAGATATTAGTATGATAAAAGCCTTTATGAAACCCGAAGTCACACTAAAAGACTTTGTGACAATGACACGAACAGCCTTAGCACAATACATAGATAATACAGCTTTAGTTCATTTCTCATTGCAGTTCCCTTAATAATGTTCTCAGTCACGTCTCCTTAATGACATTCAAATCTTATTCATGGACGGATTTTTATTCTTAACAAAGGTTTGACCATATTTTTGTTACTGATCGTATCAACCGGTTTGTTACCTTCTTCAAGAAATGAAGACTTTCTAGCATATTACGTCCATTCACTTTTTCAGTACAGTCGAGAGATATAAGAATAAAACTTGGGCACTGTGGTAGAGTATAATTCCATTATGGGTAAATTTTATTTTGATAGAGTCTCACAGTGTTATACAGTAATATTTACTGATGACGTTTCGAGCACAATTTATTGCTCATAACCATATCAAGTTACCCATAACAGTCGAGGGACTTTATGTGTGACCAAAAGCACTTTAGAACAAGCTTCATACTTTCATTGACTGGATACCGAAGGTCAGGCAACCAGAATGTATTACAAACAAAAAACTCTGGGGTTGAACCAACCAAGAGCTGACTGCTCAAATGGGAAACCTTGAGTTGGGCCTATATGGTAGGGATATTTGGAGAAGACCGTTTGAAGTGGAGATAAGAACACAATATTCAATGAAGAGACCCTTTTCAACGAATTTATTATCAGGCTGTACAATCGTATATAAATATGGCATTTTTTGAGAAATTGCGTCCGGTGAGGGAATTAGATCAAAAGTGTAAACACATGAAATAATAATAGTATGAAATGAAATGAAAATAATTGTGATTATAACCATAGTTAAATGTCAAGTAGCAAAACAATTAATGTCATATATTGAATAATACATAAAGGAACCTAATTTATTTACTCTGCACTTTAGGATAAGAAACATTTGTGGTTGTGAATGCGTTGACTCAGAGCTTGACTTCCTAAATGCCACGCTCGCAGAAAACTGTTACCCAAACCGATTTATTGATAGAAACACGAAAAATAAGCAGTCTAAATTGGTCACCGACTAAGTTCCGAAGAAAACCTTATTCATGAACTTGGAATTCAAAGCTGATCAAGCTTCAGATATGGTCAAAAATCGTCTCTCTAAAGCAGTCAGTAAGACGTTCTTTGCAGCAAAATTACATATGACGTTCACCAGCAGCAACTTCTGCATCTCTGTAAAAGAGAAGCTCTCCCGTCTGGCCGCCTCCATGTGTTTCTATCAGTACATCTGCTGTTGTGGAGCAAGGTACATTAGCCATAGCCAGAGGACGCTTTCCACACGGATACGAGAACATATTCCAAAGTTTTACAAGGAAGAAAGGAAGTGTGTTCTGAGCTCTATTCTGGAACACCTGATCGACTTCTGTCACTCTGTCAACCCAGACAATGATTTTAAGATCATATATAGAATCCATGCTAACTTCCCGCGTTTTCTTCGTTACAGACTTCTAAAGACAGCGGATGCCTTGGCAATTCATGACTTTAAGCTAGGCCTTACTGTACAAAAGAAGTATGTGCAATCCCTACTTCTGCCTTGGTCGTAGACATTTATTTATTTATGCGTTTTGTTTATTTGGTATTAGATGGTTGGAGGCAATCGGCAGGAAGCCTTGGACCTAGGTTTCGTGCTAGTTGGCACTCATCAGCAAGGCGTATCTGCAACCTTGAAGGAACTGATGTCCCCTCTGAGATCCGAACCCCCGTCACCCAGTGCTGCAGTCAGAGACGTTACCACTGAGCTATTCAGGCTCGCGACTGACCTCCTGTAGGACTGTATTGGATATTTTTGATTGAACACTAGTCAGTAACTAGTGTAATGTGTCTAGTCCTATCTTCGGTGCAGACTGAATTCTATCAGTCATGTTTGTTTATTTAGTTATTCTATGTACCTTCCCCTTATTACTACGATTATTATTATAATTACTATTCTCACCTTGAATTGTTTCCGCTTGTCCCATTTGTCATTCTAAATCCAAAATTATTATTTTTTGTTTTCAGAATATTGTATTCTATCGTATCAAATTTCACACCACATTGTGTAACATTTTATATTCGCCTACTAATCTTATAATTATGTACCCCTTTCCAACATCTATACACCTTATGTATTATTCTATATACGACATTAATTATTTTGCCAATTGACATTTAACTATGATTATAATCAGAAACATTTTATTTGCATTTCATACTACTACTATTATTTCATGTATTCACACCTTTGACCTAATTCCCTCACCGGATATAATTTCTTATAAAATAAACCATATAGATATACGATTGTACAGCTTGATAATAAATTCGTTGAAAAGAGTCTCTTCACTGAATATAGTATTCTTAATGCTAAAATGGGAATTATTAAATTATTGAAGTGGAGATGACAGCTTATGGGTGACCACTGAGCCAACAAAAGCCAAGTGCAGAGAAACAAGATGAAACGGAGGCATGCTTTTGAAGCCCAGTATTCCACCTGGACCCTGAGGGAGTAGTAATATAATAACTACTCTTTACGTAAGATTTTCTAAGTACACGGATATGTAAAGCCGATGTGCTACCAACGCAGTTATATTTAAGGTCGTAATAAATGTTTTCACTCCAGTTGCATATTTCATTTATATAATTTCTTTCAGTCATCATTATGGGTGAAACTTCTATTGGTTTGGGATACTGAGTACACTCAAGTTAAATGTAAATGAAAATTTTATTGTGGCAAATACTTAATAGTAATCTGTCAATATTACTAAAAACTGTCTTCATTTATAAGCATTTATATAATATTATCAACGCATATTTCAAAAGTCGAACTAGGTAGAAAAGCCTTGAATTTACTGGCTACGTTTTAGTGTGATTGGTGATGAGTGAATGTACAACGCAGAAGGAGTCTGATCACATTTCTACTTCACAATCCTCCACAAAATGTGAACACTATCGGGTAGGAGGATTACATCTAATCTTCACGTTTATCAACATTTTTCGGACTAGAAATATTAAGATGCTGGGAGAAAGGAGACTTGGGATTCGTATTCAGCCTTAGAAAAGAAGCTATGGATTAACATACAGTCAAGTAGAATTATTAATTAATGGAGGCTTTTCTGAAGGCTAAATTACATTCAAGTACAGAATGACTCACTAAATAAAAATGACTAAAAGGTATGAATGAACCCCATTTAATCAGCTATGTGTTCTTAATAAAAAATTCTAGTGGGAGGCTGTGACCAGTAGGGTGGAGTAGGTTGAAGGTGAGGCAGTAACTCATTGAAGAAGACATTGTGAATTGTTCGCGCTATGTCACGAATTGGCAGAAGTTAAAATTCATAGGCTGGCCATTGGGCTGGCTCGTCTTGTAACCAGAAGGTCCTGGGTTCGAGACTTGGTGGTGGGCGCATACTAATGAAGACTTCCAACCTAGGACAAAACAGCTGTCCGGTACTCCCCACTTGTTTTCCAATGGTCCTCTAACTGATGTCAGCTCATCATGAAATCCACCAACCGAAAAAGTGCCCATTTGCTACGAAAGGAATTGGAATGTTTATACTATGCATTTTGTTCTAATTAAGAATCTGCATTTCTCACCACGTTTCCATTAGGTATTCAACACAATAACCATCTTTTCAAGCTTTAAAGAGTTACCTGCTATGTTAATCAGCCTATATATTCTTTAATATTTATATTTATATATTTATTTATATATTCTTAATTGTGATTGACTGGATTATGCGTCAGGTTGTTGGGGGCGAGGAGTAAGGAATACGATTGACCACCAATAAGATGACTCTAGAAGATATGGATTTCGCAGGTGATATATGTCTAATGTCACACAAACTCGAAGACTTGCAAGCGAAAACCAACAAACTGGCTGAAGAGGCTGGCTGGCAGGCAGCGAAAACAGGACCGCAGGTGAACACAGAGAAGACGGAGGTGAAAAAAGATAACCAACCAACCAACAGCAACAGCAACAACAACCAGCACCAATCACTATCCTTCAGATATCTAGGAAACATCGTTTCAGTGGGAACGGACGAAGATGTTAGAGTCAGAGTCAGGAAGGCAAGATACGCCTTCATCAACCTGAAACCATTTTGGAAATCTTCTGCACTGCTTTCAGCCAACCAGCATAAACAACAAGATTTGGACTCTGTTTAACACAAATGTGAAGTCAGTGAGTCACTTCGTCTGTACGTGTCAGTAACTCGGCGAGCGTGTCATGAAAAGGATTTCAAACAAGTTATAGACTTTTGTATATAGCTGCCTTCTCTGGCTCCACACTGAAGATCAAATGGCCAGAAAGAATCAGAGACAAGAAACTTTGGCTGGGAACAAATATATAGAGGAAAGTGGAGATGGATCGGGCATTCATTGAGGAGGCCACCGAATGACATCGCTCGCCAGGCCATTGCTCGAGTGGAATCCCAATGGGAAGCGACAAGTGGGTCTTCGATGCAGTGGTGACATGAAGGAGATCGTGTGAGGTAGAGATGAGAGAGTTTGGTCAATCGTGGACCTGGCTGAAGAGGATGCCATAAAACAGAACAAAGTCCAGATGTGTTGTTGAAGTCAGCCCTATGTTCCACTCGGAACGCAAGGGAATAATAATAATTCTTGATTATTTAATAGGAACTTTACTGATTTTATTTTGGACAAGGGGATTCCTAACGATATTGAAGTTGGGAAGATATTTAAACCTGCACATTTGCTCGGATACACATTTTTGCCTTTCTAAGGGTTTTATTTTCCTCTCTATACGCAATAATTTAGTCGATGAATTACTGTTCAATGAGTAAGGTGTCAATTACAGTGGCAAATTTAAACGGTTTTCCTCAACCAGTAAATGAGTGCGAGCAATTATATGATTTTAATGTGTATGCTTTTTCAGTAATTATGCCAACATTTTTGAAATATTTTTAAATGTCCGCATAATTTGAATTAATTGCTAACTGGGAACTGTAAAAGTCGCATAATCATTTCTTCTGATAGGCATATATATACAAATTAACTTTTATTAACAACAAACTGCGTTTTTTCATCTTCAAACTAACTAACTCATGGCTATTAATCTGATGCTGGCTAGTGGCTGGCTGCAGGACGAAGTTGCTTGGAGTTCTAGTGATAAACTGTGACCGGTAGAGCCCATCTAGTCAGGGATGAGGAGAAATACTCTCCGATGACATTGGTTCGTGGTCGTGCACAAAATCACGAATCCGTGGAACTCAGAATTAATGGATGCCTAAATTTTGCCCCAGTATCTAGATGATGTACGAGCCTTCTATTTAATCACAACGCACTGGGTTCGAACCCCAGTTAGTGCGTACTGGTGGTGAGTCCCAAACACTGTGATGACTCCCCTTGTTTTCTATGGCTCTATAACCGAAACACCTTTTAAAATGTCGCTAAATACTCTTTACTACTTAAAGTTTACAAGTAGCTTAATTATTTTATGGAAATAAACCAATAATTTCTCGAATTAACAGCTGACGACCATGATGTTATTTAGGGTTATTAAGAAAGTACTATAGCAAAATTTAAACTTGAAAAACTGCAAAGGACTTAAGCTTACTAGCTAAATATGAGAGTCTCAAGTTTAAATTCCTCATCACCTTTTTAGCACAACCTCTAGAGCACAACAAATACGCCTATCTAAATGAAATTTCCAAAATAGATCACGAATTGATGTCGTTTTAAGAACCAATTGAAACCAGGAAGTAAGGTCATTAGCACCCAATCCACTACTTCCCAACACTTCAGAAATAATCTGTTGATCGCTAATAACTGGCTAGGGGATGAAGTTCCTGGAGTTCTAATGAGAAGACGTTATCACTGAAGTTCATCTAGTCGGGTACTAGAACAAATTTTTGCCGATGATTCTGGCTGGCACCATCGGTAATTTTCACGAATTGACACTAGCTACATTCAATGAGCCAGTGGATCCCAACCCAGTAGCTGAATGGTCAAGGGACCTGTCCGGTAACCTGTAGGTTCTCGATTCGATCCCTGGTAGGTCACTGATGAGTTGTTGAAGAAACCCAAATTAGGACGAGATAGCTATCCGGTACTCCATGGATTTCAGTAATTATCTGACTGATGTCAGTTCATAAAATAAATTGGAATAAGTGAAATTCCTGTACACCAATTACTTATTAGTTTGTTTATTATATATATCACACAGTCAAGCAGTATTAATTATCCAGTAAATAATACTGCTTCACTGTGTGATATATCTAAGAAACAAACTAATATGGAATTAATTACTACCACAGTGCCCAAGTTTTACACAAATATCCTGTACACCAAGTTTTGAAAATAACTGAAAATTACCCAGTGACTCTATTTTCCAATAAGTTTAAGTGCATTCAATTTCAATATGGGTTTCAGACAAAATAAACTTATAGAAAATCAAAACAAGTGATTCAGCGAAGAGACTCCTACTCGTGTGGAGCTAGGTATATTGGTCGTTCGACATGAGTTTTGTCCAAGAGGGTGCAAGAACACTATCCTGCATGGTTACGAAAAGGTGGAAGTGGAGCAATAAGAAGCGCGATCATTGAACATCTGGTCGATAATGATCACCCTATCTCTATAGCCTCCGCCTTCAAAGTCATTTACAAGGCAAAGAGTAATTTACCCAAATTCCTACGTACCCGAATCATCTGTATTGCTGAAGCTTTGGCTATCGAAACAGAAAAGCCAGATCTCTGTGTACAGAAAATAGTTCGTTCAATTCCTCCAACTTTCATGGTCTTAATCCCTCTATGCTAAAGTATGGAAACCCCTAGTCATATTTTGGCTCTACTTATTTTTCATTTTGTCTATTCAATTTGTATATTCTTCCTTATTGCGTCAATTTTTACTATTACTACTCTCACTTTGAACTATCCCTGGTATTATTTCACTTGTTCCACTTGTCATTCTAAATCATTTCTGTTTTTACAATGTTAAATTCTATGCTATCGAATTTCACACCATATTACGTAACGTTTTTATTTTATTCGATTTGTCTACTTATCTTATAATTGCACACCCTTTTTCAAGTTCTATCCATCCTATGAATTATTCTATATATGACATTAATTTGTTTTGCCACTTGACATTTAACTATGATTGTAATCACAAACATTTTAGTTTTAATTGCATTTCATATTATTATTATTATTATTTTGTGCATTCACACCTATGATTCAATTCCCTCACCAGATATAACTTCTTAAAAAAAACCATATATGTATACAATTGTACAGCTTGATGATAAATTCGTTGAAAAGAGTCTTTTCGCTGAATCACTTGTTTTGATTTTCTTTAGGTTACAATGGGAATTTTCCATGAGTTAAAAAAAACTTACTAAGTGTCGATTCATGAAAAAACCGATGACGACATTTGGACTTCGCCATCCCAACCTTCTGTTTTTTTACATCTTCATTTGTTGAAGGTCTCGGAGTTGGAGTGTCATTTGTAACATTGTTGTTTTGTTCGTGTCCATGAAGATCATTTTCTATAATGTAGTATCCATTCACATATTTATCATTCACTGTGGATTTAGGGAATCTCTATGGAGGGATAAAAAAGTGATTGAAGAGTCACTTGGAAACTAATACTTATACTGAATATATACATATAATCTCAAAAAGTTATATTCAAACTGCCTAAGAGCTGAAATCAGACTGAGCATTCGGAGGGGATTGCTTAAAAATTATATTTGAAATTGAAATGAGTAATTCCAACGTTTCCTGCTTTCGGTAAACTGGTGCTGAAGAATTTCGGTCCGATTATTTTGGAATTATTTTGTCAAATCTTGACGACAGTTCATATGAATTATTTTGCAATCGAATTAAATTAACAAAGAAACTATGCAAATATGACAATCATCGTGTTTTCAATCTCAGTTATCTGCAACAGAATGTATATCCTAAATCCGTAGCTGTCGAGTCACCTGACAATTCCAGTAGGTCGAATAAAGCAGCTCAATCTTCGGAAAGAAGACAAAGCAATACGTTCGATAGGGTGCTTCTACTAAACTCTAATCCTAAACACCATCATTTTTAAAATACTTTAATGGTAATATTCTAGATACTAACAATTTGAACAGACGTGAAGATGTGATGTTAGCTGATCCATGGCAAATCCTGATTACTATATATAAAAAATGGATATGTATCACTAATTAATCATATTTGGTCTAAATTCCCGATTGTCTATAACTTCTTATAGAGACACTAAGAAATATTTTACAACTGTTTACCCATATACAAAATCACACACAGCATTGTATACCGCATATACACACACATATTTTCATATTCAGTTATCTACGACTATGAACTTTTAGTCGAACGTAATCACTAAAATTTCGATGCAAAAGTACACTCTGTTTAAAGTGTTTCACAAAAGTAGACCACTATTTTTAAGTCGGAGTTCAAATTTCGATCACAGCTCATAAAAATGTTTAAAACAATTAGTTCCGTTTATGAATTTAGATAAAGCGATAAGAAGACGTAATTTGTCTGAATTGTGTAACGTATTTGCGCAACACATTTCGAACAATCTGATCACACACGGACTTGTCATAGAAATACATATGAAATTAATAAAGAGGTAAGAGGTGAGAAAATAGACTACTTAGGTCGAGTTAAAAGGACATGTTCAAGGTCAAAGTAACAACGAAGACCATTAAACCAAATAGTAAAGGTTATAGTACAACTGCTATGGTATCAAAACAAAGTTTACCAAGGAAGGTTTAATGTGATGACGAATTGTTGCTTTGAACGCATAAAGGTGGCTTAAACTTTCCAATTGCTAGGGCTTCCACAAACTTTAGGATACGCTCCAAACACGTCTTACAGATAGATTTAAAAGATCTGTTAACGTCAGTTTTATGTCTTGTCTCTATAATATGTTTCGCAATAGAAGAGCTAAGTCTCCTGTTCTCACCCTTAATAGGTTCTGAAGATTCCATTTGTTTCTGGAGTCATTTAGGAATATGCTCTGAAGCCAGCCCTTACTTGCAGAGATCGGTGAGTCCTCCCTATGTATGTGTGTCCACACGTACATTCAAATTGGTAAATGCAGTGGGATGTGACGTCATTTTATCGCATATTCGAAGGGCTTAGATACATATATTGGCTTAACATTCTCTATTATTATGATATTGGCTGCATAAAGTCTTTTTAACAGATATTTTAAAACTATCTATAAAACGTGTTTGGGGCGTATCCTAAAGTTTGTGGAAGCCCTAGCATTTAGAAAGCTTAATTCACCTTTATGCGTTCAAAGCAACAATTCGTCATCACATTAAACCTTCCTTGGTAAATTTTGTTTTGATACCATAGCAGTTGTACTATTACCCCTGTTATTTGGTTTAGTGATCTTCATTGTTATATTGACCTTGAGTATGTCCTTTTAACATGACCTAAGTCTATTTTCTCACCTCCCACCTCTTTATCAATTTCATATATTCCTATGACAAGTTAGTGTGTGTGATCAGATTGTTCGAAATGTGTTGCATAAAAATGTTTGTTTATTTTATTTTGGTGACTGTTTCATGACTCATATGATTGGACAAAGTTTTTAAAGACAAGAGATGTCGTTTTTATAGTTTCGATTAATTTCCCCGAAGAAGTTCTGTCTACTTCTCACTCGGCGCCCAAATATATTTTGGAACCATTCTGTCAAATCATGATCACAGTTCATATGATTGCCTATTCGTTTAAATTTACTGATGAAACCAAAGGAAATTAAAAAGAAGTGATCAATGATTCCAGGGAATTTTAGATGGTTTCAGTATTCCGCATTTGAGTATGGACAGTTGGCCTGCAATTTTCGAAAACACCGCAAACTGTGTTGACATCAAAAATTTCAATATATCATCCTTAACATCACCTTATTGAAACAAACAACACTGTCATCTGATATGAACTTCCTGTTTTTCTGGATTTTCAATAAATCTATCAAAGTATATCAGCTAATTGCTTTAGAGGCTAAATTTAATATGACAGATTTTAGTAAAGTTTGAAATGTTTATCATTTTTTTTTGAGAACAGTGGCACAGGTTCTGAAAATTTGTAACATTCACAAAATATCTCTAATGTCCTTGAAACAGGTTCACAAATATGTTGAAATTAATTGAAATAGGAAAATGTAAACATTTAAAGCAATTAGTTCCCTTTATGAATTTCGACAGCACAATAAGAAGACGTAGTTTATCTGAAACGTGTAATGTATTGTTATTAGACGTTACGGAAGTGTCAACCATAGAGCTTTACCAATCCAATCAGATCCCAAAAAGGATGTTTACATATCCTTACCGTTCAGAGGTGATCAACAAAGTTTAGTCACCAGACAAAGACTTAAGGCCGCAATCAATAGAACCTATTATGCTGCTAAACTTATCTTCATAGAGAAAACGAGGACTATGCTGTTCTGTAAACCCTCACATCATCCGAACGATAGTGTCACATCCCACTGTGTTTATCAATTTACATGTATGTGTGGAGACACGTACATAGGGAGGACCCATCGGTCTCTGCAGGTTAGGGCTACAGAACACATTCCCAAGTGGCTGCAGCAACAAATGAAATCACCAGACACAATTGAACCCGGAAATAGATGTCCAACATCATCTATAGCCAAGCATATTATAGAGACGGGTCATGAGGTTGATTTCAACAGTGCCTTTAAGCCGATATATAAAACGAGGTTGGGCCACATACTTAAATTCATTGAAGCCTTAGCCATAAAAAGACTTAAACCTGTCTTATGTGTCCAAAAATTATTTGTTATCACCTTAAAGGTGCCTTGGTAATTCAATTTAGAACCAAGGACTAATTTACTTCCTAATATTTTCAACCCCTTCTTTGCCTTGTTTTTTTCCCCTTTTATCTTTCTTACCCACACCTTTTGTGTCTCCCTACCCATTATTTGTGACCTTAACCTGTATACAATCTGACCTGTATTGTAATTATTCATGCCTTCTTGCATTATATAAAAACTGTGTATGACAAGTACGTGTGTGATCAGAATGTCCGAAATGTGTTGCGCCAATACATTACACGTTTCAGATAAACTACGTCTTCTTATTGTGCTGTCGAAAATGTAAACAAATGCTGATCTGCCTTGCAGTGATTTCTACTTTATTTAATTCAATTGTTTTTAGATTTTCCCGTCTATTGATTGGACCGAAGTGCTGGGTCTCACGTTGACGCGTCGGCTTCTTGTGCAGATGCTTTGACAATGTCTGGGCATGTAATTAGAATTTAATTGGTGGATGGTAACTAGCAGTGGAATCCAGGATGTGGCCTAGTGCATAACGCTTTGGCGTTTGAAACTATGGGCAATGGGTACGAGCCTCGGTGGGAATATCACCACTCACTGGGGAATGCGGGTACATCCAGATGATGGCGAGTCCCAGATAGGACGAAATGCGCATCCTAGCTGGATTCCACTGCTAGTCACCATCCGCCAATTAAATTCTGATTTCTGATGTAGTTCGAAACATGGTTTCTGTCAATGCTGGTGAACATAGAATGGTTTGTTTATTCGAACTGCTCTCCATTTGGCGGGAGACAAGAAGGCTATCACTGCCTAATAGTACAATGGTTGGTAGAAGATTCGAGAAATACGATTAGAAGTATTGTTGTACACTATATTAACGTTTATCCAGAGAATTTAGCACTGAGTAACAATTGTAATTCGGTTTCATTATCGGTTGAAGAATAAACAGTCCTACTGCCCAACCATTTTTTGTTATTTTGTTTCAGTTGCAGTGCATAGTATTCTGTGTATTAGGTTTAGTCTTCTGAAACCAGCAATAGGTCCAGGATCTTTGCAATCTGGATACTTGACAGTTTCTGTTTCATGCTTTTAGAATACACTGGAAATAGTAGAACTTAGAATGAGTAGCTGTAAAGGAGATGATTAGACTTTGGCTTGTAGGACGGACATACGAGGCCTGATGATTGCCTTCATACATCAGGACCAGTATAATAACTGTAAGAAAAGCTTATTTAATACGTTCGCAAAAGAATGCAAACCATGACGTGGAATAGATAATTCCTCTGTCTGCTATGAAGCAGGCACTTAGTAACACAGATGTCTAAGTCAAGCGAACAACTACTGGGGGATTAGAAACCCAAGTTTATAGAAAATCAACTCACACAGATCAAATACTGAATTACAACATCACACACATAACACACTAAAGGAATTGCATACAAAGAGTATTCAAGAGGGCCAGGACTCATTGTAGCACTCCCACCTTAAGGAAAATTGAAGAAAGATATCTCCTGGACGTCTTCCAAAAGAATGGATATCCAAGGAATTTCATCAAAAGATATATACCCCCAAGCCAACCTATCAAACCCAAAGCCCCCAAGGAAAGCAAAAGGAAAGTCGCCCTACCATATATAAAGGATATCTCAGAAATCACTGCAAGACTCTTCAAACCTTTAGGAATTGACGTCGTACACAAACTAACAAAATCACTTCACTCATTTCTGTGTCAACCAAAAGACTCAACAGCGAAAGAAGATAAAACCAACATCATCTACAAAATAAATTGTAACAACTGCGGAAAACACTACATTGGCCAAAGTGGAAGTTCCATTCGTCTTCGTATCCACGAACATAAGCTAGACGTCAAAAGACATGACATCCACTCCCTCGCTCATATCACTACATACAGACAGCCATGGATATCAATTCGACTGGGACAACGTTCGAATATTAGACAGAGGAAACAACAAGAATCCTAGAGAATTTTCAGTAGCCTGGACTGGTATTCAAGTGAATCATCAATCAATAGACACATCGACATAGACAAAATTTATCAACCGATAAGGAAGAAACCTCACACAAAGGGTCAAAGTTAAAGTCAAAGAAACAATCAGTTCCAATACTAGTAGTTTATAGTGTGGAAACACACAAAAACAACCAATCACGTCCAAGGTCACCCACCAGGAGAGATGGTTAATAAACTCATGGAGAAATCAAAAAGCTCACTTCAACAAATTGAAGTCTGCGCTGAAGATGTCACCTAGTAGGGTGATGAAAGCTTCGCAAATTAACTATCCAGCTCAGAGAACACAACCACATCAAAAACAGATAAACAAAATATGAAGATCAATTGGTCTCATGAAATGTTGAAGGAAAACTCTTTGGAAAGTGGAAGAAGCCTCTTCAAAGGAAAACACTTTCATAGTTCATAGAACTTCAGTTCGGAATGACGAGAAAAGCATCAGATGTACAAAACGTTAAACCACAAATAATTCACATACAATGGAAGTCAAGTTGCATGTGTTGCATGTGATAGATTCTACTCAAACCAAGGTGAGTTTTGAGTATATTTGAAGCGACTAATGCCATATCTTTAAAGATCCCCTTGAAATCTATTCAAACACTTTTGTGGAGATCTCAAAATCGTTTGTCAAACTTTACATAGGAAATATGATATCTATAAGACTATATGTATGATAACATGCTAAAGAATACGTAGAAACCTCCCAAAGTATTCGAAAAAGTCTTTGTGAAAAATGCTACGGTTTCATCAACTCAGACGTTTGATTTATCACTTTGATAATGCAAGTAGGAAGGATAACTACTTTATCGATCTTGAAATACAGACTCAGGTGATGGCTGAAAAGAAGGAAACTTTCACTAAGGATTCTGTATGTCTCAAAAGTGCAAGATCCAAGAATCATATGAGACCAGTGAGAAATACAAAGTACCAATACTTAATATGAGTTATGTAACTTTGTAACTACAGATGATAAGAGAACTGGTGACAGACCTTAAATTAAGGGAAAAATACATCATATTAATACAGTTTTTGCCACATTAAAATTTGTCTAGGTCAGAGGAGAGTAACTAGTTCTGATTGGTCGGCACTTGGCCCAAGGTTAAACAATGAGGCAAAAAATTCTCTACCAAGGTTATTTCATGTCCCCAACGTAAACTAGATCCAGATTTGTGGAATAAACACTTCTACCTCTGCAGCAGACCACTGGCTTAAAATGTCGATTTCAATTTTGCCGCCGCATCCTACCGATTTGTATGTATATACTACTTATTCATCTTATCAGTAACACAGGTCACAAATTCAGTAAGCCTTCAGTAAAATACCTAATGATTTACTTACCCAGTTCATATAATGTAGATCGTTAAAGGAAACATCAAGTTCATTGTCTGAATTAACTTCATTATTATGTACGCCTGACTGACAAGTAGATTGTCGATCTGTTTTATTCTCCTGATGCTTATTCGTCATCATAACAGGTTGAACTTCAATATTTAAAAGACCAGTAATTTGAGAATGTTCATTTAACAGAGTGACTTGATGAGTCATTGTTACTCCATAGTACAAATTAGTTAAGTATAAAAGACCTCTAAATAGGAGAAAGTAAAAATAGAAACACAGCAATATGTATGTAAAACTTGGCCACTGTGGTAGTAAGTAATTCCATATTAGTTTGTTTGTTAGATATATCACACAGTGAAACAGTATTATTTACTGGATGGCACAGTTTCGAACACATTCTGTTATTGTTCATAATCATATCGATTATAATCACACGACTTCGAAACGTCAGTTTTATAGTTTTCTTTGTTCACTCCTATTTGTCGTCGTCGGGGTAGTAGAATTTTCCAGATATCTGAGCAGGTGTTGAATCATTCCTATTACATGTGTTTGGTGCTGACTCGATAAACAAAGTTTCCGTTATTAATCTCTTCCTCCACCTGTGACATTGGATTTTGAAACTGTCATCTTATCCTATCCATCCTATTGTATGGTTTTGTGTGATTGCATGTAGTGAGTGCTATCTTCGGCTGAACTATTCTGTAGATTTCTTATCTTTTTCGGGTCAACTAATCGAAATTTCGCTAGGTTTTTATGCTCGGCTAGTCTGACCTATGTATTTGACCTGACAATCATTGCAGGCAGAGTTACAGATAAAGTAAGTTGTTTCGTTTTAAAGACTCCACAGGCAGGATCTTTTAACCGACAAAGCTTGTTTCTAATTGAGTTTGTGGATTGAATTCCAGCCACTATTATTAATGCCTTGTTAAGAATTCTGAATAAGGCTTGTGAGGTTCCTTCCTTGTATGGAATTACTACTGATGATTAAGATTCCTTATTGTTTTTGTCATTATCCTGCTCATGTTTGACATGCATGTTGTCATTAATATTGTTATTATTATCACCATCACTACTATCATAATTTATTTTATTTTCATTTTCACATTTCCCTACATACTTTCTGACTAATTTATCTTATCTGCCTCACTTCCTGTCTTAGATTTTCCTTGGTACTACTTAGTTTTTGCGCTCCAATTCTATCTTCAACGACATAGGATGTGATGATAGGAAATCCAAATATATGTTTGAATGTGTGGGTCTCCTGTAAACACACACTAGTATGTTTAACTTCCCATCTTCTTTTTTTATGCTACATACAATCTAACATTGGAAGCTCCCCGCTTCCTGACTTTCCAATTCATAAGTGAATTGAATCGTCTCCACCTCTGAGTTAATGTGTTCGAAAAATCTATCTATATCCTGTGTTCTAAGTACCGTGAAAGTGTCATCTATATACCTCCAACATACTTTTGGAGTGGGTCTGAACCTTTCAATCGCTAAGTTTTCCCACCTATGCATGAATATATCTGCTACAACAGGGGATATTGGTGACCTCATGGTAACTCCTGCAGTTTTTTTGTATATTTTCCCTGGATTATAATTGATATGATTATGAACAATTGTGAATTTCGTTCGAAATGTCATCCATTAAATAATACTGTCTCACTGTGTGTGATATATCTGATTAACAAAACTAATATAGAAATACAGAAAATTAGGTGTCTTTCTTTATTTGACATCAGTCAATGAAATTTAACTAACTAACTTCTGCATAAATCAAACTACTAAATAACCATTTCAGTAGCCTTTAGTTTTGCCTTCTATACTTTCTTCTTATTTATCTTCTACCTTGTAAACACTGATCGTTTCCGCTTAATAACGAACTTCTAATTTGTCTGTAATGAAAAGAAATAACTTTTCCACCTCAGTGGAATTGTATAAGTGTTTAAATAACTGGAATTCTGAGTAAATTCTATTCAGTCACGCGAGATAAGTTAACTCTTTTCTATATTGTGCGTGCCTGAAGCTGAGAAAAAGGTTTTTAATGCAATCGTCAGTGCAACCAAGTTACACGTTAAGGATTCCAATACCTGTGGGTCCAATGGACGACATGTTTTTAATCTATCAGTGAAATTATTAAACTCTTTTATATCACTTCTAGACGGTTAGAGACACTTAATAAAAGGCGTGGTAGTAGGTTTTGAGTTCATTGACACTCATCATCAGCTCGTTTCTGAAACCTTGAAAGCATAGATATCTCCCTGGAGATTTGAACCTGTATCATCCAGTGCTGTAGTCACAGACATTGCCAATGAGCATTTCTGGTTCACAGTTGACCTGTTGTATACTCGGTGACCCCCTGGAATTAGTGTGAAAGGAATCTAACCAGTAGCGTCGGTGCCAAGTTACCAAGAAACGTAGTTGAAATACTTCAGACACTCAAACAAGGAACGAAAAATGAATAGTAATGATGATAATATATGCATATTTTATGCGTACACAACAGGAGTGAATGTAGTGCTTCAGTATATGAGCAAAAGTTTTGTCTGATTTGTTACTGTAAATCTGCTGCCTTCTATCAAGAACGAAATTTCTGTGCAGAACTCCACTAATTCACAGGATGATACATTTAAAAAAACCCTTTTCTAAATCTTAAGTGTTAGTGTACGTACTCTGTCATCCCTTTAGACTCCTCGTTCCTTTTGCACGGAATCTTTAAATTAGTATTACTCGTCTAATTCAGTTTAGATTTCCCCGTCGATTGATTGGACCGAAGTGCTCGGTCTCAGGTTGAAATATAGGCTTCTTGTGCAAACTCTTCGACGACATTTGGTCATTTGACTTGAAGTCAATTGGTGGATGGTGACTAGCAGTGGGAACACTGTCACTCACTGAGGAATGCAGGAACATCCGGTTGATGAGTCCCAAATAGGACGAAATGCGCATCCGTGATTCCACTGTTAGTATCACTCATGCTGACAGTTTGTGAAACTGTAACTTGACGTTAGTACCAAGTTTGAAAAATATACATTTAACAATACTTGCTATAAGTAGGCAGCGAAACGTTGGTGACAGGGACGATTTTAGGTCAGAACTATTTCATCTAAAGTATAATTAAGAAAGTGTTTCTTAAAGTATGATAACAACACAGGCCGATATCGATTAGAAAACCAGGGAGTACTACACAAATGTTTCACCATTAGTTGGGTACTTTTCAGCATTACACCACCAAGTGTCGAGCCCAATATCTTATTTTTAATAGTTGTAATAGCCTTATTCTGAAACAGTATTTATATAATGTACAGAATTTTTAGCAGATTTTATTGCATTACATTTTCTCTTTGTCCAGGATCTTAAGATAGAAGATTAACTGACTGACAGTAGATCGTACGAAACAAGCTAACCTGAAACGTAAAATAATCCATTATGATGAAATCTCTTCTTTTTCTCCTTCGAGAAATACACGACATTTCGTTGAAGGTCAATTATAAAAAGTTCAGTATCACATTTTATGAACGAAAAAACACCACTTAGGAATGGCCATCACATGTACTGGGATAAGCTGCCATCCAGCTAGATTATGCTTTTTCTCATGTTTAAAAGAAACTTGCGAATCAGTAGGTTGTAAATGTTTTAAATGCTCACCAGAGTAAACAGCATTATATGAGGTCATATTTTGATTTGACACTAGTAACTAGTATGATGTGTCTAGTCCTCTCTTTGGTGCAGACTGAATTCTATCAGTCAGGTTTGCAATGTGGCAACCATTCTAGGTAGCTCGCCATCACGGTACACACTGATTTGATGATATTAGATGGTTAGAGGCAACAGGCAGGAAGTCTCTGACCTAGGTTCCGTGTTAGTTGGCACTCGTCAGCAAGGCGTATCTGCAACCTTGAAGGAACTCATGTCCCTTCTGAGATTCAAACCCACGTCACCCAGTGCTGCAGTCAGAGACGTTACCACTGAGCTATTCGGGCTCGCGATTGACCTCGCGACTGAGAAATTGACAACGCCATATTTTACCAGTTTTAAACAAACTGAATACAAGAAATATATGCTCAAACCAAGTTCACTTTTAACAGTTTGAAAAAATTTCGGCACTGGGTATATGATATTCATTATAATAAAGGTTTTTTTGTATTTCCCAATGAGTGAATGCAAAAAACGGTATTACTGTTTTTACTGACGTTTTCCTATTTAATGCTGCTAATGGCTTTAGACGAGCACACTCTTTGATAACGGATGAGAAAGAAAAAGAAGAATAAATATCAAACATGTTTGAGACTCTCAAGTAAAATAACTTCCCAAAGAACATTAACAAAATCAACACCGACACTGAGTATGGTCGAAAGACGTGTTCCAAAGACAGTGGTCATTCCATATAGAGCAGAGACGTCAGACGATATCAGAAAAGTACTCAATGAGCACGATATCTGCGTTTTCTTCAAAACATCAAACAAACTGGAAAAATACCGAACCCCTAAAGATTCTCCATCTAATTGTGTCTACAAAATAAAATGCTTGCTTGGAATGTGATGCGATATACATCGGACAAACCTCACCAAAGAGAAATCAAAATCAGAAGAAATGAACACCGTAGAGCATCTGTTAGACCGACCACCAAGAAGTCCAGCTGAACTAGAAAATCTCGAAAAATCATCCTCCATAGGTCCTCTATTATTATATTATTTATTGTTTCCTTTAATTCCTAGAGGAACATAAGGCTTCAGCCATGCGTATCTATTGCGTTGGGTTCTCTGCTAGAGTCTTCACCTGGCTCCAAGTCTGCCCACATGCCTGCAAGCTATAGAATCAGGCGAAAAAATTGGTTTTGACAATATTGAAATCATCATCCAGAAGAATTTCAGAAATCACAAAGAACGTCGAATATAAGAAGCACTTCATCATGTCAGATGGAATCCAAATTGCCTGAATAGGAATGATGGTCGAGAGCAGAACTTGACCCGGTTACAACAGCACCCTCTCCCCCATCAAGTGACAAAAGCAACACGAATATGACAAGTAATTTCATTATGTAAACACATACTGCTTTTATATAATTTTATACGCTTATCAAATCCAACAATTCACATTTGGTTTTGCTGAAGAACTATGATTAAGTTTTTAGATATAAGCTGAGATTTTGTAAATTCTGGTTTTATAATACTTTGATAAAGCTATTAGCAGCGTTAAATAGCGAAACGTCAATCAAAACAGTAATATCGTTTTGTTTTTCATTCGTTCATTGGGAATTGCAAAAATATACCTTCATTATAATGAATATAAGAAACTATATGCAAAAACTGATGGAGGTTATCGGTAGCCAAAATTTTGAGCAAGCCTTCAGGCTATGCGATGACTAGTGTACCATTCTGTCACTGGTAAGAAACTCACTGACATATGCAGTCATGAATAAATTTATTGGCTCAATCTGAACATTGGTATAAGTTTGGAATTAGACCTTGAAATGAGATACCGATGACTGCTATACACACACACACACAAAATGTCATCTCTCATTAATTGTCCTCATGACTTATTTCTATATGTAAAATAAAAAAAGGAGCAGAATGCTGATGAAACTAATTACCTTCCAATTTTTTGATACCATGGAAATTCATTTCGAAATGGATCTTTTTTAGTCTCACCAGATGTTGCGTCATGATCATCAGGATTATAATGTCCTCCATAGATTGGATTGTTTGCAAAACTTGTAAGAGTTGGTGAAAATGCTGTTTCAACTTCATAATAATTACGCATAGTTTGAAGACGCCGCCTAAATATCGAATAAGAAACATTTAAAACAATTTTAAAAAGGGTGGAGTTTATAATAAAATGGTAACAGATATTAGCATTGGAGAATATTTTAGAAAAACACGCCAAAATCTGCTTATTTTTCCCTAAATTTTCTGACAAGTGTAAGATAAAGAACTGAAAGGTGCCACTGTTAGTTCAGAGGAAAGACAGGCTATCCAGTAGTGACTTCATTTTCTTTCTCAAGTTTTGTTACTGAACACCTTAACAATGCCCTTAAAAATCTAGACTAGCGGAAGGAAGATTATTTTAGTTTCCCTTGAGTTGCTTGAACGGGTCTTCTAGCTTGCTTTGTTTGTCGCTATTACGGTCAACAGACTTCCGTTTTCTAGGATACTGTCATTGTTGCTATAACTATCGTCTTCCCTCTTCAATGTGAATGAAGTCTTTGTAAGCGATCTGATATGTAAACCATGTTTTTCTGTCTAATTTTCAGTTCGCGAAATCCCTGAGTGTCATATGATTCAGCAACCGTTACAGATCATCTGTATTTCTTTCCATAACTCACTAAATACTGCGCCTTCGCATCTCACTACTCCAGTCCACAAAGCATTACCTGATGAAATTTCACCGACTATTGACCGAATGTCTATGTTGGCTTTTTTGCTTCTCTTAGCCTCATGAACATATTAAATGCCTATAAATATGCCTAACTGACCATTTATCTGTTAACAAAACGACAGCAGCAGTAAATACCAAGTTTCTTTTTGTCTAAGTATTTGTATAAATACTGAAGAATCGCTTATTTTAAATATTCCCTTAGGTTCGAAGTGGAACATACTGCTTCAGGAGAACATCTCCATCTCGTCCTGCTCTCTGCAGTCACCTTCAGCTGGCTCTACAACTGCCCATAAGTCCCCATCTCCCTCTCGCACAATCTCCCGCATGTCACTTAAGGAAACTCAACTCGCTGTTTATCATTCGGGTTACACTCAAGTTGACTGACGTGCCACGTCGCTCACCAATCTCCTCAGAGTGTATCCGATACATCTCCATTTTCTTCGGCACATTTGTTGGGCTGTGGGTTCATAGTTAGTCTATCTGTAAAGTCCCTCGTTGCTAATCCTTTCTGATTGGCCATCGGATCTTTAGTGAGCATAGCTGTCCATAAAAGTCGGTTACCTGTTAGAAATGCTGAAGACCTCTGTGGTGCGGTAATTATTATTATTTCCTTTAATTGCTAGAGGAACATAGGGCTTCAGCCGCACGTCTTCATTGTGTTAGGTCCTGCGCCAATGTTTTTACCTGGCTCCATACATGCTTTCATCTTCTCTTCGCATGATATCCTCCATGTCACCCTCGCACTGATGACCAGCTCTTTTCTTCCCATTCGGGTTCCACTCGAGCGATGGTCTGGCGTGTGATGTCACTTGATGGTTTGTTTCCTCAGAGTACGACCCATCCACCCCCATTTCTTTCTGCATATTTCTTGCACAGTTGGTTCCTGCTGGGTTGGTTCGCTCATTGCCAGAGATCCCTCACTATTGCTGATCTTTTCTGGCCATCTGATCTTGAGCGAAGACAGCTGTTGATGAAGGCCTGTAGTTTGTTCGAAGTGCTCTTCATGACACGCTAAGTCTCTGATCCATACAGTAAGTAGCACTGATTTCACATTGGAGTTGAAAATCCGAATCTTATTTGTCATGCTGAGTGTTGTTGACCGCCACAAAGACTTGAGAGAAATGAAAGCTTGCCTGGCTTTCCCAATGATCCTAGCCTTGATATCCTCATCAGTTCCGTCTGCCTGTAGTTAAAACGATGCTACCCAGGTATGTAGGTAAAGGAGATGGAGGTGGTATGTTACTACGTGTCACTAGTACTTTGAAGATTTCGAAATAGATAAATAAAGTGGGCAATTCAGCCCACTGATTTGAAAATACCTCGTATAATTTTTTAGCCGCTTATTCACATACCAATTCAAGAATCTATCATTACAGGCTGAAAATAACACGTTTCACTGTGACGCTATTCATTTCTACATTTATTTCCCAAAATTGTGCTGTTAATCTGATCAACTACCTAATTCAGAAGTCGGGAATTGGTTTATATCAGGAGGAAATAAATTTTCAATGTCCAATATGTATATAAAATGCATTTAGATCTCATTAAGCATGTTTAGTGCCCTGCGGCGAGAAAAGAATGTCGACTAAATATCGGATAACCTTGATGCATGTATATATTAGTATATAAAGTAAGGCTAGAAATTATATTGCGCAAGCTACCGCAATAATGATAATGCATTTACTTTCAAAACATACTCATGTGATTCATGAAAATGAAAGGCAATTGATTCTGCTGAGGTTTGAGGTAGGCAAATATGTAATCTATGCAATAGGTTAGTTAGTCATCACAAGTGATACCTTGTATGATTGCATTTCTACACATAGTTCCCAAATACCGTTTCCTCTATCTTATCTTAAGAATTTGTTACTTCCATGTCCTAATAATGTAAGGTGCATATTTGACGGTGTGGCTATGGGAAGCCTATCAAGCGTCTCTTTCAGCAGATATCTATATTGTCTTACACTGAGAGTTTATCGGAAGATTTAACTGGAAATATGCCAATTTATGGAAGATATGTTGATGGCATCTTAAGCATAAATTATGGTTCTGCAACTTCAATTTTAGATTGAATGAGTGAAATGGAAAGTACTATTGTAAAGAAGACAGGATTGAGGAGACTGAAAGGAATGTTTATTTAGTGAAACGTATGATACATAGCTGAATTCGGAATACCATATTCTAAACCGGCCATTTGCACATCTTTACCACATCCTTGATGAATTGGTTGAATATCGTCTCATTCGATAGCTTCTTGGATTCTGCATCATATGGCAACATTCTCCTCATGGTTCTCTTCTTTGATTGCTCTTTTCGGTGTGCCAAACATGTTGTTATTTCGTTCCTGGTATACTACTTATATTGGATTATAAGTAGCACTCACCACACTATGTCACATTTACATCCGTAGGAAAGACAGGAAATTAATAATCTTTCGTCGATATATAGGTCATTTGACAGTCAGATGGATCAATCCGATGATCTATTTACAGAAAACTTATCTGTACAGGCTTTCTATCAGAAATCAGCCAGTGGTCCAAGGAAAACGGTCTTACCTTAAACCCCTTCAAATGACAAACAGTCAATTTCACCTTTAGGCATAAATCCAACCAAACAAACTGGTTAGCTCTCTCGAGGTTTGCAACACAGATGGCACTGAGAGAGAGACCAAGTCGGAAATTAAATACCTAGGCGTCATCCTATCTGCTGATCTTTCCTGGTCTTCTCATATCTTGATGATTTCTAAGAAAATATTCCGTCTCACCCTCTACATCAAGAAGGTGAGACATTCTGGCATAACCCAACCCTTACTCCTACAATTCGTTAACTCTCGCATTCTGCGTATTATTGTCTATTGTTCCCCCTTGGTTTTTCCCGAACTATTGAAGAAAGACTATACCTTATTACGCAGGATGTTAAAGGTTGTCAGCAGGGTAAGCAACGTGCCACTTAACCAGCTTGTTAATATTCTGGTTGACAGGCACATGGACTCATGTGAAAAATGGGCCAAATCCATTTTATCTAACTCACACCACCCTCTTCACTCACAACTCTCCCCTCGCATCTCATCAGGTAAAACCAGAAGCATATATAGAAAACTATATGCTCACATCAGCAAGTACAAGAATACAACCATACCCTACTTAGCTCGTGTTCTGTGCGATAAAGAAAGCATTAGGCGTAATACCTATAACTTATTAAATAGTCATTAGTACAACTGGATCTCGTCTTTCCAACTAATACCATTTATAGGTACAACGTTTTCTGTCTGTCTTTTCCTTTTCTCTTTTTTTCTGTTGTGCTGCTTTGTTTCTTTCTTCCGCTTACGCTAGTAAATACGATAGCACCCACTTTTCTAACACCTTCAAACACTGTTCAACTTTGGCTTTGCTACCGACATGACAATATGTTGTTGTCATAATGAACTGAGATTTCCTTAATCTATGTAGAATTTTATTTAATGACAATGTACTAACTGGATGCAATACTGTATTAAAAATGCTGAGAACTACATTCTGTATCACAAGTACTGTTTCGGAATAAAGCAAATTATTATTATTGCTACAGATTCCCTCCTGTTCAGTGCAAAATATCTTTGGTGAGGTGTCTCTTTAGTAGAATCTGGTCAATGCGGTCAGAACACGAAGACCGATCCTCGAACTCACAGCTAAGATGGACGTATATATCAAATAACCTTATATGGGTGTTTATAGCAGTTTGATATTTAGATCTAGATTGGACGCTACAGTCAGAAAGACTTTTTATGCATTCAAGATTCTGATAATTGAGAATATGAACCCCATGTATCCATTTAAGCCCTTAGAACATGTTTGGACGACTACCACAACCCACCGTACTACTTGATTTAAATATACATGTGGTCACATATACTTACAGAGGATTTGTTAACCTCTGCAAACAACGACTTCAGATGATATACCTTAGTGACTTCACAAACAAATGGAATCCTCTGAACCAATTAATGATGCAAACATGCAACCCAGCTCTTCCACTGAGAAACTTACTATAGATATGGGGAATAAAATTGATATTCACACCTCTGTTAAACCTACCTATACAAAGTGTTTGGGGATGTATTCTAAAGTCTACGGAAGGCATAGTTATTATGAAGTTGAAACCGCCGTCATTTCATCACATTAAAGCTTCCTTGCTGAATATTGTTTTGACAGCAGTATACATGTACTATTATCTCCCTTCCTTGGTTTATTGTTCTCGAATATTATGCTGACTCTAAGTATTACCTTTTATCTGGAAGCGTTTCAATTCTCACTTCTTAAATCTCTATTGTTTTTCTATGTGATTCTGTGGAAATTACATGTGTGGTCAGGTTGTTCGGTATGATTCAGATAAACTGTGTCATCTACTGTTTTACCATAATGTACCGAAGAAAACATGAAAAGTGTTCTCGGTGTCTACCAGATAAGTAAGTATGAATGTTTCTATGATTTTAATCTATTTCACAGTTAGTCATAAGGGGTGGTCTGCAGAACTTGGACTATAAGCCGATGTAAAAATCCGTGGTGAATACTGGAATTTAAGGCGGCATTCATGTTAAAACACTGTAGTGGGAACAACTATGAATAAACTTCATCTCCAATAACTACAGTGTCTGATAGCAAACAGGTTTTTCATGCCCGCATTTAAAACTCTCAGATTGAACTACACTGAGATGAATATTAGAAGAAAACCAGAGTTTTATAGTTCTCTAATTAAGTCTTGTTTTCCCCAGGAAAGACTAAACTTATTAAGCCAATTCAGTATATGAAAAGAAACAGTGTAATCAGTGGAAGAGAGAGACAGAGGGACGAAGGTGTATGAGGTTCTATAAATTTTCTTCAGTTTTACGGATCGTCTTGCAACATAAGTAAACAGAACCCGTCATTTTAATTTCGGCCTTTTAGGACTTAACCACTTCGTAAGTAAGGCTTTCAAAATTTATACCACATTCTACGACTTTCTACGAATTTACAGGCATTCACTTGGAAGGGACCAACAGTAAAAAATAAAATCAGTAATTATTTCTTAAATATTAAAGCCAAGGTGAATTTGAAACTGAAGAATTATTTCCTCTAGTACTTTTCAAAAAATTAGTATTATTCATGCCTGTAGCAAGAAAAATACTAAATCGCATCATCCCGGAAAGACTGAAAGATTCACTGGATGCAGAACTCCACACGGAACAAGCTTGATTCAGGAAAAGCGAGTCATGTGAAAGTCACTTAACAACTCCACGCGCCATCAACGAACACAGTATAGTATGGCAGTCAAACCTCAACATCCACTTCATCGACTTTGAAAAGGCCTTCAACAATGTTGCCCCTGAAGTAATTTGAAAACTATCTCAACATTACAGAGTGCCTCAAATATTTTTCAATCTCACTTGACAACTATATGATAGTTCCACTTGTCAGGTGATCCATAACGGAAAACCCAGAGAAGTCCTGAAGTGAGTGAGTTATTGTAACAAGCTGGCTGCCTGCCCATTATCACCAATGATATTCTTAACTGCGGTCGAGTGGATTATATGTCAGACTCTGCGTCGGGATTGAGAAGACAGGCGTACGTTTGACCGATAAAAGACTCTAGAAGATCGGAATTTCGCGGATGGTTTACATTTAATGTCGCACAAATTTGAAGATTTACAGATGAAAACCAACAGACTGGTGGAAGTATCAGAGATAGGACTCTGAGTGAAATACACAAGACAGAGGCCATGAAAATAACTATCCAAAAACAACAAGTACCAATCACTATCAAAGAGAGAAATTTGAAAGAAGGCACTCCTTTCACTTATCCAGGAAGCATCGTTTCAGCCACCAGCGGAACGAATGACGATGTCAAAACTGGAATCGAAAAGGCAAAAGAGACATTTTTTGATCTGAAGTCAGTTTAGATTCTTAACGCATGTTAAGCCAGTGCTTCTATACGATTCAAAAAATTGACGCATCACCAAATGCAGGCTATGAACATCTATCAACATCTGCCTTTTTTCGGCACTGAAGAACAAATGGCCAGAAAGAATTAGCACTAATAAACTTTAGGAACCAACCAACCACTTAATAAATATAACAAGGAAAGTGGAGATGGACCGGATACATGCTGAGAAGACTATCAAATAACATCGCGCGCCAAGTTCCCGAGTGGAACCCGAATAGGAGTTGGGCGTCTGAGAGGGACGTGGGGAAGGTCATACGAAGAGGAGAAGACGAGAGCTTAAGGGCAGTCGTGAAGTTGGCCAGATAAGACCGCAGAGAAAAGGATAAAGTGGAGATATGCCACGGGATAATAAAAATATATGTACCAAATATTAAAACATTTTTAAACCATATGTCCAACTTTGATATTTCAGTGTTTCTACATGATTCAAAGGCTTAGCATCAATTCAAGCGATTTCAACAGGCTACCGCAGATGTCCATCAACACCAGCTTTCACGGGATACTGAGGATCATATGACTAGTTGAGGTGTTCTTCGCGCACACTGAAGAGACATTCAAGTGAAATCACACATCAGGCAGGTTGTCGAATGGAGCCTGAATGGAAGTCGACGAGCTGCATATTGGTTCTAGGGTGACATGGGGGAGACTGTTTAGGGACCGTTGCTGAGCAAGCTGAAAGTAACAACAGAGAATCGAGTACAGTGAAGATGTGGCACTGAAGGCGGCTTGTGTTCCACTAGGAAAATGAGAAATGAATATCATTAATAATAATGGTAACAAATAGGTCAAACTCACTGAAAGGTATTCAAACTCCAGTATTGGATTGCATCATTCAAGAGGTCACGAACTTCTATCACTAGAACAGTTGCTTTATTTGACTTCATTCTACGTCTTCTATCTAATTGTTGCCAATAACTATTTGTCAACTGATTGTTTTCCCTATCTATCGCTGACAAACTCTCCAATGACGAGGATTTACTATCATGATTATCACATAAACTATAGTCAACTGTACCACTTTTCAGTTCATTTGGAATGGTTGTATACGGTGTAGATGTCAATAAAACAAATTGGAATTGAACCTAAAGGGTAAAATAAAATTTTAAAATGTGAATCAAACAATTATTCAATATTCAATATGTCTACACGATTCTTTCTTTCCTTTAGTAAATTTAAACAACACAGGGTACTCGTCTGCTACATGCATAAGAAATTAAAGTGACATGATTTCAACATATTTTAATTGAATAATCAGTTCATTTTATATGAGTAGAATCAAATGTCGAAAATCCAGGCAGATATATAAGTTCTACAAGAAGTTGAAATGTTTCTTGGAGCCTTAATAATTCCCATTGCATAAAAGACATGCAATTCAAATTCAACAACCAATTCTATCGACAAATTGATGAAGTCGCCATAGGTTCACCTCTAGGACCTATTCTAGCCGATATCATCATGGGTTATCTCGAACAGACAAGACTGAGTGATGCTATCAATGAAACAAGATACTATCGCCCTGATACGTCGGTGATACTTTTGTTGTTTGTAACGACATGAGTCAGGCATCCGTATTATTTGACCGCCTAAACGAGATCCACCCAAACAGTAAATTTACCATGGAATATGAACGCAATGACGAGTTCACTTTTCCTGGACCTAAATCTAAAAAGAAGAAACGATGGAACAGTTGAAAAGTCTATTTACAGAAAAGAAACCTGGACTGGACATTACCTTCACTACAACAGCTTCTGCCCTATAAGCAGCTATAAGCGGGGATTAGTAAGGACACTGTACCACAGAGCCAGGAAGTTATGTTCGCCTAACAAGGTAGAAGAAGAATTAAACTTTGTTGAAAAATGCTTTGGGGAAAAAATGGGTATCCAAATGGATTTTTTCTAAATTACAGCAAAGAAAGAGATGAGAAAGAGAAGTATCCAACAGTTGAAAAGAAGAAAGTGTTCATTTGCCTCCCATACAAAGGAGAAGCAGTATCACAAAAGATTGACAAGAGGATGAAAGGAGCAATAAAAAGATGCTTCCCTGAAGCCAAACTAGTGACACTATACAGTACTACATGCTCTACAACTCAATCGAAACCCTACTTATGTTACGTCCAACTACATTTATAAATTTACGTGAACCTGCGGCAGCAAGTACACTGCAAGGACAGAGAGAAGGGCTTCTGTCCGGTTTTCAGAGCATATTCCGAGAAACTTATGCTTAAAAGGAAGCAGATATTTACAAAGTGCAATTACCGGACACTCACCCTGTGGGTGCAAGTCATTAAGTCGAGATTTCTAAATCCTTCAAAATATTAAACATACAAAGAACAGCGAATCTACTACGATTTGCTGAAGCAATTGCAATCAAGCGTTTCAGGCCAAACTTATGCACACAGAAAGAGATTGTAGTCAATCTCTCACTCCCTTGGTAACCGTGTTACCTTCATTAAACTGATTAGTGATACACACTGGTGAGCTTAACTCACTAAGCAAGTTTTCAATTTAATGAACTTTAAACTTCTTGAGTTGCTATATTGACGTACAAGCCAACACTGTTTATTAGATTTTTTCTGTTTTCTGTCTTCTCTCACCCCACCTTTTCCCATAGTTTCATAGCATATAAACTGATGGTAACTTTAACTAGAAAATTGTAATACTTATATTCCGGATGCGTTCATCTTATAATGTTTTCTCTATTACCTTTCAAACATTGAAGTATGAAATGTCATTATTTATAACCATTGTAATTTCAGGTAGTTTGCAGCAGCTGATGAGAACCTGTGAAATAGAATGACCATATCACTTTATACTGCAAATCTGGTGTTTCTTTCTCTATCGAAATTTATCAAGGGAAACGAATGTATGAAATTTCCATTGTAACATTAAGAACAAAATGTTTTTCGAAGAGACTACTGTCAACGAATTTTTTGCCAAACCTTATAGTCGTATATAAATGATTTTAAAGGCACCATAGCCGATGAGGAAATTTCAACAAAAGTTGTGATGGCGGCCTGCTTAAAACTTGGCCTACCTGATATATACAAACATGTCACTTTTACATATCTGTCAACCTTCTTTTTGACTGTTGTTATGAGACGGTGAAAGCCCTCTTACTAACGTCCAATCTTCTCTTCTGTCTTTGTGGCCCCGCGGTATTATTATCATTGTTGTTGTCGTGTGATTAGGACAGATTAGCCAGCGCATTAAAGTTAGTATTCTCTCATAGTCTACTAGGTCTTGGTTCCAGTCATAACACTACCAAAACTTCCATCACACTGTGTATAACTTCTCATGTTCAGTTTGTTTTAATGTATTAACATATGACCTCTAATGGTACTTTCTACTCTCGCGAGTATTTAAAATATTTCCTAAGTAAACTTCAGAAAAGCTGAAATCGTGGTAGGCAGAGTATCCTGATACAAACTGCCACTGCTTGATAAATAAAACTAACCACCTGCGGCCCTCAATTATTCATTCATGACCTTGGTTACCGGAATTTACTTCTGCACTTTTTTAATTGGCTTTCAACCAATTAACTTGAATTTCTCGCAGACAAAGAAGAAATATCATAAGGGGCTGGTTTTGGCTTTAAGTCAGACAGTGGTGTGTCGTGGGATTTACTGCCACTTCCTATTTTATCAGAAGATCATGGACAAAGAGAAACTAATGTGCAGTGAAATTCCTCTGAAAGTTCTGTACATTATATAAACACCACAAGTTACTTGGTGGATGGTGACTAGCAGTGGAATCCAGGTTAACGCGCATTTCGTCCTATTTGGGTCTCACCATCAGCTGGATGTACCTGCATTCTCCACCAGTGAGTGATGACGTTCCCACAGAGGCTCAAACCCAGTGACCATAGTTTCAAATGCCAAAGCGTTATCCACTAGATTACTTGGGCCACGAGAGCCACCTCTTGTGCAAAGGGTCACATTAATTATTTAGTCGATAGCACAGCGGTTAGGACTCTCGCCGACCATTCACATGGTCCGGGGTTCGATCCCCTGCCGACGCACAACTGATATCTGTGGTCGGCCTGCAAAATTTGAGCTACCGATATCATATGCTGAAAATTCCATATTTGTACCAAAAATACTGTGTGGAATCAAGCTATAATCAAAAATAAAGAGTGGAATATTTTCTGAATTTGTGGTGAATTCAAATGTAGGCGTAGGCGGTTACGGAATCATATGGGAAATTAATCAAACGAAATGAATGAAGTCCAGTGATTACTAATGAAATAATGAAAATCATTATGAATTTGGATATACGTAAACATTAGATTACGTCACAGAAGCAAAACAAAATTTTGATGAGGTAAATTGAAAGATTCAATGCTTACAAATGTATGAATAATTTAGTGATGCCCTTTCTTTGAACACGCTTAATTCAGACTTTACTCTTCAGAAGGCGACAGCTTCGACAATTCGAAGTAGTCATGAAGTGGCTTGTCCCTTCACCACCCTTGTAAAATTCTAGTATGTTAATCTAGTGTTTTGAATCAACAAGGTGCCGAGCTATGCGTAGCTGTTAAGTGAAGACGGACCTTCTAGAATTTAGACGTTTCGGTATATATTCATCAATCCTAGGAGACGGCTATGTCTCCGTTCTCTCTATGTACTTGCTATCTCATAGTGATATGAATTCATAAACACAATTGGAGTCAGCAAGAGTCGGAAATAGTTGTAGTTTAAAAATGTTAATCGATTGGATGTTATGACGTCCCACATTATTTGTACATCAGCTTTATTTTCAAAACAAGCAATAAAGGTTAATAAAGCAGAATTTAATAAATTCATCAAAACCTTAACCTTAACCTTTATTGCTTGTTTTAAATTCTTATCGGGAAAGAAATGTTTCCAAAGCTTTATTTTCACTAAAAGAATGTTTAAATTAAGTCACAATCATTACTTATTTATTTTGATTATTGAGATCGTTTAGATTTCATGAATACCTTAGTTAGTCGAGTAAAATCTTAATAAAGCTGATTTTATTGCATTGAATGTTGTAACATACTGGCGGTCTGTTTGAATCACTGAGCTACCTGAATTTCTATCCAATGGAAGGCATCATTAAATATGAGTGTAAAACTTAAGCACTACGGTGGAATATAATCCCATATTACTTAAGTTTGTTTAATATGAAATACAGTAAAAGAGAATTAATAACTGGATGACGTTTCGATAGCAATCTATTTCTCATAATCACATCAGTTTATTCATGTGACTGCACATTTATCTTCATTTGCGTCTCTTCTCCCTCCCCCTTGTTGTTTATTGCAATTTTCCATACCTCCAGCATAGACGTTCAGACAGGCTGAAAGTGGTCCACGAGCTCTCCTTGTAAACAGAAGTTACTGGGTTCCAACCCCGGAGGGTGGGTGCGTACTAGTGAAGAGTTACACACTAGTGTGGTGAGAGATGGTTGCTAGCCAAAGTGGTTGACAGTAATTGAGGTCAATGTTTATGTATCAAACATTAGTCATGTTGTGGTGAGAGCTGTCTACTAGCCAAATTGGTTGACAGTAATTGAGGTCAAGGTCAAGATGGACAGGCGGATACAGTTAACATATGGATGAACTGACACAGCCACAAGAGATGCAAGCTTAACTTTGTGTGAGGAACAACCAATCAACAGACTGTATTTTCTACTAACATTCACCTACAATAATGTACACCAAAATCTATAAATACGTGTTGATTTTCCGTAATAAACGTTCTGTTGCCTGGCCCTTGTCTTCTGTTGTTACACTAGGACGAAACAACTTTCCAGAACTCCCAGCTTTTCCAATGGTTCTTTAACCGATGTCAGCTCATGATGTAATCCTGTAACAAATCAATCAAAAAGCTATAATCAACACTTGATGGATCAGTGAGGTCCATCCAGTCAAGTGTGAGGATGGAGTTCCCACCGATGACATTGATTGGTGGTCGCGCTGAAACCACGAATTGGAAGAAGTTAGAATTCATGGGCTGGCCCCTGAATTGGGTCACAGTGGCTGAATGATATACGAGCTTGCCTTGTAACCAGAAGGTCCTGGGTTCACACCTCAGTATTTGCGTACTGTCGAGGATTCCCAATTTAGGATGAAACAGCTATCCAGTACTTCCTGGTTGGTTTTCAATGCTTCTCTAACTGGTATCAATCCGTGGTCAAACTCGTATAAAACAAATCAAATCCATACAAACTAACTCTTGAGAAAAAAAAGTAATATAGTTAGGTGGAGAGACATTAATCACTGAATCACTGTTCATCTAATCAATACCAGACATGTGGGATTAAAATCAAGCAACGCCTATACCGGAAATATGGAAAGTGGCGACAAACAACATGAGAGAGAGAAGCATATACGAAGCAAATTATGAAGCAGTGTGACTAAATTGATAGGAAAATGAGCATAAATTGTGCTCGAAACATCATCCAGTTATTAATACTCTATTAATATGTGTGTGATATTAAGTAAAGGTATCTAACAATGTGTGATATTTTCTCTAATTCCTATTGTCTATGAGCTATAAAGTCTACTGACGCATACTTTTAATTGGCTTTTACAACACCAGTGCGTATTTTTAGAGGATAAATTAAATGTATGAAAGTGTTAGTTGGTAGGGATTTGATTGGTTCCAGGATTTTCATCATCAGCTGACATCATTTAGAGAACCATTGGAAAACCTAGGATTACTGGACAGCTGTTTCGTCCTAGTTTGGGACTCTTCATCAGTGCGCACACACCACCAAGGTTCGAACTCAGGACCTTCTGGTTACAAGGCGATCTCATAGACCATTAAGCCACTGGGAACCGATCTAATGGCCCATGAATTCTAACTTCTGCCTATTCACGAAATAGCGCGACCCCTAGCCAATGTCTTTGGTGAGTATTTGTCCTCACACCCAACTACTGCACCCTACTGGTCACGACTTCTCACTGGAACCCCAGGTAACTACCTACCTGAATAGGGCAAGTGGCTAGTGAGCATCTCATTGATATTCAAGTGTTGGTTTGTAGGGATTTGATTGGCTGGTGGACGCGTACTACTGAAGAGTCCCAAACTAGGAAGAAACAGCTGTCCAGTACTCCCAGGTTTTCCAATGGTTCTCTAACTAATGTGAGCTCATGATGAAAATTAAATGTAACCTGTGGGATCGGTCTGTGCTTCAGAGAGAATAGTATTTCACCGCATGATATACTATAAATTGGTACTTTACTTGAAGACCCAAGAGTAGGAGGAATTATTAGGCAATAAATTACTCTGAGAATTCTACACAAGCGGCAGTAGCTTAGCGGTGGAACGCTCAGCCAACCATGCCTCAGGTGGTCCAAGATTTGATCTCTGTATGACGTACTCCTAAATCTTGCTAAGCCGGTAGTAAGGCCAGTAAACAGGAAAGACTGGAAGTGAGGCTAGCAATCCTATCCCGTAGAAATAATAAGACCACTCCTGCGGAAACTTTAAAGCTCTAGCCTGAAAAAGAGTATTCTGTACACCGTGTAGAAAATTTGCCCAGAATTATGATAATTATTCTACCAATACTAAATTTTAGTTAAAACTTTTTCAATAATATTGATTCATTTAACCATTTTCTTCTTCCAGGGTATGTCTGTGAAACGAAAAGGAGAGTCTTCCACTTACATAATTACAAGGTAAAAAAAAACGCAGGGTTTCTTTACGTGCAGTAGAAACTACAGTCGATTAAAGATGAGACAGAAGTGAATATTGCAGGTTGCATAATATCTGGTGCATGATATACTTTAGTTCTTAGTCACAGTAATCCCCTGAACGATTTCGGTTCATACTTGTACTTTTTTTGAATGCAATACTGCTTATCATTATTATTGTTTCCTTTAATTGCTAGAGGAACATAGGGCTTCAGCCGAACGTCTCCATTGTGTAAGGTTCTCCGCCAATGTTTCCACCTGGCTCCACGTCTGCCAACATGCTTTCATCTCCTCTTCACATCACCTCCTCCATGTCACTCCACCCTCACACTGACAACCAACTCGCCGTTTCCCATTCGGGTTGCCCTCGAACGATGGTCTGGTGTGTGATGTCACTTGATGATGGTTTGTTTTCTCAGATTATGGCCAATCCACCTCTACTTCTTCCTACATATTTGCTGCACAATTGGTTCCTGCTGGGTTGGTTCGCTCCCAGAGATCCCTCACTATTGCTCATCTTTTCTGGCCGGCCATCTGATCTTCAGTAGTATTGAGCGGAGACAGCTTTTGATGAAAGTCTGCAACTTGCTTGAAGTGCCCTTCGTGACCCGGCGCGGCGCCAAGTCTCTGATCCGCAGAGAGTAGCACTGACTTCACAGTGGATTTGAAAATCTGGATCTCATTTGTCATGTTGAGTGCTGTTGATCCCCACACAAACTTGAGAGTAATGAAAGCTTGCCTTCCTCTCCCAATGATCTTCGCCTAGTTATCATCATTAGTTCCGTCCGCCAGTATTTGAAATGGTGCTTCCCAGGTAGTTGGGTAAAGAAGGTTGTTTCTTTCAGATTCCTCCCATTTATGCTGATTGTTGTCTGTTGTTGTTGTTGCTGTTGCTGTTGGCCAGAAATCTTCATCGCCTATGTTTTCCAATGCTACTTACTTCTATCATATTCTCTCCGAAGTGATGAAGTTAGTGAGATGTCTTGGAACTAGTTTTGATATGCACTGACTCTCATCAATACAATGTGCCTTCTACACAATTCAACACGGTTTTCCCCCAGATGGTTTCGAATATGTCGTGCCATCAAGCTATTCAGGTTATGATCATATACTGTACTATACTCCTCAGGTTCTTCTAGAGTGCTGGAGAGTCAGTTGCCCTAGTTATTGCTTAGCATTTTTCCTATGTGTTCTAACTTGAATTAAATCGGATTCCTGCTAACCATCTCTTGAAAATTAACTTACTGATCATTGTTGACTGATTATGAGATGGACTTTCTGGGGTTCGGATGAAAATTTGTAAGTGTTAGGATCCATGAAGTCATTTGTGAGGTCATATACTGAGACCACTAGATAGCGATACTCCTATATCTGCGGGAAAGGATTCAAAGACCTTCAGACTCAGTACCCAGTGACCTGCTTCCTACATAGACTGTAGGATCAGGTTCCTATCCATAATGGGGTAACGGGTGCGAACAGCTGAAGTGTTCCAAAGTGAAGTGAAACATCAGACCGGTACTCCCTGGTTTTCGATGCTTCACTAGCTTATATCACTTAATGACTTGATTTGACTTTGCGTGTATATTACAGTTAGAAAGATACAAAATGGCACTTACTTTTTTATTCAGTTCGACACTTAGAGCATTAGCTTCTTTCAGGTAAACAGCATTTTCCCACAACTGATCCTAAATTATTTAGGAGAAAGAGAAATCAGCGAGTCAACAAACAGTTTTAGCATATATATATAATTTGATTTATTCCCAAACAGTACTTGTGATACAGAATGGAATTCTCAGCATTTTTACTACAGTATTGCATCCAGTTAGTACATTACCAATAAACAGAATTCTACATAGATTAAGGAAATCTCAGTTCATTATGACAACGACATATTGGCATGTCGGTAGCAAAGCCAAAGCTGAACAGTGTTTGAAGGTGTTTAGTAAGTAGGTGCTGTCATATTTACTGGCGTAAGCGAGAGAAAGAAGCAAAGCAGCACATAACGGAAAGAGAGAGAGAGAGAAAAGGAAAAGAAAGAGAGAAAATGTTGTACCTATAAATGATATGAGCTGGAAAGACGAGATCCAGTTGTACTACTGACTATTTAATGAATTATAGGTGTCACGCCTAATGCTTTCTTTATCACACAGAACACGAGCTAATTAGGGTATGGTTGAGTTTTTGTACTTGCTGGTGCGAGCATATAGTTTTCTATATAGGCTTGTGGTTTTGCCTGATCAGATGCAAGAGGAGAGTTGTGAGTGAAGAGGGTGGTGTGAGTTAGATAAAATGGATTTGGCCCACTTTCCACATGAGTCCATGTGCCTGTCAACCAGAATATTAACAAACTGGTTAAGTGGCACGTCGCTTACCCTGCTGACAACCTTTAACATCCTGCGTAATAAGGTATAGTCTTTCTTCAATAGTTCGGGAAAAACTAAGGGGGAACAATAGAGAATAATAGGCAGAATGTGAGAGTTAACGAATTGTAGGAGTAAGGGTTGAGTTATACCAGAATGTCTTAACTTCTTGTTGTAGAAGGTAAGACGGAATATTTTCTTAGAAATCATCAAGATATGAGACGATCAGGATAGATCAGCAGACAAAATGACACCTAGGTATATATATATCAAGTTGAAATTGAAAACTGCAAATCCATACTCATTTGACACAGTTCACAACACTAAAACAGATGGCATAGAATGCATTCGAATCAGGTAATTACAAGATAACGAGTAAGTTGTAGCACGTTTAATCAAATACCCAGATGTTAAAAAAAGAATGTTAGAAAGAGTAATGATCAGGTTTTTGGGTAGAATTCATGGAAAATTCGGTTTTAATCAAGTAAGTGAATGGTGAAGGTATTGAACTCGGGAACCGAAAGCACCAGATTTGATCCTTAATGCTGTAAACGATTAAAAAGCGGAAAACTAGGACGAAACAGCTGTTGGTTTATGACTAAATCGGCAACAACACAAAGCTTACCAGTCGTGAGCCCTATATATAATTCTTATGTGATTTCCGTGCCTTGAAGTTTCTGTAGCGACTGAACTGGTTTTTCAGAGTAGGGTCGCTGGAACCATACCCAACTTTCACTTTTTTCCAGGCTAAAAGATGGATTACAAACTATTAAACTAGGGAGTAAGGCAACAAAGAACTCTTGCAGCAAACCAGCCAACAACCCATTGCCTAGAAAATATGCTGAAGGAAACGGAGATGCATCGAGGACACATTGAGCAGACCGCTAAGTGAAATCACACACCAGGTCATCACTCGAGTGGGACTCTAAGGAGAAGCTACAGGTTGGACCTCTGAGAGTTACATAGAAGAGATTTTGTGAAGGGTAGATGACAGCTTATGGTCACTCGTGGATCCAGCTGAAGATGACTACAGAAAAATGGATAAAAAGGAGAAGTTTGTTGAAGGCCTATGTTCCACTAGGAGCCTAAAGGAATATTATACATATATATATATATATGCACTCCACTGAGACAGATGAGTCGCTTTAGTTGCTTTTAAAATATTGCCCAATTACGTTATAACTGCTGCAAAACATGAATTTTCAAGCACAAACTGTAGTATGAACAGTTGGTCTGCCTTTATGAAGAAAAAACTTAGGAGTTGTAAGAACCAAAATCACAGGAACTAATGCTGAACACCTAATTCAACTGTAGGAAATAGGACTGATTAATACTGAACGCTATCAAAGTCTACTAAAATATGCATTTTCACTTTTAATTTCTCACTGTGTGCTGTCACTGAATACTCGTAAGAGGGAAGTGATTAAAAGCATTCTATTTGAATACACTGATAGTTCCCATGATTTAACTTTTGCATCGTTAGCTAGCCAATTTATGATTCATGAATCGTTTGTTTCCTTTAAGAATTGGTAGATAGGGATCTTGTATGTTAGAAAGAAGGAAGGTATTATACTGAAGGCTTTCTATGGACAATGAGGCAGGCAGATCTACAGCGAACGGAGTGACTTTCACTGTAAGTTAGTGGTCCTGTGGTAGGGTACTTGCCTACTACGTATGTGATCCTAGGTTCGGTCCTCAGCCGACGCACTCCTTAACGTCGCTCAGCCGGTAAGTGCAGTCGGAAACGAGGGGAGATTGAAAACGAGGCTAGCGAACTCACCTCATAAAAAACTAACACTACTACTACTGAAAGCTAAGTCTTGAAGCCCTGTATTCCAGTGAATTTCATTTACGGAAAGTAATAAATAACATAATAAAGACTTTCAATTATATATATTAAAATAATGAATGTTTTGAATTACCCTCAGTGATGTAAACTGATGATTGATCCATTTATTGAAGGCCCATCGAGCTAATTCGTATTCATGATCTCCCCATTTACACTCATCTAATTATTACATAAAAGCAGAATAAATTTCCGTAAAAATGAAAAAAACCAAATATGTTCTGAATGCATTTTGAGGAGGAATTTCTAATAATTAATATACTTAAGTGCACGAAAATCACATACGCCAATTTTCTGATGTGACTACTCTCTCCCTCTCTCAGCTATCTAGCTTGATTGAGAACGTTTCATTGTCCTTCCAGACAACATCATCAGTGATTATTTTGCGATTCTGTGTGAATGAGAGTCTTGGCTATTATTGACTGTCGTCTTCAGAATTTCTCCTATTCTTGTGTAAATCCCCTATTGGTGTCGATATCCTTGCTAGATAAGAAAAATCGGTCGAGGCAACCAATAATGGTCAAGGATATAAGCAGACACAGTTATACGATTCATAAATCATTCCGAGATGACCACTTCAATTGAAGTAACCGCTAAAGATGTAAATATATGTGCACAACTTGGGCACTGTGGTAGTAAGTAACTCCATGCATCGTTTCTTTGTTAGATACATCACACAGTGAGACAGCGTTATTTACCGGATGATGTTTCGAACAAAATGTTTTATTGTTCATATTCATATCAATTATAATCCAGGGATAAATATACAAACAAACTGAACGAGTTTCTTCGAGGTCACCAATACTCACCGTTGAGGCAGATAAATTCATGGACAGGTGTGAAAACAGCGATTGAAGCGTTCAGCCCCACCCCAAAAGTATGGTGGAGGTATGTAGATGACACATTCACTATACTTAGAACACAGGATATAGATAGATTTTTCAAACACATTAACTCAAAGGTGGGAGCAATTCAATTCACTTATGAATTGGAAAGTCATGAAGGAGAGCTACCAATGTTAGATTGTAGCGTGTAAAGATGAAAGAAGATGGAAAGCTAAACACACACTAGTGTTCACGAGAAACCCACACATTCAAACATATATTTGGATTTCCGATCATCCCATCCTGTGTCGTTGAAGATAGGATTGGAGCACAAAAACTAAGTAGTACCCAGGAAAATCTTAGATGGAATGTGAGGCATATAAGAGAAGCTTAATAATTACCCTGATGAATTAGTCAGAAAGTATGTAGGGAAATGTAAATACAAAAATGAAATAAATAATGATAGTATTGATAAAGACTATATGAATAATGATAATAGTAATATTAATGATGACATGAATGTGAAACATGCGCAAGATAATGACAACACCAAGAATAAGGAGTCTAAATTATCAGTAGTAATCGCATACAAGGAAGGAACCTCGGAAACCTTACGCAGAATTCTTAACAAGGCAGGAATAAAAGTTTCTGGTATTCAAACCAACCGCAAACTCAATCAGAAACAAGCTTTGTCGGTTAAATGATCCTGTCTGTGGAGCCTTTAAAACAAAGTAATTTAGTTTATTTAATACTCTGCCTGAAATGATTGTCAGGTCAAATACACAGGTGAAAGTATTAGAACAGGGGCAGTCAGTCAGACTAGCTGAGCATAAAAACCTAGCAAAATCTACATTAGTTGACCCGAATAAGATAAGAAATCTGGAGGATAGTTCAGCCAAAGCACTCACTACATGCAATTACACACAACCATACAATTGGATGGATGGGATAATGGGACAGTTTTCAAATCTAATGTAACAGTTGGGTGGAGGGAGAGATTGATAACAGAAGCTTTGTTTATCGAATCAACTGCAAATACGTGTAATGTGGATGATTCAACATCTGTCCAGTTGGTTATCTGGAAAATTCTACTAACCCTACGACGACGAATAAGAGAGAAGAAAGAAAACTATCAAACTCAAGTTTCGAAGTCGTGTGATTATAATTGATGGCATGATTATGAACAATAAATTTTGTTCGAAACCGTGTCATCCAGTAAATAATACTGTTTCACTGTGTGATATATCTAATAATCAAACTAATATGGAACTGCTAACGATGTTGCCTAGAAGGATTATGAAAGCTTCGCAATTAAACTAAACCCACAAACATCCACCTCAGGTACAAATTTCCTTCACTATAATTTCAAACACAAACACACCAATATACATATCTACATACGTATTCAATCTACCCTGTAAATTATATTCTCCGCAAATACCATTATAATATCACTTAATAACCTACTTAACGTTTCATCATGTTGCTCTTCCGGTATTACATCTTCTTGCAGCATTGATCCCAGCATAGATTGACGTTCAACTTGTTCTTGTAAACTTTGTATACGGCCTTCATATTCCTGTTAAAAAATATATACATATACGCAAACCTTATTCAACAAAACAAAATAATAAGTAGGAATCTGATGCAATTAAACATTCAAATTTCAAGGATCACTAGTGGTATTAATGCATGAAATACATAGATAAGTTGTTTACATTTAATATGACTTTTAGTGAAACGGAAATATAACTGAACAGTGGAATGATCTGAGGCTTGACTTTTTCGATAATATATGCTTGTCTATTTATCGCAAGCCTTGATATTTCCTTAAAACCAGAAGGAAAAAAAAGAAATTTGTTTATTTGGGGAGATAAAAGTCTTCCTCCGGGAGAGAAAGGTAACTAAGCTTCCAGACTTCGTAGTGAACACGACAGCTTCATGAAGTAATTTGTTGGCTGGTGACTAGCACTGGAATCCAAGATGCATATCTTGTCCTATTTCGGACTCATCACCCGGATGCACCTTCAATCTCCAGTAGGCGGTGTCCCCACTGAAACATGAAACCAGTACCCTTTCATTCCAAATGCCATAAAGTCATCGACTAGAAGACTTGGGGTACTATATCTCCCTGTTGTGCAATGGGAATCCATTTTTACTTGTTCAAGACAACGGGAAAATCAAAACCGACTTAAAACAAATTGTGATAACAGCATCTTACTAGGAGGCAATGACTTCTTCTACACTCTTCAGGTTCCATCGTTTTGTAGAACAATGGGATGATAAGAATCACTGATCTGAAGTTATTGTCAAAACTGATAAGGTTATCAGGAACAACAGTTCCGAAGAAATCTGTCAATATCAATTTGCCATTCAAAGGAGATGATGTACAGGAATTAGTCAAACGAAGACTCGATAAAGAAGCCATCAAGAGAACTTATTATGCTGCAAAACTTGTTATCCTTAACACCACTAAGCGAGTGCTTCAACAATCTGCGAAAGATCAGTCGCCAATCCTCGACACTTCAAAATGCGCATATCAATTTGAGTGTGTTTGTGGAAGCAAATACATAGGTCGTACGGAAAGGAGTTTGTCTATTCGCATGATGGAGCATTTGTCAAAATGGTTGAAAACAACTGAATGCAAAGTGCCAAAAACCTCAATGACAAAACGTCTTGTGGACTATGGACATGATATTGACGCCCTGTCAAGTCTTTCACTATTGTCAGCAGACAAAGAAACAGGAAGATGCTTGCAATTGCAGAGGCCTGTGCAATTCGAGTTTATACACCAGGTCTCTGTGTACAAAAGCAGATGTTTGTCACTCTGAATCTACCATGGTAATACGTTTTAATTATTATTCTACCTCTTATTACTAATATTATTATTGATTCATTTAAAACTATCCTTTATCAGTAGGATTATCTTAACTAACTTCAACACTATTATAGTTTTTTATTATTACTATTACTATTGATATTACTCTGTTTCCGATCCTGATATATTCTCTAATGACTAATTGTTTATCTAAGTGATGTAATTGAAGCGTAATGCAATTTATCTTAATTTTGATCTCTCATACTCTCTCTCCCCTTATCTATTTGAACATGACCTGGAAAATATTCGCACCTTTCTTTCTGCATGACTAATTCAATGTAGTTTATTTGCTTATGAGTTTAATATCTCCCAATGTAATTTCAAAAGTATATATATCGATGTATGTAGAGTATTCAGATGATGAGTTCTACAGAAATTAGATGAATTCATTAAATCCTGCTTTATTAACCTTTGTTGCTTGTTTTAAAAAATTCAGTGATCGCAAGCTTAAGTCTGTAAGAGTTGTGAGGCGTAGCTACACAGTAAATGATATCTCCATCTAAACTGTGCACGGACTTGAAAAGTGTTTTGTAAGTAATAGCTTGCAGACTTTCCTCAACAGCTGTCTTCGCTAGCTCCAGAGAGGGTTCTCAACAATCAGACCTGTGAGGGAATCAACCAACAACGTATCGCCCAACAAACATGATAGGGAAAATGGAGATGAATCAGAAATACTCTGAGTGACGTCACACACCAGGCCCTCGAGTGGGACACGAATAAGAAACGATGACTTGGACGTCCTAGGGTGATATGAAGAACATCATCTGAGGAGATGGCAGCTAATAAGTAATCATGAAGCCAGCTAACAAGGACTGCAGTAAAACAGCATAAAAGGGACATATACTGTTGGAGCCTTATATTCCACTCTGAAACCAAGAGAATAATAATAAGAAACTGACTTACCTTCCTCTGTTCTGCAAACAACAAATCAGATTGTTCTTTCTCCCGACGATATTGTTCTTCTAATTGAATGAGAATATCCTCGACTTCTTTTCTTAAATCAACACCCTGTTTCTCCAAAAGTTCACTAATAGCATAATTCCAGTCGATCGGTTCTGTAGCACTTGCTGTAAAGTTATTTTGTAATCAGAATTTGGAAAAAGAGGCGAATTATTTAGACAAAAATAATCATCACTTTTATAAGCTTTTCTCTAAGAACAGTTACTAGGATGTGTTTCTTTACATTTATACACTCTACTTCGCTCAAAAGGAGGTATGCAGTTTCCATTAGAAAAGGTAGTGATCATAGAAAGACCCTAACCTTTCTTAATGTTGTATTGAAAACAATTTCACGTCGTAAATGCTGAAGATAATTAGCTTTTATCAAAACCTATTCACTTTGAAAGACGATAGCCGTCGATTCTCTCAATGAGTGTTTAAAGAGTAAACTCGAAATTAGACAGCTTGAAATTCCTGAATGCACTGCAGAGAGATAGTAGAAAGCCAGAAGCGAAGGGAAAATACAAAGATTGGCCAATTCGCAATAACCAGTTCAGTGATTAAACTTAAGGGTGTGTTTACTGAAATCTGACAGTTGCAATTACAGTGTAGATATAATGGAGAAGAATTGTAGCTCAAGTGGTTGATTTTGATGTAGTTTTGTTCTCTGAAGTGGACGGTTTATTTGCGAAGCTTTCATTGCCCGCCCTACTAATCAACATCTTCAGTGCATACTTCAATTTTTTGTAGTGAGCTTTTAGATTTCTCCACGAGTTAATAAGTCATCCCTCCTGGGGGGTGAGGTATCCTTGAACGTCGTGATTGGTTGCTTTTGTGTGTTTTCACACACTCTGGGCTACTTGTATTGGAGCTGATGGTTTCCTTGACTTGAAGTTTGACCCTTTGCTTGTGAGGTTTCCTTCTTTTCAATTGGTAAATTTTGTCTATCTCGATGTGTCTATTAATTGACGATTCACTGGAATACCAGGCAGCCTTCTAAAAGTTCTCTAGCATTCTTGGTGTTTCCTCTGTCTAATATTTCGATGCTGGTTGTCCCAGTCAAACTGATGTCCGTGGTTGTCTTTATGTAGTGATATGAGGGAGTGTGTGTCATGTCTTTTGACGGGTAGTTTATCTTCATTGATACGAAGATGAAGGGGACGTCCACTCTGGCCAGTGTAGTGTTTTCGCAGTTGTTATAACTTATTTTGTGTATGATGTCTTTCATCTTCTTTCGTTGTCGAGTCTTTTAGTTGATATAGAATTGAGTGAAGTGATTTTGTTGGTTAGTGTGCGACGTCAATTCCTAAAGATTTGTATAGTCTTGCAGTGATGTCTGAGATGTCTTTTGTATATGGTAGGGTGACTTGGTGGGTTGGTTTGGGGATATATGTCTTTTGATGAAGTTCTGTGGATATCCATTCTTTTGGAAAACTCCCGTGAGATATCTTTCTTCAGTTACCCTTAAGGTGCGAGTTCTGCAGTGAGTCCTGCCTCTCTTAAATACTGTATGTGTGCAACTCCTATCGTGTAATTCAGTATTTGGTCCGTGTGAGTTGAATTTCTATAAACTTGAGTTTCTTACTTTCGTATGGTTGTTCGCTTGACTAAGACGTCCAAAAATGGGATTTTTATTTTCGGATTCCTTTTCTCTTATGAATTTGATGTCGTTGAAAACGCTGTTTATTAAAAATTGTGAGTTTTGTCTAACTAGTTTCTTTTGATTACTACGGATGTATCATATACGCAACGTATCCAAATTTTCGGTTTGATCTTTGGTAGGACTATGTTTTTGAGTCTTTGTATCACTGCTTCCACAATCAAAACTGATATGGGCAATCCCATGGATGTTCCTTTAATTTTTCACATATTTGGTCGTTGAATTGCATTGCTCACAAACGGATTCGAGCTTCTTTCCTGTACAGAAGCAATATAAGGAACTGACTCCATAGAGCATTTGATAGAAGCTTCATGAAGTAGGAAAATGTAACCTGTGTCAGGTGAATTTATCAGAACCTCAATAAATACTACAAGTTTACTTGAGGTGAACCGATTAGTCAAAGTCATTAATTAACTTTGACAGAATGAAAGCAAAACTGATTGTTATTAGATTAGTGCTAACTACGGGTAGACCATTGATCCTAGTCGATTAATGTTCCGAACAAGTCCCGATGATGACGAAGACGCTCACCAGGATGAAAATACATCCAGCTTAGGACTCACAGATGCCACTACTCATCAACATCAATCAAGGAACAAATGTTTTTTTTCTGAAGACATTATTATTTATTACCCACTAAGTGTAGATATAGCACTGTATATGGTCTGCTTGGTATCATAAGTGGTAACCAAGAGAACAAGCATATTTATGTAAAATTATATATTACTGGTGCGTCGGTGGTTCAGCAGTTAGGATGGTCGCCGACCATGCACATGGTCCGGGGTTCGATCCCCGGCCGATGCACTCCTTTACCTCGCTAAGCCAGGAATAATGCTGGTGAAGAGGAAAGGTTGGGCATGAGGCTAGCAACCCCATCCTGTAAAAATAAACACTGCTACAGAAACTTCAAGACTCTAGGTTGAAGCCCTATGTTCCACTGGGAACGTGAAGGAATAAAAAAATATATATTACGGACTGGCTGAGATGAGTATTTGCACCCACTGACATCAAACAGTAGTGCTTACTGCCCAAATCGAAGTGATCTGATCACTGAATGACAGTTTCCCTTGTTTAGGGATTAGCTCACCCGTAGTTCATCTGGTTTGACTATTCTCTGAGGGTCGAATCAGTCCATAGCAGCAGCTAGAAATCAAGAAAATCGAAGTGGTTCAGTTCTCTGAGTTGAGGCATGCCGCGTAAAGCATTTTTGAGCTCGGCCCAGCATGAGCGAAATAAACGTGCGGTGTTAAGATCGCTTTTCCTTGGCTAGCCAGCAATACTGTTTGATTTAAGTAGTATACTACTAGTCAAGCAGTAGTATGTAGTTTAACGCATTTATCACCAATGAGTTTGGTAGTCACACATCCGCTAGCCTGAATCTACCGGTCTATTCACTATGTTTCAAAACAAAATTTAATGTTTACTGAATCGACAGTCAGGGAAAAAGAACACTCTCCGCTTACCGCACATATCAGTTAAACCTTGTTTTTTCTCCCGACCTAAAAATAGAACATTTAAACATACAATTATTTGCATTAGTAATTATTAGTTAAATTCATACGAATAAAGCAACAATGTCAACATATTCGTAAAAACAATAATCCCTTTAAATACACAAAATAATCTATTCGTTAACGTATACCAGCATTATTAGGGAAAATGTTTGCGTTTGAATATAAATAGCCATAGTAACAGGGACGAGAAACTGTTTGCAAATAACGACTTTCCCCATACGGTGGCCAACATACTGACTAAAGTTTGAAGATCTAGTATGAAAAATTTAATGATATTCCGATAATGCGACTATGTGAAATATATCTTGACTTATTATGGGTAGTGATTGAAAGAGAGAAATGGAAATCTGGGTTACAGAAGAAATTGAACCACCATATTATCATTATTATTTCTTTGGATTCTTGGTAAAAAATAGGTCTCCAACAGCACATTCCTACTTTCTCCTGTTCCTTGCAGTCCTTTTCATCTGGCCGCACAGTTGCCTATATACTCTCACCTCCTCCTCAAACGACCTCCTCCATGTCACGCTTGGATTCATGCCGAACTCGTTGCTTCCTATTCGGGTTCCACGCGAAGTTATTTGACGATCTCCCCAGCGAGGTTAGTTTTTCACCACAGATTCTTGTTGCTAATTATTTCTGGCCTGAACATTTTGTTTTCAAAATCTACCTAACGCAGGTGTTGATAAAAGTCTACATCCTGTTGGAAATGCTTTTCATAACGCGTTCGCCAAGTTTCCTAGGCAGTGACTGACTTAACTTTTGTGTCAAAAACCTAAATCTCGTTTTTTATGCTGGCTGAGTGCAGGAGATCTCCAAGCCCATTTCAGATTCACGAAGGCGTATCTTTCCTTCTCAATTCTGACTGACTTTGACATCTTCATCCGAGATGTCACCTGTAGCTGAAACCGTGCTTCCTGGTCAGATAAGTAGTGAAAGTAACCTCTGTCTAATCTCTCCCTTTGGTGGTGATTGGTGCTCGTTGTTGTTGTTACCGTCCGTTGGTTATCTTCATCACCTCTGTCTTCTCTATGTTCACCTGCTGTCCTACCTTCGCTGCCAACCTGTTCAACCAGTTAGCTGGTTTTCGCTTGCAAGTCTTCGAGTTTGTGTGACATTAGACATAAATCATCCACACGTGAAATCCAGATCTTCTAGAGTCTTCATGTTGCTCCAAAGTATTTGTCTATTTTCACTCCCAAGCACAATCTGATGCATAAACCAGTCCACCACAATTAGGAATATCATCGGTGATAATAGGCAGCTGGCTTGTCTTACTCCTGTATTTACTTCGACCGCCTTGCTTAGTATCCCGTTGTGGATCACCGGGCACTTGGTATTGTCATATAGCCAGCTGTTGAATGAGGTTGATAAAGATTTGGGGCGTTCAATAATGTTGAAGTAGTTTCCAGATTACTTCATTGTCAGCGTTATCTGTCCAAGGCCATTTCGAATTAAATGAAGTTGATGTAGAGGTTTGACCGCCATTCTATGCTTTTTTCTGTGATGGCAATGCGCAGAGTAGCAATTTGATCAACGTATGATTTGCCTATCCTGAATGCAGCTTGTTCTGTTGGGTTAGGCGGAGTTCTGTGTCCAGTGCATCCATTATTCTGTCCAGGGTGATGCGACTTAGTATGTTACTTGACGTGAACAAGAGCACTATTCCACTCCCGTTCTTGAAGGGAGAGGCCAAAAACACTCTTCTTTGGCAGCTAGAGAAGGTAGCCAGCCTTTCTTCCAATCAGTAGGCACCTTTCCTTCTTTCCAATCTTTTTGCAGTAATGGCGCAAGCGTATCTGCCGCAATCTCTGGTTAGGTTGTCAGTGCTTCGGGAGGAATTACATCTAGTCCTGCTGCCTTCCAGGTTGGTGTTCAGTAGCTTCATCGCATTCAGGATTTCTTCTTTCGTTAGGGCAGCGGTGTCCATTGGCATGCAGTTCTGTGCGTGCTGTTGGTGGTATTTGTGGGTGAGTTGTAGGTGATGGTCGATTCAAGAGTCCTTTAAAGTGATCAGCTCATTATTTTATTTGTTTCTCCTCCTTGGTAATCTGGTTTTGTTGATCATCTTTTATTGGTTTCATCATCAGGGTTGATCTCTTCCCAGACAGAGACCTGGATATCTGATATAATGTTCTGAGCTCTCTTCTGACTGTGACTTGTTCTGCTTCAGTTGCCCAGTAGTGTCATAGAATTGTCTTTTGTCTTTCCTAGCACTCTTCTTTACTGCTTTATTCAGTGCAGCGTACATTGAATTCAGCTTCTCCTTCTGTTGCCTATCTTCGCATTAATTCATCTTCTCTTTCACCATCCTCCTCCTCAATCAGCTTCCAGGTAGGTGTCCATTGAGAGCCATTCCTTGTCTTGTCCCTTCTTTCTTCCTAGAAAAGTTGTACACGTTTCCTTGAAAATTACCTTCAGAGAGTTAGTTCCAATATTCTTTCACACAGGTTTCGTCAGTGATGCCACGTAGTGTATCCGAATTTGCCCTGATTTGATCTGTAGTGAAGGTATCCTTTGTAGTTTTGTCCTTCAGTTTCTGAATGTTGAACGTGAATTACAGTGGCCTGTCTACAGTTGTTTTGAAGGATTTCATCTTCACTGCATTTCATCTAATAATGCTTATTCGGGTTTTGAGCTTTTTTGAAACTTATGACTTGTTCCCATAGGAGATCTTGTCAATAACTAACTTCGGATAGAGAGCCACTAAAAGCTAGGGAACAGTGAACACCTATCTCGTCCCAGTTTGGGGCTCTTCAACAGTATGACCACATGAATCCACAATGGGACGGACCCAGAATCATCAAGTTACAAGGACAGTCCTTTGACCATTCAACCGCTGGGATGGAATATGGTGATTGCTCAACGAGTTGACCATATTATCTGAAAGTCCTAAGGTCGATCCCTGGCGAGGTCATGTGTGCACACTAATGAAGAGCCTGAGAGTCGAACGTAGCAGCTCTGTAATCCTCCATGGCTTTCCATAACTTTCTAGCTGATGTTGGTTCAGACAAGATCTGGGCTGAAGATACGTTATTTTTCAAATGTTATGATTATCAGGTACTTTGGTTTTGAATAGTATTCAGATAAAAATACGAAGTGATCGCAAAAGTTAGTTACTCAATTCACAGTCAAATTGCATCTTGTCTCGGTTAATTAGTAAAAAAGGAATAACTGATGCAGTGCTTGAATTCATGACATATTTTATAAAACGTTTGACTGCTTCCATATTTCTCCGCCTCCATTTTCCTTAACAATCACTATTGCACCTGATAGAGTCTTTGACAAAGACAACGTTTATAATTAGACACCTGACTCAGTACAAATTTTCTTACAAATGCAATTACGAGTAAAACTTACTTTGAATTGGATGATTGAAACGAAACACATGACTTTTGCCTAGAATTACACGAGCACCTGTTTGAAGTTGAATACGTTTTGTAATTAAACTTCCATTCACATAGCATTCAGCCTCTTCAAGTGGTTCAAATTCTACCACAGCTAAGAAATAATAAAAGACAAATTTGGAATTTTATTTGATGACGTCAAACTCAATGAGGTAGACAGATTATTTAGCGATAAAAAAAAATTAAAATCAGTCATTTCATACTGTTGTGAGTTGTCATTAACTTATCCAAGAGGCAGTGTGCTCTTCTATGCCCTATTCGAACACAGTTTCTTTCTTCTGTTCGGTATCCTCATAAAAACAAGCCAGTAAAACAAATAGGTTGAATGCTCAATGAACGCTTCATTAAGTTTCAATGTTCAAGATGTTATTTCATTCAAGAGTGGAAAATGAAGATGATTAAGGGTGAAAATTTTCTTATAAGAATTACGAATTGCATCTCTAGAAAAGTTTTTAGAATGTACTTATATACAGAAGAATGAATTTTAAAATAGCACTATTCGATTCATTGAGATTGAAGAAATGCAGTAAGTAAATTCCCTTCCATGCGGATTTGCTTATTAGTTTCAGCGAAGAGTCTCCTTCCAGTGGCGAATTCATTTTCTTAGCTGTACAATCGCAAATATATATGTGTTATTTTGAATGAGTGTGTACATTAAGTTTGTCAAACAAAAATATATGTAGTGGTCTATTATTGGTCTATAATTATTACTAGCTCAGTTCTCCAGCATTTGGTGAACTCAGGCCACGTAGCTCCACCAGAATCGTCTATCATCTTCATAGTGAAGCCAAATGGTAAGAAGGGCGTCAGGTTTCAGCTTTTGTGTATGGTGGAGGCGCTGGCAATTCGTCAATACAAACCTGAACTCTGTACACAGAAAAAGTTTGTCCAGTCTCTTATTCTACCTTGGTCTTAACCTCTTCACTAGTCGCTCCCTGTAAAAAATTTTGATTTTCTCCTTTCTTTATTAGTTTTTAATTTTACTTTTAGTTTGCTATTGCTTTAATAATTAATTCACTATTAACAATCTCATATGCTCCTTCTGTACATTTCACATCCTCTTTACACTTGTTAAATTGACACTCAAGTACTTTTATTCTCACTCAATAACAATTTGTCAAACAAAAATACAATTGGTTATGGTTATTTTAACTAAACAGGTGAACATTGGTAATTGGAGTCACGTAATACAAAATCAGTCAAGAAAATTAGGTGTTAATGAAATTAGGGTAGTAAAACAGTTGTTAAAAGGAGGTTATGTAATAATATGAATAGTTTGATGATTGGGTTTTACTCAGGATACACATAGGAACAAAGTAGAGAATACGAAATTACGTAAGAGTCTTAAATGAATACGAGAATTATAAGCAGTTAAAGAAACCAGCAAACAAACAAAATTAAGTCATCGAAATCAACAAAGTTTTGTTAGCATGACAGTAGAAGTGATTGAGTAATTCTCTTTTGTATGCACTGCTCCCGCTTTTCTATGTGAATGGCCAGAGCTTCAGCAATACAAGAATAACTTACCAAAGGCAATACTGTTTCGTCTTCTTTGTATCGCTGAAGCTCTGGCCATTCACGTAGAAAAACGGGAGCTGTGCATACAAAAGAGAATTACTCAACCACTTCCACTGTCATGCTAACAAAACTTTGTTAATTTTGTTTGTTTGCCAGCTCTTCAATTGCTTATAATTCTCCTATTCATTTAGAATTCTTAAGTAACTTCGTATTCTCTACTTTGTTCCTACGTGGATCCCGAGTAAAACTCAATCGTCAAGCTATTCATATTATTACATAACTTCTATTTAAAAACTGTTTTACTATCCTAATTTCATTAACACCTAATTTTCTTGACTGATTTTGTATTACGTAACTCCAATTAGCAATCTTCACCTGTTTAGTTAAAATAACCATAACCAATTGTATTTTTGTTTGACAAACTTAATGTACGCATACATACAAAATAACCCATATGTATATTTGCGACTGTACAGCTAAGAAAATGAATTCGCCGCCAAACAGAGACTCTTCGCTGATCTACGTGTTTTGTTTTCATTAATGACTGGATGGGGATTATTCATGAATTATTAGTTTCAATCATGAAATCCTCTACTCAAATATGAAGTTACTGAAAACCATATTCCTTTTCAAGCAAACAGACATCTATGAGTTGTAAATGGGCAGTTGGGGTAGAAAGCCTCAGTCAGCTGATACATAATCTAGCTTCAAAATTCTTAAGTTTGAATGGAATGACTTTTGAATCAATCCTTCACTTTTGATGAGAATCAACCGTGAAGTCAGTTCTCAACTTTTCCGTAAGCTGAATGACACTGAATCGAGTCTTCTGAAACATACGACCACATGTTTTAACATGCGGTAGGCTGATGCGCCCTTTTCTGCAAAAAAAACAAAACATCTTATCTATTGTTCGTAAACTTTGTTTATTTAGGTACTTACCACCATCAGTATAGAATATACAGTGTTCATTTCGAATAAGAGGACCACTTAATCCAATATCAACTCCTGACTCAGATTCTAATCGACCAACTCTGTGAAAAGTAAAACAAGAATTAGATTTTTTATTTCAAAAACAGAATTTTTGTAAATGTATGAAGTTTTTCGGTGGTTCAGGGGTAGAATACTCGAAAACCATGCATGTGGCCCGAGGTTCTATCCCCTGCCGATACACCTTGGTATCTTACTTAATTGTTAGAGAACCAGGCATAGAGGGAAGGATAAGTGTGCAGCTATCAACCCCTGCCAGTAAAAGATAAACACAACTGCTGTTGAGAATTCAAAGTTGAAGCTTGAAGGTCTGTCTTCTACTTGGGAATCAAAAGAAATAAAAGAAAGCAACAAATGGATTAACATTTCAGTGAAGTGTATTCGATTTCAAGTTACCTTTCATCACTGATCAGGCCTTTTCAATATGAATCTAGAGAATCCATCCTGTCATCATTTACTGATGATCAGTGGATTGATTTTTAAGTGTTGGTTGGTCAGGTGACCAGTATCTAGAAGAAAACTGGTGAATATCCCATGGATAGATTATCGACTTGCATACTGCCGAAGTAAGTTTGGCAGACATAATATCAGTAAGATTATTAAGATTAATACCTACGCTTACCCAGCGTAACCTTCCTCCAAACTACAGAAATGTGCACTAATGTATGCCATAGCACCTACATTCGTCCCATACTAAAGATCAGGTAGGGAGAAAAGATAGACAAAAATGAACTTTGACAGCAAACGCTCCAGTAAACTATTGCCAAACAAATATGCAATTAGTCCCTTTGATAAATTAGAATAAGGCATTTTGAAGACAAATGTCGCGAGATGATATGAACATTCCATTGTTTCTCTACAATCGCTTTACAACTAACATGGTTCACAATAATAAAATAACATAAAATACATGACAATTACTCAGTTATATAAAAGAAAAACACAATTCTAATTACCAGTCATATTTAGAACATTCAACTGGTTCTACCTACACAAGTGTCACAGCAACTGCAGGTTAACTTATAGATACAGTTTGCAGTAGAGTCCACAGAATTTCGTCCTTTAATCGTAGGTACAGGGATCGAAAGTGTTCGAGGTGTGAGGGAAAGAGGTGTAGCGTGAAATGTGGATTTGATGGTTGACCGAAATCTTTGAGCTGTCAACTGCATAATTTGTTCACACTTGAATGTTAGGTTAATAAAGATGGCTTTCTTTGGTACAGAAGCTGTCATTTCAAGATGTGGTATATCCTTACTGTGACAAGTGATAGAGTAGTTTTTCTGGATAACCATTAGCTAATAAAACTGAATGAATGTGACAAAGCTCATCTGCCAATGTGTTAAATTATGTAGTTGACAGAGCAAAGACTTCGGTCAGCCATAAGCGCATATTCTACGCCGCATCTATTTCCTTCACATCTCGAACATTTTCCATCCCTGTACCTACGGTTAGAGGACAAAATTCTGTAGACCTTACAACAAACTGTATCTACACGTTCAACTGCAGTTGCGGTGACACTTATTTAGGGAGAACCAATAGGATGTTCCAGTGTCATCGAGAAGAACATGTTCCAAAGTGGTAATTGAAATACAAAGAAAGTCCCAATGCAATTAATCTGAATAGAAATCCAGCATCATCCATTGCAAAGCACTTATTAATGTCAGGTCATAAAATCAATATTAATGACTGTTTCACAATTATTTCACATAACTCTAATTCAAGGTTGGTTACTGAATGAGTGATGGAAGCACTCTTTAGGGGATTAATCACATACAGCCTAAACTGTGTGTACAAAAATCAATAGACTTCAATCTTCGCCTACCATGGACTGCTTAACCTATTTAGATATGATTGGTTATTAGTACTGTACTTTTGTTTTATATAACTGAGTACTTCTCATGCATTTTATGTTATTTTATTATTGTGAATCATGTTAGTTGTAAAGCGGTTGTAAAGGAACAACGGAATGTTAATGTCATCTTGCAAAACCCAAGAGAATAATTAATACGAAATAACAAAAATAATGGAGATATCATCTGACGAAATTTGTCTTCTAAATGCCTTTATTCGAATTTACCAAATATGCTTAAGAGAATGTAGATGGATTAGGCAAACGTTGAAGAGACATCCAACTGACATTATACATGAACTCTTTGAGTAGAAGCAGAATAGAAAGTGGTGAGTTTAGCATCCAAAGATCATGCAGAAGAGATCATGTAAAACGGAGAAGAATGCTTGTCATCAATGGTGGAGCGAGGCGGAAGTATGGTCAGAGAACTGGGTGAAATGCCCCACAGGGAACCCAAGGAAAAAAGACAATAAAAACAGGCTAATCTTTATAAATGCTTCCAGAAGACAATATGGCGAAAAGACATACACAACTGCTAAACTTCGAGTATATTTCGATTTCGAATCGTTGATTCCTTCAAGTTATGAGAATTAACTTTTCTATTTTTAAAAAACCAAGATTGGACGAAGAAATATTTACTTTTTCTAATTAGATCCTCATCTCTGGCTCTACTCTAATATATATAGCATTTTTATCACAATACACAAGAATTTACCAATCAAGTGGCGATAGGTTACAGGATTTCATCGTGAGCTGGGATTGCTTAGAGAACCATTGGAAAACCTGGGAGTATTGAACAGCCAGTTGTTTCGTCCTAGTGCTTGGGACTCTTCATCAGTGCGCACCCACCACCAAGGTTCGAACTCAGGACCTTCTGGTTGCAAGGCAAGCTCGTAGAGCATTAAGCCACTGGGGCCCGATCCAATGGCCCATGAACTCCAACTTCTGCCAATTCATGATATAGCGCGACCGCTAACCAATGTCTTCGGTAAGTATTTTTCCTCACACCCGACCGGCCGCACCCTACTGGTTGCGCTATATCATGAATTGGCAGAAGTTAGAATTCATGGGTTATTGGATCGGGTCCCAGTGGCTTAATGGTCTACGAGCTCGCCTTGTAACCAGAAGGTCCTAAGTTCGAAACTTGGCGGTGGGTGCGTACTGTGAAGAGTCCCAAACTAGGACGAAACAGCTGGCTGTCCAGTACTCTCTACAGGTTTTCCAATGGTTCTCTAACCAATGTCAGCTCATGATGAAATCCTGTAAACAATCGACCAAATCCCTACAAACCAATACTTGAATATCAAGTGGCGATATGTTTGCTAACAATCATTAGTCAGTGTCAACATATCAATGGGGTGATAATTAACGAAGAAAATTAATACACACAATTAAAAGGTAGAAGTGGTTACAACACGTGGATTCCATAATGCATAATTTTGAAAAAATGAAGAGTAATTTAGGAATAAGCGTGTCTATCGGTTGATTACGTAACAGATTGTTAAAGAAAATAAAACGATTTGGACAATGATAACTTGTAACTGAGGCTGAAATGGTCATAAGAATAAAATAATTTTACAAGGATAACACGTAATTAAAGATGAAATAGTCAGAAAAAATAAAATAATTTGGACAATTATAATTTTTAAAGGTTTAGGGGGAGGGGGGCGAAGTAGTCCGGTTTACACATTTCGTAGAAAATCAATAAAGCGAATCTTTGATCGATCTGTATCTAATTTAACAGTAAAACATAGAGAAAAAGAATTGTTTACGTGAATGTTGAAAACTTACACCGTTTTACCCTCTTTAAGGTAGTATATAAGACATTCTGACATGGCTGGATCTTCATTAAGATTGACAAGATGTGGTGTCTAAAATAAGAATGAACAAAATTGACATTATTCATAATGAGAAGTGTCAGCAGTAAGTCAGTAATCACACTCGTAGATCAGTAGGTTTGATTGGCCTAAACGACTTTATTTTGGAACTCATGTCTGATGTTCACCAGCGACTGGTTAGGTAGGTAGATACCTTGGTTGTAGTGAGAAGTTGTGACCAGTGGGCGTATAGCAAGTCGGGTGTGAGGACAAATACTCACCGGCGACATTAACTAATGGTCACACTATTTCGTGAACTGATAGAAGTTGGTATTCATAGGCCGTTAAATCGGGTCCTAGTGACTTAATGGGCTACGAGCTCACCTAGCACCCGGGGGTCCTGGATTCGAACTCTGGCGGTGGGTGCGTTCTGATGAAGAGTCTTGAGTTAGGACGACAGAAACAGCTGCCTAGTACTCTAAGGTTCTCCACCTCATGACGAAATCCTGTAGGAAATCATGTCTACTTTTTTGGTCGCCCTGATTACAATCTTGAACATACTACATCAGGACTGCAAAAAGTGTTCATAATGTTCCTGTGCAACACATTTTCTGGTGGGAATCTTGAATTACAAGCACCTATTCCTGTATATCCCTTCGACTTCTTATTCTTATCGAGATATCTTGATATCTACTATGCAGTTGAAAGGAAGTGAAGAAACTGTAACTTTCGTTGGATAAGTTTGGGAAATTCATTGAAACATCCGTCACTAGATTTTTAACATATATAACAGTAGCATTTCCAACAGCTTTGTGTGCTACATGGAGTGTGATGACTCGAACTGCTGCACATCAGTGCAAATATATATGTTGAAAACGGTTAATCATTTAGTTAGACAGGGTGAAACTGGGTAAGCGCCTTGAAAAGTCTTTTGATTAGGTAGAAATGTTGATCAGTGAATCTTTGCCCATCCAGTCAACCCTTACTACATGAAATAGAAGTAACGAAGCACCAGAATGACTACCTTGATCTGGTTCTGAACAATAAATTGTGCTGTAGAAGTCCATCCGCTAACATTACTGTATGTACAACTGTGTTATATGAAACAAGCTAATCATATATGGTGTTATATCCTACCGAACCGCTTGGTTCCTGCTCTTACTCTAAACTATTTTCAACTTCATTGATGGTAGTGCATTACAAGAAAGCAAAAAGCGTTCCAAAGAGGTGGGGCTGTCTATTCCCTATCGAAAAGTGGTTACCGATATGGCAGAATACATGTAAGGTGCAATTATTCAATATTACAAGCCAATGAAAATAACCAGCCAACAACAACAACAGCAACATCCACCGCCAATCACCATCAACGGGAGGGATTTGAAAGAGATAACTTCATTCACTTATCTAGGGAGCATTGTCTCAACTACAGGAGGAACCGACGAGGATGTCAACTCGAGAATCGGGAAGGCGAGAAACACATTTACCAACCTGAAACCAATCTGGAAATCTTCGTCACTCAACTCAGCATCAACAACAAAATTCGGATTTTCAATACAAACGTCAAGTCAGTCAGTTCTCCTACACGGATCAGAAACTTGGCCAGTGTGTCACAAAGAATATTTCCAACAGCCTGTTGCAAACCTTTATCAACAACTGTCTTCTTTCTGTACTGAAGATCAGATGGCCGGAAAGAATCACCAACAAGAAACTATGGGAACGAACAAAACAAGAACCAATCGCTCAACAAATATGCAGGAGAAAGTGGAGATGGATTAGACACTCGTTGCGCTGGGGAGGCCGCTGGGTGACATCGTGCGTCAGGCCATAGCTCGAGTGGAACCCGAAAGGGAAGCGACGAGTTGGACGTCCAAGAGTGACATGGAGGAGATCGTGTGAAGAGGAGTTGAAACAGTATGGACTAAGATGGATGCAAGTGAAAAGTACAGCAGAAGACAGAAGCAAGTGGAGACGTGTAGTGGAAGCGGTATGTTCCACTAGGAACCCAAGGGAACAATAATAATAATAGCAAGCCAAAAACCTCACATATACAACTGCTCCGTTGAAAAGTTGTCAAATGCCTAACAGTTTTAAAGCACGACACTCAAAGTGTTTCTAGTAAAGTCAGTTGACTGATTCCCTAATTCCTAAATGACTGCAAATACTCTAATAAGATTATCAATAAACGTTAGTTCCCACTTTTTCTTTCACAAAAATAAAGTAAAACAGTCAGTGCATCTACAAAAATTATTGTGAGCACCAAATATGAATATACAATTCATCAAAATGATTTCCACCGACTTACTTTTTTAGGCGAGAAGACACCTTGGACACCGCCATCACCACGAATAGCGATTCCCATTTCCATAAGTTCATTTTCTCTGAAAAGCGATAATAAACAGGATGTAATATATCAGAAGTCACAGCTCTTATCAATGAAAGCAATGATATAATCCATGAACAAATATGCGATGACGAAGTCAACCGACACATATGTCAAAACAACTCGAAGTTACATACTGCCGTCTGTCCGAAGACTATTGTTGATTAATGTCATTTTGCTTGATTTTGATTGGTCACAGGTTTGATCATGAACTGCCAACAATTAGAGAACCAGTAGAACATCAGAAAGTACTAGACAGCTGTCTCGTCCTAGTTTGGGGCCCTTCAGTGGCATATACTCAAAAGGGATTCAAACTCAGGACCTTCCGGTTACAAGGTGAGCTCATAGACCATTCAGCCACTGAGATCCAGTCCAATGTTCAATGTACTCCAACGTCTGTCAGTTTGCGGTATATAGCGCAATCCCCAGCCTGTATGATGGGCGAGTAGTTGCCCTCTTACCTCATTTAGTAGAACCCGAGAAATGGCAGGATTTGAAATTCACGGGATAGGGTCCTAGTGGTTGAGTGGCCTGGATCCGGACTCTGAAGGGTGAGCACTGATGAGGAGTCTCAAACTAGGACGAAATAACTATGCAGTACTCCTTAGCTTTCCAATGGTTCCTTATCTGATATCAACTTGTGATCAGCCTGTTGTTTGTTGGACACTCATCAATTTTCGCAACATTCAGGAATCTTTCTTTAACGAGACAATTCCTTTTCGTGATATTTAGAAAATTTTACAATGTTCACATGCATCATTGATATAAGAATAAAACTTGTGCACTGTGGTAGAGTGTAATTCCATTATGGGTAAATTTTGTTTTGATAAAGTCTCACAGTGTTATACAGTAATATTTACTGATGACGTTTTGAGCTCAATTTGTTGCTCATAATCATATCAAGGTAATCACACGACTTCCTAACTTCATTTATATAGTTCCATTATTTTTCACTTTCCAAGTGAGTACCTTGATGTGATTATGAGCAGTAAATTGTGCTCGAAACGTCATCAGTAAATATTACTGTATAACACTGTGAGACTTTATTAAAACAAAATTTACCCATAATGGAATGTTCATATGCCTTCGGCTACAAACGCATCTTGTTCATAAGCTGAAATTTGAAAACTTTGAAGTTCGTCAGTCAAAGGAGAATTGTAGTATATGTCAGGTAATGCCTAGTTATTTAGGAAGCCTTGACTCTTGTCGCGTACTGATACATCAGGTATTCTATTTTTCTTTGTTGGAATTAAGCCTTATTCCTTCCAGTGGAAGGAAATATCGAAAATATTAGAGCGTATACTCAAGTTACTAAAGCCCAAATTTAACTAGCTCGTATGAACGTGAAGTTCCGCTCGAAAACGCAAAATATTTTCACATGTTTTTATCAATAGAGTTGTAAAATATATCATGGTGAGGTTCTGTTCATCACATACTCTTTGTCTGACGGTGACATTATTAAATGAAGTGGACTACCACAGATAGATAAAGTTGAATGATCTATTTTCAAAGTTATTCGTCTCACTTTTGTGACTTCGAAACTGCCATTTAAATTACTTTATTATCCAAAACAATTACGTCTCTATTAATAGTAAGATAAGGCTGCCTACTATCACCGAAAACATTCCTGATTGTAGTAGACTGAATCACATTCAGACCTTGAATAGCAGGAATACAGACAAACTTTGGATCGACGCAAAGACTCTAGACGATATGGATTTCATGAATGGTTTATGTCTAAGGTCACACACGCTCGAAGATCGACAGGCAGAAACCAAAACGTTGCCAGAAGAGGCAATGAAGACAGGACTTCAGATGAACATATAATAGACAGAAGTGAAGACTATATATCTAACCAACAACGACCTTAAGCAACAATCACCATCACCTGGTGAAATCTGAAGTATCGAAGAGTGTCAAAAGAATGATTGGAAAAGTGGAACAAACCTTCAACAATCTAAAAACAGTTTGCAGATTCACTGTACTGACCATACAGAACAAGAACCAGATGTCAAATCTGATCTTCTGTATGGGTCACAGACATGGCGCTCATCAAAGATGGCATTTCCAGTAGGATGCAGACTCCTACTAACTGTCACTTCATCTGGCGGAAATGAAAGGATTAGCGATACAGAACTCTGTGAACGAACTAGACAGGGACCTACTACCCAAAAAAATATGCCAAAAGAATTGGAGATGGATTTGACACACACTGAGGAGACCGTTGAGGCAGTTCGTCAAATGAAACTCAATTCGGAAAGGGCGAGATGGACATTTGTCGATGTGTGACCTGGAGCAAGCAGATCGTGTGACGAGGATGTGAAACCATGTGGGCAACCTTGAAGCCAGCTAAACGTGACTACAGGGAACAGGATGCAATGGAGATGTTCTACTGAATCCCTATGTTCCATTCGTAACCCAAGGGAATGACAGTGTAACAGGAGTGGTTACTCTCATGTGAGACTTCCTTTATGTTCTTATGAAATCAGACAATAATAAAAAGCTACATTTGAACTAACCTCTGTTCTCGAAGTTTCTCCGCTTTTCTCAATTTGAATTCCATAGTTTCATTTAATTCAGCAATCAACTTTTCAGAGGCTTTTAATGCTTCCAAAGTTGTTTCCTCGCCATACGTACAATCTTCTAAAGACTGTTGATGTGTCAAGGTTGCTATAGAGACAGTAGAAGCTAGAAAAAAAGATAAATATGTTAAAAGCCTTTAAGAAAACCTATGAACTGACATTGGTTAGAAAAGCACTGGAAAACCTGGGAGTACTGAACAGCTGTTTCATTCTAGTGCTTGGGACTCTTCAGCAGTACCCACACACCTGGAGGGGTTCGAACCCAGGACCTTCTGGTTACGGCCCATGATGAAATCCTGTAACCAAAGTAATATCTGTTTGAAGAAAGGATAGGAAAATATCATGCGTACATAAAAAGGAGCTTTAATCGACTGAAATTCAAATTCCTACAGTTTTGGAGTGATACAGATGTCTTATTAGTGGATATATTACTTATGAATAAATATAAGTAGTCTATAGAATAGTGTCTTCAGATATGCAATCTAGAAAAGAAACCCACTGCAGAAGAAAGGTAAGAGGAAATTTGAAGATCTAAACAGAAGTCAATAGATAATAACGAACAAAGCCTATATAATATCGAATTGCTTATAATTAATGCATGATGTATAATTTTCCTAGTGTCAATATCACTTTGTCTCAATCTACTCCAACCTGTCTTGTTCTCTCTTCAATAGGTTTGAATGATAAAAGAATGGACATTATCATTATTTAAAAATATCATCAACGGGATTATTTTTTTCACTTCTGTGTGACATAAGTATAAATTGTGTTTTTGCACAGATAAAATGTTGCTTTTTCATACATCAATAATAATAATAATAAATTGGCTGTCGAAAAATGAATGACCCAGAATTTGGACAAAGATATTTCTGTACTTGGATAACCTAGACATACTGTCTTATATGAACAACCCAGATCACGTTGATAAAATATGCATGAGTTAGCTGTTTTGGCATACTAACTATTTCAGCGTGCTTAATTATATCTTAAAGCCAGATGGGAAAAAAACAGAACAAATGAATAACTTCCGCAGCGATCGATTTCTACAGTTGACAAATGTTCAGTGGATGTGTGAAGGATAAACTCCCACTTTGAACTACTTCAATGTTTGTTTACAAATTCACTTTCTTCTGTGGAAATAGTTATATTGGGCGTGCAAAGCTCAGACTTTCTAAACACATACCTGCAGACACTATCCGGCAGAGCAAGGCAATTACTAGTCTGATTCTCAAACACCTGGAGGACATAAGAAACTTATATTATTATTATACTATTGTTTCCTTTAATTCCTGGAGGAACATAGGGCTTCAGCCCTGAGTCTCCAATGCATTCGGTTTTATGCCAGAGTCTTCAACTGGCTCCAAGTCTGCCCACACGTTTTCATCTCCTCCTCACATGACCTCCTCCAAGTCACCCTTGCACTGACGACCATCTCGCCTCTTTCCTTTCGGGTTCCACTCGAGGGCTTGTCTAGTAATGTCACTTGATGGTTTGTTTCCTCAGAGTATGGCCAATCCATCTCCATTTCTTCCTGCCTATTTGTTTCACAATCGGTTCCTGCTGTGTTGGTTCGCTCATTGCCAGAGATCTCTGTTGCTGATCTTCTCTGGCCATCTGATCTTGAGTACTGAGCGAAGACAGTTGTTCATGAAGGTCTGTAGTTTGTTTGAGATGCTTTTTATGACGCACCAAGTCTCTGATCCGTATAGTAGCACTGACTTCACACTGGAGTTGGAAATCCGGATCTTATTTCCATTTTCATGCTGAGTGCTGTTGACCTCCACACAGACATGAGAGTGAAAGCTTGTCTTGCTTTTCCGATTCTTGCTTTGATATCCTCGTCAGTTCCGTCTATAGTTGAAACAATGTTTCCCAGGTAGGTAGGTAAAGGAGGTTGTTTCTTTCAAGTTCCCCCATTTATGGTGATTGTTGTTTGTTGTTGTTGTTGCTGTTGGTGTTGTCCACCTCTGTTTTCTCTTTATCCACTTGAAGTTCTATCTTTAATGCTTCTTCTGCCAACTCATTGCTTTTCACTTGCATATCTTCCAGTTTATGGGAAATCAGACATTTGTCATCGACGAAGTCCAGATCCTCCAAGTTGGCTTTTTGTGTGAGTCCATTTTATGCCTGTTTCCTCATTGCCCGCTGTTTGTCGCATTATCCAGTCTACTGCAATCAAGAAAATCATTGGCGATAGTAGGCAGCCAGCTTGTCTTACTCCTGTCCTCATTTCGAAGGATTCCGTAAGTTTCCCGTTGTGGATTACTTGTCATGCAGCATTGTCGTACAGCTGTTGGATGAGATGTATAATTGTCGGTGGCACCCCGTAGTAGCGAAGTATTTTCCAAATCACCTCTCGATCGACGCTGTCTGCTGAAGGCCTTTTCAAAGTCGATGAAGTTGAGATAGAGAGGTGACTGCCATTCCAATCTTTGTTCAGTGATTATCCGTAATGTGGCGATCTGATCAATACATGAATAAGAAACGTAGCTCCACAAAAATTGCCTTTAAAGATTATCTACAAGGTGAGACGGGATGATGTCAGGAGTGTTAGATTTCGGCACTTGTGTATGCAGGAGACACTGGCGATTCATCAGTATAACCCTGAAATGTGTTCGCTGGAAAGGTTTATTTAGTTTCTTCGCCAAACGGTGGCTTTTAATTTTAGTAATTAATTCACTATTTTGATTCATACATGTTCCCTTTTGTACATGTTATGCAGGGTTCCAGAAATCACTTGTGATTTGCAAATTAGTTTGTAACGACAGAAGACAAGGACCAGGCAACAGATCATTTTTTGAGAAAATCAAGAGATATTTATAGATTTTTATATACATTATTATTAACCTTATTGTTAACAGAGAAGTGACATCTTCTGATTGGTTGTTTTCTTGCTGAAGGTTATTCTTTATTGCTTGTGACCATTTCTCAGAAAGTTAAGCCAAATATCTGCGAATCGTATTTGCACACGTTAAGTCTACTGTGATTGGTTGGTTAGTTCATCATGGTTAAGCTTTGTTATTGTTTCTTCTCATGACCTCGATTCGGGACGTAAACATTGAAATAAACTGCTGTCTTCCATTTTTGGCTTACAGCTAGCTATCACCACACGTTCACAATCTACACAGGTCGAGGTGATTATTTCATCAAATCACAAATTTCATTAGTGGAATTTAAGGTTAGGGATTTGATAAGGTGAAAATTGCTATTCAGTAAGAATTCAGCTAGCTGAATGTCCGCTTGATAAGTGTGAAGATGGTGAAAAGACAGAATCCTGAGTAAAACGTACAAAATGTTGAACATGTTGAAGTGATAATAGGGAATTAATTGTCAAGAGTAGAACTGGGCGATCAGAGAAGAGATCTTTGGTGGAGAAGAGACTGATAGACTCTATTTGCACACAGAGCTATTGGTCACATTGGTGAATCGCCGCTGCCTTGGCCATAGACTCATTTGGAAACCCAGCAACCTGTGTACCATTCGTTTTCACCTTGTAGATAATCTTACTCAGCAGTAGACTACTGTCCTATTTCTGGTAAATATAAATACGGTTCTTCAGCCTCTGAAGATAACTTTGTCAATGACGAAAATTCTCCTGTCTGAATCGCCTTTTATTCTCTTTATAACTCAATGAGTACCTCCAGTTTTCTGGAAAGTGTTTCAAATAGTTAGGTGTGATTTATAAACGATACACAACAGTTTAAGTTCTGAACTTGCCATCCTATTTATTTTTTGGTGAGGCTGTAGTCTCTAATCTGGGTAATCTAATCCTGAAGCTTTCAGCGTCCTTCAAGAAGACACCTTCAATGCTACTAACTTCAGTATGAAGTAGACTCCTTTACTTCTAATCGAAATGGGATATTTTACTTGAGCGACAAAGGTGTTATGATTGTTCCAGATCAAGAGATAACAGTCATAGAAAGTTGAATTCAGATAAGCAATTAAAAAGCAAAGTAATCAACTTAATTGGTGGATGGTGACTAGCAGTGGAATCCAGGATGCGCATTTCGTCCCATTTGGGACTCGACAGCTGGATGTACCTGCATTTCCCAGTGACTGATGATGTTCCCACCGAGGCTCGAACCCAGTGCCCATAGTTTCCAACGCCACAGCGTTATCCACTAGACCACTTGAGCCACGAGAGCCACCTCTTGTGCGACGGGTCATATTGATTTAATTGAATTTTAGATTTTTCCCGTCGATTGATTGGACCGAAGTGCTCGGTGGATTCCACTGCTAGTCACCATCCACCAATTAAATACTAATTAAATGCCCAGACATCGTCGAAGCATCTGCTCAAGAAGCCGACATGTCAACCTGAGACCGAGCACTTCCGTCCAATCAGTCGACGGGAAAAATCTAAAATTCAATTAAAGTAATCAACTCTTAGGAGATTCATACGCTTTCATAGATTAAACACTGAAGAAGTTAAAAACGGAAGCTGCAGTTCTTCGGTCCATCTAGCGATATTCGTAATTGTCACTATTCATGTGATTAACCACGGCGTCAGCGGACGACTTGGTTTCAAATTTGATAAGACAAAATGTCTTTAACCCAATCTAATCTACTCGGTTGATCCCATCACTAAACCTTTCAGAAAAATTATGAAACATAGTTTAAAAAAATCGATACAGGGATGAAACAAACTCTTACATTTTCTCATTTGACCTTCTTCTTCTAATTTAAGAATTTGTTTTAAACGTGCAACTTCTGCTTTTAATTCTCTTATTAGAACTGCTGTAGGGTCCTCGTTGATAACAGCTTTGCAAACAATGCTTTTAGCTCTATCTGCATAACGTAGAGTTGACAAAGTTTCGTCGAAATTGACATCAGCTGGTGATAAAGCTGCAATCATTGTCGTACGTGAATTACCGCCTGTAAATAAAAAAAGAAATAAGAAAATGCCACTTTTAAGTCAGTGTACTTGCATTCCCAGTGACTGACTTCCTGCCGATTACCTCCAGCCATTTAATATCATCAAAGTAATGTGCACGGTGATGGTGAGCTACCTAGCGTCATGGTGGCCATATTGCAAACTTGACTGACAGAATTCAGTTTGTACCAAAGAAAGGACAAGACACATCGCACTAGTTACTAGTGTCAAATCAAAATATCCACTACAGTCCTATAGGAGGTCAATCGTGAGCCCAAACAGCTCAGTGGTAACGTGATGAAAACATAAAAACGCAATTATCAACTTGGATAGAATTCATAAAATTATGCCTTACAACATACTTCCAATTCAATACTCAAATTTATGAACAAATAAAAGGAACACCAATGGGATCACCCATATCAGGATTAATAGCTGAAGCTGTTGTGCTAAGATTAGAATTAATAGCTCTATCTATAATTAAACCGAAAATCTGGATACGTTACGTTGATGATACATTTGTAATAATTAAGAGAAGTGATTTAGAATATACTCATAAATTAATAAACAAAATATTTGAAGACATTAAATTCACCATGAGAGAAGAAGAATTAGATGACAAAATCCCATTTTTAGATGTCTTAATCAGGAGAACCAACACAGGAGATTTAGAAACACAAGTATATAGAAAATCAACGCACACAGATCAAATACTCAACTATACTATCAATAATCCAGTTACTCACAAACGAAACTGTGTGCAGACATTGTTTAAAAGAGTTCAAACACATTAAAGCACTCCAGAGTTGAAAAGAATGGAAGGAAAGTACCTACAAACGGTCTTCAAAAAGAATGGTTATCCACAAAATTTCATCAAAAAGTGCTTAAAGTCGAATCAAAACACTAACAAGGAACCATCATCAAAGATCACAAGAAAATTCATCCTACCATACATGAAAAATATCTCTGAAATAACAGCTAGAATACTGAAACCGTTTGATATAGATATAGCACACAGGCCAGTCAAATCGCTTAATTCGATATTATGCAAACCGGGAGATCCAAAAGAGAAAGGAGATAAAATTAATACCATTTACAAAATAAATTGTATGAACTGCAGCAAGCATTACATCGGCCAAAGTGGGCGTCCCCTTCGATTTAGAATCCAAGAACACAAATTAGCCGTGAAAAGACACTATATGTACTCTTTAGTGTCAATGCATATAGACACTTATGGTCATCAATTTGACTAGGATAACGTCGAAATCGTAGACAGAGGAAACACGAAAACTGCGGTCAGGGAATTCCTAGAAGCCTGGTACTCAAACGAAAATGCAATTAAAAAACACGTTAATATAGACGAAATGTACCAACTAATAAAAAGTAAATCATGTGACGTGAAAGTTTAAAGTCCAGGTCAATAGAAAATGATCAGTACACATATGGAAAGATGGTTACCGGGAGACACAATTCTATCACTCGGAGAAAAAAATTTAAATCATTTCACTTTACGCTAAATATTGGGCTGAAGATGTTGTCCAACAGGCGGACGACGAAAGCTCCGCAACTAAACCAACCAGCTCAGAGAACACTATTAATTGCAAATCAGTGGTAACGTCTCTGACCGTAGCACTCACTGGGTGACGCGAGTTCGCATCTCAGAAGGGACATGAGTTCCTTCAAGTTTGCACATGCGTCTTGATGACTGGTGAGTGCCAACTGGCACGAAATCTAGGTCAAGCAAGGATTTCTGCCGATTGCCTCCAACTATCTCAATCAGTCAGTAGTATGGTTACTGAATGGAGAATATTCTTCTCGATAATCTCTTCTTCATCAGGTTCTACAGTTATATGCATCCATAATAGTGAATGAATTAGTGTTATAACCAACAAAATTAGTGTTGTTGAAATAACAACGAATCAATAATAATATCATTGGATTACAGTTCAGTAACATCAAAATAACAACAACTCGTAAAAACATAACAAACCCTTACAAACCAAACTTTAGAAAAATAATAACAATGACAAGTGTCAGAGAAATTAGGAAAAATAATAAGAACACAGAATTCATGAATTTATAGTCTCCAATGAAAGCCGGCCAAGGCAGTAGTAGTGGCTGGCTGGACTTGTTTCTTCTGCACACACAGTACTGGTTGTTTCAGGAGAATAGCGATATCCTCTACTGTTTTGAGTATGCGGTACCTGGATGATTTTGGCAATTTGTTTGGTACCCGATAGATGATGGAGAAGGACTCTCAAATGCTAACTAGCTTTGTGGCCGGTTTGGACCAGTTGGTCTAATATCGAGCAACGGCCAATATAACTTACTCTACAAGCCCATTTGAACTGGTGGATACAAGAAGAAGACGTGGCTAATCTAGGTACTTCATCTTTCAATTGAGGAATCACCATTTGTGTTATCAAGCAAAAGCATATCGTGATCGGAATGATTTCTTTTTCAAATAAAACTATGGTGAAACTGCACCTCCTGGAATTGGGTAAATTGCAGATTTCTAGCCAATTTGCAAATTGTGAATTTGATTGAAGTGAGTAACTGTGATCCTACTACAGCTTGAACCCCGCGTCCATCGTTTCAAGCGCCAAGACGTTATTGATTAGACCACTTAAGCGACGTCAGCCGTCTCCTCGGCGACAGGTGTCATCTACTACTTCTTTTAATTCACTCAGTCAATGGGAAAAACTGAGCTAAAACCAGGCTACACTTCAGTTTATTCTACGAGTAATCACTATTAAAGATCTTCCAGCTGGAAAGAAACTACAGTCCATTGACTTCATGACTTTAAGTGACGGTCAATCCAATTTCGGGACATCAAAAAATCTACACCTAAAGTAATCAGGATCCTTATAAAACCCAAAATCTAACAAAAAGCAGTCTGCGTAGAACATGTATGAGTAGAATTTGATTACTCTGGTAGGACAAAATTCCATATTATTTTCAAGAATTGTTTTGTAAGGATTTGATTTATTCTCAAGTTTGCCAAGAGAAAATTATTGGGAACCACTGTTAAATGAGTACTGGACAGCTGTTTCGTCCTAGTCAGGAACTCATCGGCAGTAAGCATCCAGGACTATCATCCACCTTTTATTATCTACATTGATATTATTATTTTCTTTACAGATCTTCATACATTAATGAACAAATTATGGTGAGTAGTTATCTACTAGTTATGTTTCCATTATTCGCTTGATTTCATTATTTAAATCTTTTGACATACTATTAAGCCCCTGGTCCGATTATTTGGACACTCAACTAAACTTATCTTTAGCAATTCTGGATGAGATTAATCAGAATCGAGATGTTCACCAGGATGTTTTGGTTTCCTATAGTAAAAAAATGTTTATTTTTGAATTGGTGTTAGGTGAGAGAGATTTCACCCGACGCAAATGTCTGTGATTGGTTGAGTGGATCACTTTTTTTAATTTTTTGTATAAAAAAATTTGTCCCGTCACACTTATTTTGTACAACTTTATGATTAGGGCTGTCAGTTTGTTCAATGAAGCACTCACACTCGGCCAATCAACTAACTTCTAACACACACGAAGAGTTGGTGAGATTATCAGAAGTCGCCTTGGATTGGTTGTCTAATAATAGTGACCAATAGTGAAATAAAAACCACGGGTGACTTCAAGACACGAAGCAATGGACTCCGTTCCACTTATTATACTTATCGAAACCAAACAGTTTGAAAAAATTTGGGCATTGGGTTATATAATATTCATTAAAATAAAGGTTTTTTGTACTTCCCAATGAATGAAAAACAAAAGGATATTACTGTTTTTACTGACGTTTCTCTATTTAATGCTAATAGAGTCGGTGAACTACCATTTCTAGACTGCCTCGTTAAGAGGAGGTGAAACGGACATTTTAGTATGTCTATATTCAGGAAGAAAAAGCACTGCAATAAATATTTAAACTTGGCATCCTCACACCCCATAAGCCCAAAGGTATCGGTTGTTTCAAGTCTTCTTAGACAAGCACACTCTTTAATAACGGATGAGAAAGAAAAAGTGGAAGAAGAAATATCAAACATTACTGAAACTCTCAAGAAAAATAACTACACAAAGAACTTCACCGACAAAATCAACACTGACATTAAATATGATCGGAAACGTATTCCGAAGACAGCAGTTGTCAATCCATATAGATGAGAAACGTTGGACGAGAGCAGTAAAGTATTCAGTCAGTAAAGAACATCGGAGTTTTCTTCAAAACATCAGGCACACTGCAAAGCAACCTTGTCCATATAAAAGACCGAATCCATAAGGATTCTATAAATAAATAAATAAAACAAAATGCTTGGAATATGATGCAATATACTTCGAACAAACGTCGCGACAAATCAAAATCAGAAGAAATGAACTCTTTATAGCAACTGTTTTGGACCACCGAGAAATCCAGTTGAACAAGAAAAGCTTGCAAAATCACTAGCCATAGATCGTCTACACGCTATAGAATCAGGGCACGAAATTGATTTCGAGAATACCGAAATAATCCAGAAAATTTTTAGAAATCACGAAAAGCGTCTACTATCAGAAGCACTTCACATATTGAATGGGATCCAAATTGTCTGAATAAGAATGATGGACTAAACCAGAATTTGACCTGGTTGCAACACCGCCCTCTCCCCCATGAAATGACAAAATTAACACGAATGGGATAAGCAATCTCACTACTTAAACACATGCTGCATTTTTATAATTTCATACGCTTATCAAATCCAACAATATACATATGGTTTTGTTATCTTGGAGAATTTGACAACGTAAAAATGCCCCCATGCTAATGAACGATGATTAAGTTGTTATATAAAAGCTCAGATATTTTAAATTCTGGTTTAATAAAACTACTTTGATAAGGCTATTAGCAGCATTAAATAGCGAAACATCAGGGAAAACAGAACTATGCGGTTTTGTTTTTCATTCACTGGGAATTACAAAAATCCGTTCCATATAATTATCAATCAAAGCTTTATCTAAAATTTATATTTCTGCAAATCCCAGAGAAATTGAAATCATTAATTCCAATATTTCTTTGAGTAAACTAGCCCTAACTTCTTCAAGGAGATAGTCGAAATGAAAATACCAAAAATATATGTAAAAGATATTAAATATTCCCATAGTAAAATTTGGAACAACACATTTAAGGGAACAATATTGTAGTTTCAACTAGATCTCATCAGGCTTAACTCTAATATACGTGTATAACTTTACAAATAAATATTCAAATAATAACCAATCAAGGTGTTTTGTCTAAAGGATAATAAGACTGATAACAAGAATAAAGAGAAACAGCATGATTAAATAAACAAATGTTTAGGCGATGAAGGCTAAGAAAAACAAATGAACCGATTAAGTAATGCTAGATTGTAAGGGATGTAAACAAAATACGTTTTAATGAAGACGTCATAAGATTAAGGGATGATAAGAGAGGGGGTGAAAATATAAGTGAGGGGGTAGTGTAGACGTCATCAGCTGGTTAAGTCTTAATAGACCGAAAAGGGGGTGATAATGGCAGTACGAACTTCTTTTGAATGCATAGTTTAGGCTTAATAGTTCGAATGCCTATGCAGTAGACGAATACGAATTCTATTGGAAAGATTCGGTGGGATACGATGAGTTACCTTGAAAGCTTTCGTTTTCTCCACTACATGATCACTATCAACTAAATGTGACAAAATGGAACCACAGATTATTTTCGTCTATCCTTTGTCAAACCACAATGGGAGATGTTCGGTAGTAACTCGTTGGCTAAGGTGTCTAGTAGTACACCCAACATAACTGTCACTGCAGGTGCAGCTGAATTGATAAATACACATAGGCATGGCAAAACTATTTAGCTTATCCTTCATTTGCGTCCCATCTTTGAAATTCCCTATGTAATCATGTTTGATATGACATAGCCTCACTACCCTCATTATAAATTTACGCCAATAGAAAAAAAAGCAAAAAAACGAAGAATTCCATACGCAATAAGCAGCATATGGCAAAATCGAATCATAAAAATGTAACTTTATATTTGAAAAAAATTAGTTCTTTTTAAAACGTTTGACGTAATTTGTCTGAATCGTGTAATGCTGTAATTGCGCAACACATTTCGAACAGTCTGATCACACACAGACTTGTCATGGGAATATATGTGTGTTAAAATAACAAAGAGTTGAGGTGTAAGAAAATAGACTTAGGTCAAGTTAAAAGGACATATTGAAGGTCAAAATAACTATGAACATCACTAAACCAAATAAGAGAGCTAATAGTGCATCCACGCTGGTTGGTATCAAAACAAATTTTACCAAGGAAGGTTTAGTGTGATGACGAATTGTTGCTTTGAAACGCATAAATGGGTGGTTTAAACACTAACTTTAGCGTAAGCCCCAAGCACGTTTTATAGATAGGTTTAAAAGACGTATAAACACCAATTTTATGTCCTGTCTCTATAATATGTTTCGCGATAGAAGAGCTAGTTCATCTGCTGTCAACATTAATGGGTTCTGGGGATTCTATTTGCTTCTGAAGTAGCCATTTAGGAATATTCTCTGAAGCTGTTACTTACAGAGATCGATGAGTCCTCCCTATATATATATATATGTATCCGGAGATACATTTAAATTAGTGAACACAGTGGGATGTGACATTATTTTTCGCATGTTCTGAAGGCCTAGATGGATATATCGGCTTCACATTCTCAATTATTCTGACCTTAGCCGCATAAAAGTCTCTTTAACCCCATCGTTCAATCTTTGCAGAGTTATTAAGCTACTATGACTACCCTTATCGGATAGCTTGATATATATATGTTTATCTTAGTAGGAAGTTTTAGAATGTGTCTTGGTGTTCTAACGACAGTTAAAAGAAGCCGTCGATTCTCATGACAGTTGTAAGATTGACGACAATGATATAGGAATTAAATCAGAAATTAAGTATCTTGGACTTATTCTCTCTTCTGATCTCTCCTGCTCTTCCCATATCTCAGCGATCCCCAGTAAAATATTCCGCCTGACATTTTACATTAAGAAGTTAAGGCACTCTGGTATAACTCAACCCCTCCTCTCACAGTTCATAAACTTTTGCATCCTACCTATGCTTCTTTATTGTTCACCCTTATTCTTTCCTGGTTTGCTTAAAAAGGACTTTGTCACAATTCGTAGAATGCTGAAGACTGTCAGCAGGATGAGTGGTGTCCCAGTGGACTACATAGTTAACGTCGTTGTCGATAGGCATTTGACTTCGTGCAGTAAATTTGCTAAAGGGATTTTGTCTGACTTGGAGCATCCACTTCACCCTCAGCTTTCACCTTGCATCTCCTCGGGTAGAACAAGAAGTAACTTCAGAAAACTGTATGCTCGCACATCTAAGTATAAAAATTCTATGATACCAACCATACTTGGCACGTATTTTATGTGATGAAAATAGTGTCAGGCAAGAATTGACTAACCTTTTTTCATCTAGTAAATAAACAATCTCCTCCATCCATCTTTATATACCTTGAAGTTTTACTTTTATTATTTCTATTATATTTATCTTCCTGTTGCTTCTTTGTTTTCACTTTCATAACTGCAAACACCAACTTATCTCTATGACTGCTGTAATCTTTGTTTTTTTCCCTCACCATATCATGTAAACAGAACATCATATTCAATATTTTTAATCATGCAAGGATTTGTATACCGACAATATCGACAATACTGTGTGAAACAAGCCCACGGCAATTTCCACTTGTATTATTATCATTACCTTAGCTGCTATCATTACTATTATTTCCATTTAAATGCTGCATGTTTTCTATTTTTCTCTATATTAACCCTATTGTAAATGTAGAAAAATTTTCTGTGCGATCAATTTTATTTATAATTTGAGGAAATTAGATGCAATATTGTGATTAATGCTGAAAATTCCATTCTGTATCACAAGTACTGTTTTTGGAATAAAGCAAATCATTATTATTATTATTATTATTATTATTATTATTATTATTATTATTATTATTATTATTAAGAGAGAAGAAACTGTGATAATTAAGATACTGTTCTGTGCTTAGTATTAAGGCATGAAGCCTAGGTATGACTATGAAGTAGTATTTACTGTCACAGACTAATAAGAATTCTGAAGCTGTCCATTTAAATAACGTATAATAAATTTACCAATTTACGGTTTGATATCAAATCTCTAAATAGTATATTTTATGTTAAATAAGCCACGCCACATGAAGCGTTATAAACCCATTTTGAATAGCTTTCAAAACAAAATAAATTTTGGATCATAGTTCATGCAATTTTGTTTAGTTTTCTTTTGATGACTATTCATGACTCAGACATGACTAGACAAGAATTTTGATGGTGTAATTATGATTATTTTCCTGAAGAAGTTCGAACCAGTTTGCTGAACGAAACTTTGGAATTACCTATTTCCACATCGAAAAAATGGAGGCAAATCTAATTTTTGATTGGTTGGAGGGTTTCATCATGAGCTGATTGACATCAGTTAGAGAACCACTGGAAAACCTGCAGAGAGTACTGGACAACTGTTTCGTCCTTGTTTGGGACACTTCATCAGTACGTACTCACTGGGGTTCGAACCCAGGACCTTCTGGCTGCAAGGCGAGCTCGTAGACCATTAAGATTTTTTACATATGTCTACTTTTCACTCAGCACCCAGCTTTTGTGAAACTATTCAGCCGAATCTTGATTAGAGTTTATATATATATATAATCTTTACAGTGACTTCTGACAATTTCCACACTAATCCGTCTAGTCAGTAAAGTATTTTTATAAACAGTCTCACCTATACCATAATACGGTTGGAATTAGTGATACTGTTTACAATAAAATTCTCTTCAGGTTCCAACTGTTATAAGACAAAATACTTTTTATTATTATAGCCATAATAACCAGGAACGAATGAGTCGGATACCCTCTACTGTTGGACAGGGTTACGGCTTTATAGACAGATTAGTTTCAGTTCACAAGGTGACAAGACAAATTGCCTATGTTTGAAAAACCTGATGAATTAAATGTCATTACGAGGTAGAAGGATGACTATTTATCATAGAATTCATACACGGTGGAGGGGAAAATCCCTCGCCGATGACAGTGGCTGGTGGTGACGCTATATCATGAATTAGCAGAAGTTAGAATTCATGGGCTAGCTCTTAGGTCGGCTGCCAGTGGCTTAATGGTCTACATGCTCGCCTTTTAACCGGCTATTTTCGGTTTCTGTCCCGGCGGTTGGTGCGTACTGTAAAGATTCCCAAGAACTAGGACGAAACAGCTGTCCAGCAGTCCCAAGTTTCCCAGTGCTTCTCTAATCAATATCAGCTCATGATGAAACTCTGCAGACCAACACTTGAAAATATTTTAACATGACTGAGGACTATAGAATGTGTTCGACGAGCGATAAATTGAAGACAGGAAGGCAGCAGTGAATGATTCGTCATGAAATCAATCAATATATGAAATGAGTGAAGTCCAGCTATACGATGAAGAAAACACAATATAACTAATAATGAATCATAATGACTGATTAGAAAATATGATCACTTACCAAGATTTTCTTTCAACAGCCATGTGAGTACAGAATCACGGTACGGAATAAAATCTCCTTTCTTTCTGCGTTTTGAACTCTGAAAAATACGATGAATACAGTCATTTTGCACCTTCTTAAAATACGTGTATTTCGAAAACCTGTGAAGTTCGAAGCTGTATACTGGCGTAAATATTTCTGTCAAATATGACTGGACAATCAGATACCCGGAGTTATACAACCCATCAAACTAGTTATCTAGTAATGTGATGTAATAAATCAATGTCAACTGTTAAATATCGTCAAGAAACGATTTCAGGTCACCTAGAACTAGCGGGTACTAGACAAATGTTTCGTCCCAGTCTTGGACTCTTCATCAGTGGCCAGTCATGACCCTACAGAAGATTGAACCCAAGACCTTCAACTTGTGAGACAAAGCTCTTTGACCACTTAGACACTTGGGCTGGAATTCAATTACCCGTGAATTCTACCTTCTGTCTATAAGTAGTGTAGCTCTACCCTCAACCAATAGCTTCGATGGGCACTTATTTCGGCTTGACATAGTAGACCCACCTAATCAAAATGTCCCAGTACAACTTTAGGGCAGCCAAATAGAAACCACCAATGAGTGCACTGGTGAAGAGTACAGATACAGGACGAAACAGTTATTTAGTACTCCTTAGTTTTCAAGGATCTCTTTTACTAATATTGGTTCGTGAAGTAATCTTAATCCTCAAATCCTATAATCTAATAAATTAATGTTTTTCTCAATGGCTCAGGCTAGTCTTCTAATTTTTCCTTTAGTTTAGAGAGCAGAAAGTATTGAAAGGAGAACAGTTGTATTTAGACCGTAGAAACACAAAATTGAAATTGTTTTGATGTTCTCTAGTCTGGATAAGTAAGTCTAAATGAGAAGCTTCTATCGTCCATCTAGAAAAGGCAACATCTTCAATTCTAACTTCATTTTCAACCTTCAAACTCTCAACTTAACACAACATCATCAAATCACATCAATCTGAACAGTTTGTCCTCTCAATCATTTGATAAACCCTATAGATGTTATTGCTTATTCATTCTGATAACTACTCTACGTTCATCAGTAAGCAGAGGAAGGATAAGCATAGTCGTGAGAGGCTTTGTCAGTTGGCAATACTGTTTTGTTGTTATTTCTATTTATTCTATTTGAGTACACATCACTAATTGGTTTATTATGTACTAAATTTTTTTTGTTTTTATTTTCTTATCCACATTACAGATTGACATATGTTGTTCCCTTGTACAAACAAACTTCATCTCAAATTGTACAATTTTTATCTCATCTTTAATTGTTTTCCTTCTGAAAGATTTTTACAATCTTTAGGATAATCGTTTTATGGAATTGTTGTTTGAATAGATAAGTTTTACAAACAAAATTGTAGACGTTTAAGCAGAAAATTAAATACACTCCAGTTTACAAGCTTGTTACTAAAACAACTAAGTTTTCAGTTGGAGGAGCCTATTTTCGATTGTTACTCACTCTAAGCTTTGTTTTTAAGCTTGAAATTTACAATATAAGTATTGAGATGCATATGAAAGCAAATTGCATTCCTGTATAGGAGATCTCATAGGTGAAATGAAATCTAAAGCTGTGATGTAGAAGAAACTGGAAGGGGAGATCGAGAAACCTTCTCGTCTATCCTACAGTGGATTCCCAGATAGGCTGATCATCTTGTTCACAAGAAATACCTCCAACCGTTGTCCCTGCCGTGGTCATCATGAAAAGTCAGTTCCACCAATTGATGATTATGCAATTACTACTTTTCCAACCTTCCAGCTTATTTCTGCTATATTTACGTTTTTAATTCCTGTCTGCATTACCAGATGTGGTTGCTGTCTTCAATTTCTTTTTATGTGTTCAAACTTCTTACCTATTTTGTTAATACTAAGTCCTTAATCCGTTATTATACAAACTGACGAGTGTTCTTGTAATTATAATCTCATTATGTCTTTTCTACCTGACCTGACCTGAAACATTTCTAGAATAGGTTGGAGGATTTCATCATGAGGTGACTGACATCAGTTAGAGAACCACTGGAAAACCTGAGAGTACTGGACAACTGCTTCATCCTAGTTTGGGACTCCTCAGTAGCATGCACCCACCGCCAAGGTTCGAACCCAAGACTTTCTGGTTACAAGGCCAGCGAGCTCGCAGACCATTAACCCACTGGAACCCATTGCGATGGCCCGTGAATTCTAAATTCTGCCAATTCATGAGTTAGCGCCTCACTTTCAATCTGCTGTCAGATCATGATGAAATCCTCCAACCAATCAAACAAAATTCCTACAAAACCAATGCACGAATGAACAGCTTAGTTGATGACTTTTTCGGAAAGAAAATTTTCTTGTCTGCAACCGTCTTTTTTTAATGATTCCTATGATCTAATGTATATATACCGTAGTTACGTTTTACAGAAATAAATAAAATTCTAATTTTTGTGAAGAAAACTTTCTTTATCGATGAATTCATCTTCCAAATCTGTACAACTTGCTCCTCATTTATTAGTAATTTTCACGAATTGGTAGAAGCTAGAATTCACGGACTGGCCATTGAATCGGGTCCCAGTCGCTGAATGGTATACAAGCTTGGCTTGTAACCGAGAGGTCCTGGTTTCGAACCCCAGTGGGTGCATACTGCCGATGATTCCCGCACTAGAATAAACTGGATATCCAGTACTGCAGTGCTGGTTTTCAATGGTTCTCTAACTGATATCAATCCGTGGTCAAACTCGTAAGAACTTTTCACTCCATTTAATTTCAAATGCTCACTTCGATAGTTTTCACCGTTTATTGTATAATCTTTTTCAATCCTCAGAAACTGCTTTTGAGTAACTGTGTCAGTTGTGTAACATGCCTCACTACTCAGTGACTAGCTGCTATAGGTTTTAGTAAATACAAATGTGACTGTAAAACCTTTGAAGATAGCATCGATGATGAAGGAATTATGAAGTGAAATAACAAACAAAGACGTGAAAACAGTATCCTTATCGTTGTCCATATTACTATGTAGATTCAACTAACCATGAATGTTTTATTAAGAATTCTGTGTGGGTTTTCAGATGTCACTTCTATGTTCAAAAAAACTGTATTTTTTGTTATTTCGTAATCAGAGTTCTCTTGGGTTCCTAGTAGAACATGAGGATTCAACAGTACATCTCCATTTTTTCCTATTCTCTACGGCCCTGTCTAACTAGTCCAGTGATCTCATCCATGTCACCCTTCGACCCGTACCGAAATCATCATCTCCCACTCAATGGCCTGGCGCGCGTCGTTGGCCGACAGTCTCTTTAACATGCATCTGGTCCATTTCCATTTCCCCCTACATATGTGTTGAGCGAAGGGTTCTAGGTTACTTCGTTCCCAGAATTTTGGTTGCTGACTCTTTCTAGTCTTTTGATTTTCAGTATGGAGTTAACGAAGGCAGACATTGAAAGAAAATCTGCAATCTGTCGGAAATGTTTTCCATAGTGCGCCACGCTTTTGACGCATATGAAAGAACTGACTGACTTAATATTGGTGTTGAAAATGTGAATCTTGTTATGTATCCTGCGTATGGCAGCTTTTCAAACTGATTTCAGGGTGATGAAAGTGTGTCTTGCTTAGTCGCTTCTAGCTTTGGCATCCTCATCTCTGTCTTGTGCCTACGGTTGGGACGATGTTCCCTAGATAAGTGAAGGAAATAATCTCTCTCAAATTTCTCCGGTTAATAGTGATTGGTACTGGTTGTTCCTGGTCGGTTATTTCCATCACTTCCATTTTCTCTTTGTTCACCTGAAGTCTTGTCTTTGCTGTTTCTTCACTGCATTTTTTTATTGTGAGTTTTATTAATCTTCCTAGTGATAGTTATTTAGAAATGATGTTTCTTCTGTTCGTATTATTTAACCTTTTTATGTTTTCTAATGTGCTAATTAATGTGATTGCCCGATTTGTTAGACACTTAACCAAGCCTGCCTTCACAGGTAGTGGATGAGATGGTTTAAAGTTTAAATATGGATTAAAGTGCTTTGACCCTCTGCAAGCACCAGTGTATACCTTATCCTGTCCTTTTTAATTTTCAATTTAACATAGCTAATTCACTCCTTGCTCATTTTCTGGCCTAAATATAAATTTAGTTCCATGTGCAACTGATTTTATATATGTAAAGCAAAGCCGTGAATGTGTCGTACGTGAATTTCCGCCATACCTGTGAAGTAGCGTTAAGTGTTCTAAGAGCCATATTTTCCAAATTGTTCATAAAAAATATCTGCTATGACCGGGGATTTGATGGTCAGTTGCTATCCCCTTTGCTTGTTTACTTATTTTGCTACATTTCTGAAAAATTAATAAAGCTATCTGGAAGGAGAGGTTAGTCACAGAATCTTTGTTTACTGAATCTATACGGGACCCGTTCAATGGAAATAACTCAAGGAAAATACTAGAAATATGAAAAAACCCAAATATCCTAGGGACTTCCGAATTCGAATGGAATAACAAACTCAGTTTCTTAGCTCTTTCAGTGACTAGGAGAGATGATGGAACGATTAAGCAATCTGTATTTCGTAAACAGACATGGAGTGGACAATATCTTCATTTCACCAGTTTTGTTTCTATCCAGTATAAATGTTACCTAGTAAAGCGTTTGTTTCCAAGGTGCCGCAAAATATGAACGAGCAACACACTGATGGAGGAGATTCGACACATACATTCAGCCTTATCAACCCATGGTTATCCAGAAAACTTCATCATTTGTCACAGTAAGGATGATCACATCTTGAAAAGACAGCTTCTGTACCCAAGAAAACTATCTTTAATAACCTACTATTCAAGGATGGTGAAATTATGCAATTGAAACCTCAAAGAATTTGGTCAGCCATCAAGTGCACATTCCACGCCGCATCTCTTTCCCTGACATCTCGAACATTTTCGATCCCTGTACCTACAACTGAAGGACCAAATTCTGTGGACTCTACTGCAAACTGTATCTACAAGTTAACCTGCAGTTGCTGTGACACTTATATAGGTAGAACCAATAGAATGTTCTAAATATGATTGGTCATTAGAATTGTACTTTTGTTTTATATAAGTGAGTAATTGTCATGTATTTTATGTTATTTTATTATTGTGAACCATGTTAGTTGTAAAGCGATTGTAGAGAAACTACAAAATGCTGATATCATCTCGCGACATTTATCCTCTGAATATCTAAAACAAATATATCCAAGGGACTAATTGTTTAAGTATTCCTAAATGTCTTTTATCGAATAAGATTATTTGTGGATGAAACTATACTTCACCATGATGGCAAAATACTACTCAAATATTATCAGTAAAATATTTTCAATTTAACCTGCACATAAAGCATTATTATCCATGACGATGGAGTATTCCCATCAAAATATCAAAAGTGCTGATTATAAAAATTTTTATTGAATTGAACTTACCATATCAGCTAATCCAGCTATAACTTTCCCCAGTGTCGTAAGAGACTTATTGATGTTCGCGCCTTCTTTCAATCGGACATCAGTTGCACCTGTTGCATCGGAACGTTCACTTCCAGCTAAATCAACTAAGCTTATCTTACTAACCTTCAATGATGGAAAAAATAAATAAAAATATTAATTATTTGGTGGAAATAATTAGTTTTATACAATTAATGAAAAGAGTATATGATACACAGTCAAGTCTGATTTGATTTTTTCAGTGAAAGTAAGGTGTGAGGAATAAACAAAGACAATTTTTATTTGAACTGAGGAGAGATTTCGTAAATTCAGTACTTTCTACTAATCTAACTTTATATTGTAAAACCTTAAAGCCTACATACTCTATGAAAGTGACAAAATTTACTTATGCTACCTGGACGGGGTGGCCGAGTGGTTAAGGCGATGGACTGCTAATCCATTGGGGTTTCCCCGCGTGGGTTCGAATCCCATCCCCGTCGGGATTTTGATGCCACTCGCCTACATACAATGATACACTCACAGGGCGTTTTCGAAACCCACAAATTGCCACTGATCGGTGTTGGCGCGTTCCCGGCTAGAAATAGTTGTGCAACACATCCAATGGACTGGTGTTGCCCAGTCGGGTGGAGGCAGACACACTGTGAGAGTGATGACAACACTGTCATGGATCTCTCCGCAACCAAGTGCGTCGGTGGTATAGCGGTTTGGACGCTCGCTGACCATGCACATGGTCCGGGGTTCGATCCCCGGCCGTCGCACTCCTTTACCTCGCGAAGCCAGAAATAATGCTGGTGAAGAGGAAAGGTTGGGTATGAGGCTGGCAACCCCATCCTGTAAAATAAGCACTGCTACAGAAACTTCAAGCTGCTGGCTTGAAGCCCTATGTTCCACTGGGGACCGTGAAGGAAAACAAACAAAAAACCTGAACTTAATTCACTTTATTGGTCCTGACTGCTTTAAAAGGAGTAAAAGAAACAACAACTACCATCGAGGAAGCAATCATGAACTCCTGGGACCATAATTTACAACTCCAGCTGGAACAAACTGGACTCACGAAAGGTAAATCATGTGCAAATCTACGCATCATCATCATCGAACAAAGCATGGAATGGCAGTCAAACCTCTGCCTCAACTTTATGGATTTTGAAAAGGCATTCGACAGTGCTGACCACGAAGCAATTTGGTAACTACTACTTTCACACTACGGAGTGCCCAAAATCTTTGTTAGCCTCATTCAACAGTCATATGGCAATGCCACGAGTCAACAACGGAAAACTCAGTGAGGCGTCTGAAGTGAATACAGAAGTAATATTCTTAGTTGTGGTGGCTGGGATTATGCGGCACACTGTGCTTGGAGAGCGACAGGACAGGAATACCTTGGGGCGGCAAAACGTTTCTATAAAATTTGAACTTCGCGAATGATTTATACCTGACGTTACGTAAACTCAAAGACTCATAGTCGAGAACTATTTTTATTTTATTTTTATTTTAGTTACAGCTTGATGCCACACCTTATTTTCGGTACAAGTATGGAATTTTCAGCATGGATACCGGTAGCCCAAATTTCACAGGCCAACCATAGATATCGGGTGTGCGTCGGCAGGGGATCGAACCTCGGACCATGTGCATGGTCGGCGAGAGTCCTAACCACTGTGCCACCGACGCACTAGCAATTATAAATCCATTAATTTAAGCATACAATAGCCAGTCTGTAAAGGCAAATTAGAATCATATCAGGAATGTGTATTGTGGAACAAGTATAAGTAAGATGGGATGGAACAGTAGTCAGTTATTTTTTAAGAGTTTCACCATGGATTGATATCAGTTAGAGAACATTGAAAACCACGGAGTACTGGACAGCTGTTTCATTCTAGTCTGGGAATCATTGGCAGTGCGCACCCAGTGGGGTTCAAACCGAGAACCTTCTGGTTACAAGAGAAGCTCGCATACCATAGTTTTGAATATGCCTGGTCAATGAGAACATGATATAAAACGAGATGAAATAATTTAATGATATATATACATGTGTATATATATAGTCAAAAAAATACAGGTTTCGAGGGTGACTGTAATCACTGGTGTGTGTGAGAAAATATGAATACTGGGGAAAATAAACCAACGAATGGGGTGGACTAGACATAGGTTCAAGGTTGAACTTTGGGAAAAATGTTGTCCCATCCCACTGTATTTACCAATTTGAATGTACGTGTGGACACACCTACATAGGGAGGAATCATCGATCTCTGCAAGTAAGGGCTACCTTCAGAGCATATTCCTAAATGGCTCCAGAAGCAAATATAATCTTTAGAACCCATTAATGGTGAAACAGGAGACCTAGCTCCTCTATTACGAAACATATTATAGAGAAAGGACATAAAATTGACGTTAACAGATCTCACGAAAAATACCCATTTATTCATAAGTAAAAACACAGTTTCTTTTGTTCAGCGAAGAAATTTCCCTTCAACGACCAATGCATTAACAGATCTTTAAAACCTATCTATCAAACGTGTTTGGGGCGTATCCTTAAGTTTGTGGAAGGCCTAGCAATTAGAAAGTTTAAACCACCTTTATGCTTCCAAAAACAATTCGTCATCACACTAAACCTTCCTTGGTGAATTTTGTTTTTATACCATAGCAGATGTACTATTACCTCTGTTATTTGGTTTAGTGATGTTCATGGTTATTTTGACCTTCAGTATGTCCTTTTAACTTGACCTAAGTCTATTTTCTCCCCTCTTAACTCTTCATTAATTTGATATATATTCCTATGACAAGTTCGTGTGTGATCAGATTGTTCGAAATGTGCTGCGCAGTCACATATCACGATTCAGACAAATTACGTCTTCTTATTGCCTTATCTAAATTCTCTATAGTTTGGTTTGTAAGGATAAGTTATGTTTTACGAGTTGATCACGGACTGATATCAGTTAGAGAACCATTGAAAACCAGCACTGGAGTACTGGACAGCTGCTGTTTCATCCTAGTTTGGGAATCATCGGCAGTACGCACCCACTGGGCTTCGAACCCAGGACCTTCCGGTTACAAAGCAAGCTCGTATACCATTCAGCCACTGGGACCCGATTCATTGGCCAGTGCATGAATTCTAACTTCTACCAATTCGTGATTTAGCTCGACCCCAACCATTGTCGTTGGTGGGACAACCATCTACACACGTGACATCTAATTGGACCTCACTGGTCACGACTTCTCAATAGAAGGGAACCAATTATTTTGAAAGACAAGAAGAATGTTTGTAAAATATTAATAACGACGACGTGGTGTAAACCTAAAAGTGAATGATTGTCAATTAATAATAATGAGTTTAGTGAAGTGAAATGAACGGGATTTTGTAAATACGATAACAAGTTAGAAAAGCATTAGTATACCACCCTTTTGTCACTTCATGTTTTCAAGTATTGATTTTGTAGGGATTTCGTTTGATTGGTTGGAGGATTTCATCATGAGCTGATATCAGCTGACGTCAACCAATACCTGAAAATTAATCTGATGTTCATTAGTGACTGGTCCTTTTCAAGAAGTGACCTGGGGTTCCAGTGGGAAGCCGTGACCAGTAGGGTGCAGCAGGTTGACGGTGAGGCAGTAACTCATCAAAGAAGACATTGCAAAGTGGTCGCGCTATGTCACGAATTGGCAGAAGTTAGAACTGGATTGGGTCCCAGTGGCTAAATGGTCTACGAGCTCGTCTTGTAACCAGAAGGTCCTGGGTTCGAACTCCGACGGGATGAGTGCACACTGTGAAGAGTCTCAGACTAGGACGAAACAGATGTCTAGTACTCCCAGGTTTTCCGATGGTTCTATAACTAATGTCAGTTAGCTCATGATGAAATCCTCCAACCAATACATATTTTACCTTATGTTCTGAATGACTGTACATCTTACATACACTACTCAACTGAAAGTATTAACTAACAAAATATCATTCCATCCTATACTCGTACCCCAATATAGACAGTTTCCCACATAATTTTCACATGCCTTTAATGTCTATTTGTATTGCAATCATATTCATGGATTTAAAACTGTAGAGTCTGAAGAGGGAAGAATTTCTCGAAACCACAATTGTTCTCTCAAAATCGTCTTTTCTTATGAAAAGTCTGTGTAATTGCACTCAAGCGTAATTAACACTCACATTAGTGAATGTAACATTATGACATAAAAAAGGATTCATGCCTTCCTTTTCTTCGCAACAGTGAAGAAAATATATTCGCATATTTAAACGGTTTGAGTAGCTGACCAATGATATTCATGTGAAATTACTTAACTCCTCCTAATTCATCCACCTGTCATCTTGTTACACCTGTTTGAGTCGATTGACTGCACTTTTAAAAAAATTTTTATTTCCTTTTTACCATAACAACAAAAAACATTAAAAACTCCAGAGCCGTATTCGTCCAACGGCGGCCTGCTTAAAACTCGAGTTACCAAGAAACTTCCATCTCTCTCTGTTGCATAGATTTCATCTCGTTCCGTTTGTTTTAATCGATTAGGATATGACCTCTAATGGTATTATCTACTCCGATGTGTATTTAAAATGTCTGCGAGCTCCTACCGGATTCGTAAGTTCCTACTAAACTTGAGCGATGACCTGGTGGTTGGTGGTAACGTGTTCCAATACACGAAGCAACTGTGCTTCAGTTAAGTCTTTCGGTCTCAAAATGTACTTCTGAACATTTTATAATTGGCTTTCAACGAGATATAGTGGATTTCTTGAAGGAAACAAAGCAGATCAATCATAAACGAATGGTTTTGTCCTCAGCTCAGAGACCATTGTGTCAAAGGATATACCGTCAATTAACATTTTACTCGAAGGTTCTGTACGAATGGAAAATTCTGTACATTTTATAAATACTGTCCAGAATAAAGATGTTATGATTATTATTATTGATTAATATATGAAGGGTAATATAACTACATCAGATCGAAGGTGAGGATAGTTACTCATTGAAGAAGACATTGCGAAGTGGTCACGCTATGTCATGAATTGGAAGCAGTTAGAATTCACGGGCTGGCCATCGGATCGGGTCCCAGTGTCTTAATGGTCTACTTGCTCGCCTTGTGACCAGAAGGTCCTGGGTTCGAACCCTGGCGGTGGATGCGCACTA